CAAAGTTTTGCTCCAACTGACTCTGTGACCTGCATTGAAAAGTAAACATCTTTAGTTCTTATCATTTTGGGCTTTAAAAATCGGTGGTTTAGCTCTAGAACTTATACTAAGAGTGGACTTACTGAGTGCTGATGTCACCAAAGCTTTTTGTTGAATGCAAAAAGAAGTTGATTGGTACATAAACTTGCTTTTTTCTATCACTGTTAGCTGCTACTGATCACTCCTCAGTTTTCCTGAATGTAGCATGAACACTATAAAATCCATTTGTGCTGCATGCAGAGCTCTGGAATCACAGGTGCGCTCCTGGCTGCACCATATTTTTTAATACCGGCCCCCTGACAACATGTTGAGATTCCAATGTGACCCTCAGGAGGAAAGGTTTGCCCATACCTGAGCGAGGGCGTTTACATTGTATATCTATATACTGTCCATAGGTGTACTCCCTGTGATCCTTGCGATATTGTCTTTGTAAAACCAGCTATGAGCCATAACAATTGATCAATAAGAGGCCTTCATTTGTGGGGGAAATTCCTGCTTGCCTAGCAACATCACCCTGTCAAAAAAGCCCATATAATTACATTGATTAGCTTTTGTTTGCATCTGCTTCTTGTGCAGATTCAACCGAGAAGAATAGAGATTTTTGGGCAATTTGTTGCTCACTAGAGAAAGTACAAAGAATTCAGCACATTCTGCAAAATTGAACGTTGTTATTGATTTCCCTATTTCTATATGCTCCATCACTGTCCTTTACTTACTCTTATTGTGAGTTGCAATTGCTCGTACTTTCTTACCGTCACTTGTAATGAGGCAGGCACACACATGAAAATCAGTTTTTATACAGAAGTGTTATGGTGTGGATCTCTTTATAACATTTGATATTTTTATTATTTTGTAATATTGGTCGTCCTGTGTTCCTTTGAGTTTATAGTCCTGCTTTGTTTATTGCTTCCCAGAGGGTTATTGTATATACTGTATAAGGTGAAGGAATTAGATGAAAAAAAACCAAATCCAGGGTAACGTGGGGAAAGACACCTGACTGACAACAAGAGAAGGGAGGAGCACCGGGAATAAACACACAAACAAAGACACAGGTGAAATACATGGGGGTGGTGCAGGCAATTGACACAGGGACAGGAAATGAAACTCAAAATGACACAGGACAACTATATTACAAAATTGAAATGATGACAATATCCACACCATGACACGATTGGATTTCATCAATGTTAAAATAATTTAGAATCGAGCTGAAATCCCTGAAGCAAAGACTGTCTAAGAGCTTTTATCTAGCATGGACGTAATCTTATCTGCGACGGTGGCCTCTGCAAACACGAGGCTAATATAACATACGTGGTTATTACTGTGGCTAACAGTTTGTCAATGTGGTGGCTGGTTGTGCAACAGGCGGAGTCACTCCACTTCTCCAGCACTTATGTTCTCGCCAAAACATCCAGAAGCAGAAAGTCAGGGATAATGTAAGCATATTGTTTGCCATAATGTCCATTGTTAAGATACAGCAACATAAAACAAAAAAGACAATTCAAATGTATAGATCCACAGTTTGTACACAATTTAAATAGTTTTGATACAAAAACTATGGACTAAAATACCATGGAATGACAGTACAGTTGCATACGAGGGTCCAAGTTCGAGTCCACCTCCTAACAGGGTCTTTGTGTGTTGTTTGCATGTTCTCACCGTGTCTGTGTAGGTTTCCTCCAGGTGCTCTGGTTTCCCCTACCACTAAAAACATGTGCAAAAAACCCAAAAAACTACACTTTAGGCTTGTGCAATTAAAACTGTACGTAGGTTTAGGGTAAGTGCAATAAAACGGCACTTTAGGCTTAGGGCAAGTGCAATAAAACACTGCACTTTGAGCCAAGGGTAAGTGCAATAAAACAATACTCTTTAGGCTTGGGGCAAATGCAATAAAACTTCACTTAGGTTTAGGACAAGTGCAATAAAACACTGCACTTAAGGCTTGGGGCAAGTGAAACATAATACTGCATTTTAGATTTTCTGAAGTGCAAGTTTGTGGGGTGTTCTGTTTCGACGTCCTGGTGCTAACTGTTTTCTATGGTCCTTGAGGTCTCTGATGGTGCTCTTACCTGTGTCTATTTTTGGTCAGAAAAAGACACAAGGCTAATAAAAACAAAAACAATTGTGTAAAGTCCTCTGTGACGATAACTGTTGAGAATTAGGGCTAAACAAATAAGTTGTGTACATATTAATCCATGGAAACAAAGTGACGAACAAAAAATAAATCAATAGGGCTAGCCTGGACAGAAATACTTGTTTCCTGATTATTGATCTTTTTTAGGTTTATTAACGTGTAATAATAAGCAAAGGAAGGTTTCTCACCCATCATCTGTACTTCTTAGCAAGTTTTCCCGACGTTTCGTCCTCAAACTAGCGGACTTCTTCAGGGAATGAATTCTCGGACCGCGCGTTGGAGATTTATAACCTATGGGTGTGGTTAGCCACACCCTAATCCTGATACTAACTCATAAACAATCTAAGGTCTGCTTGATGTAGAAGGGAGCAGGTCTAACGACCCTGCTGAGGCTAACGACCCTAACTCCTTAGCATGTCACAGACCTACAGTATTGTCTGCTGGGATGCTCAAGTGGAGTGCAGGTCTCACCCCTCCTAACTCATTAGCATGTCACTGACCTTGTCCCAAGTTAGGGCGTTGTTTTTAGGATGTCGTCATAGATGCGAGGCAAAACAAATCTTAACCCTCCTCCTCTGTTAAGAGAAGGTTTTTGTTTCCTCACAAAAATGGCTTCTTTCACTCCTCTCTCAAACCAATTCTTCTCCCGAGCCAGAATTTTAACCTCTGTGTCATCCACCGTGTGGTTGGAGGCCTTGAGGTGGAGATGAACAGCCGACTGTGGCCCACTAGGGTTTTCTCTACGATGTTGGTAAAGTCGTTTCTGTAGAGTTTGTTTGGTTTCTCCAATATAGTGGTCAGTGCACTCCTCTTCACTACATTTAATTGAATACACCACATTGCTCTGTTTGTGTCTGGGTGTTTTGTCTTTGGGATGCACTAATTTCTGTCTTAACGTGTTGAAAGGTTTGAAATACACAGGGATTTTGTGTAACCACACCCATAGGTTATAAATCTCCAACTCGCAGTCCGAGAATTCATTCCCTGAAGAAGTCCGCTAGTTTGAGGACGAAACGTCGGGAAAACTTGCAAAGAAGTACAGATGATGGGTGAGAAACCTTCCTTTGCTTTGACTAATCCCTGTACGACTGAGAGCTTACACAAACGTGTAATAATGTAACAGAAAATGTTTTTGTGGGCTGTCAGCTTTCTTCTATTCTTGTTACAAAACTTCAAACAAAGGAGCTTCGTATGTTGAAACTTGACTTTAGTTTACATGGATGCTCATTTCACAATTTCTAAGTACAATCTGTTATTCTGATCCCCACGCATGTGGTTGTTACACTTACACCATCGTTATGCAAAAGAGACACACCTTCGTGTGACTCAGTGACCTCTTCATTCATACAGTTGTTTGACCAACCCATGAAAATGTTCTGTAGTTTCCAATTAAACTCTGTGTGGGTGGTAAAGGGCTGGAAGACATACCAGGACGGTGATGGAAGGGCGTCACAAAGTGGAGTGGAGCGATGGGACAGCCCTGACCAGCGCCTTGTCTCCTCACATGTGCACTGGTCTCTTCTTTATGATCGTATATTATGAAGAAAGTCAATTTGATCACAACAAAAGTGTGTCGTTGTGATAAAACCATAGAAAAGATATATATATTTTTTTGAAACAATAAAAAATAAAATTTGGTATCAATACTTAATATATGGCTACATTACGCATCTCCATTCCATTTATCATGAAATAAAGTGTATTTTTTCTTTTATTTATGCCATAAATTGGCATATTGTATATTTCTGACCTATATATCGATAATCGTCATATCGTGATAAAATCGTTACCGTGATATTGTTATCATGATAATATCGTTATCGTTATAATATCGTCATCGTGAGCTTTGTATCGTGTATCGTATCGTATCGTGAGGTACCCTTAGGTTCCCACCCCTAACATATATCATGTGTCACTTTACTGTCATAAAGTCACTTTAGTCACTGGGCGGCACGGTGGCTGAGTGGATAGCACTCTCGCCTCTCAGCAAGAAGGTCCTGGGTTCAAATCCCGGGTTGGACCAGGGCCTTTCTGCGTGAAGTTTGCATGTTCTCCCCGTGTCTGCATATTTTTCCTCCGGGTGCTCCGGTTTCCCCTACCACTAAAAATATGTACAATAGGTATGGCATGTGCCTCCTGTACTGGCACCCCCACTCCCAAAAAAATAACAATTGTAAACCGCTTTGAGACTCCGATGTGCAGTGAAAAGGCGGTATATAAATAAAAGCTTACTTACTTACTTACTTTAATGCCATAAAGTCACTTTAATGCCATCATAACGTCACTTTACTGCTTGCCACCCTATTGCACTGCCTATTGCATATTGTATGCACCATGTGCACTTGTATATTGTACATAGTGACTGTAATTGTAAGAATTCTGTAATAATTCTATTTTAAATTTTATACTGTAGAAGTGTATGCTAATTTTTATTATGCCTTACTCTATTCTCTATTCTTTACCTCTCTTCTTTGACTGTTGCACTGAGCCAAAGCAATTTCTAAGTCTGTGACTTCCTGTTACTTACGTGGCAATAAAAATCCTTCTGATTCTGATTCTGATTCTATACATTGGTATATAACGATTTAGCCCTGCTTCAAAAATAATTGTATTAAATCTAAAGTATATTTTCCCTCTTCCAAAAATTATGTTGGTAAATATGATCATGTTTGTGATGTCTGTCCAGCACAAAACCTACTTCAATTTAGCTGCAAAGAAATAGATTAGGCGATAGGCAATGTGACAATGTGATCTTTGAATGACGTCCTTACATTTATCAACACCATGTGTTTTGGCAACAAATAAATCGTTCTATTTCTTTTTGTAGGCCACTGCTAAAAATGCAAGCTTCAACTGCCTCAACAGGGATCAACACGACAGCAATCACCGTCACCAAGTCTCAAGAACAAATCCTCATCCAAAGTAAGCATCAATCTTTTTCATACAAAACATGTCGATTAAAGGAGATGTCATTAACTTCAATCATATTTCATTTTTCAAATAATGCCTCTTTTTGACCATATGACCTTGTATATCATGAAAAAAGAAAAAATAACTTCACCAGTATTTGCTGCGGGAGAATAGTTAGACCAACTGTGCGATTTTATTATGTCCAATCAGAAAGCTGAAGGAGTGAGTTGGGCGGGGCTAACCATAATTGTCGGATTGTAAGCAGCTACTTTCTTCAAGTTCTGTGAAATCGGCTGCCTTTATAGCGATGCGGGAAATGCGTGTATTTTTAATTTGTTAGAGTACCTTCTAGGGTCAGATTCTGAAAAAAAACAAAACAATTTGCTATCATTTGATATGGGTAGCATAAACCCTCATGTAGCTAAAAGTATAATCCACATTAGATTCAATGAGACATAGCTACTTAAGTAAGTAAGTCCTCTTTATTTATGTAACGTATTTCACAAACCAAGGTCACACAAAGCACTAAACAATGTTGTAGTAGTAGTAATTTCCCTTCATTCCACACACAATCCCCTGACCATCACAGTCCATGAACGCTCTCATTCAGGCCTATTGTACATGTTTTTAGTGGAAAGGGATACTAGAGCACCCAGAGCTAACCTGTACAGAGAGAACATGCAAACTCCACTCAGAAAGGCCCTGTCAAGAAGTGGAATCGAATCCACTTTGTCACCGTCACCAGCACAATGACTTTTAAAACTGGCTTTAGCTGCTGCTGTCGGCTTCTTGTTTTTCAGTGTGGGAAAAAAACTATCCCTTTCTAATGTACAGTGTGTGTGTGTGTCTATGTTTGTGAGTATGCGTGAATGTGTGTGTGTGTGTGTGTGTGTGTGGGTGTTTGCATACTCGTTTCTGAGTGTGTGTGCGAGTCTTTGAGTATGTGTTTGTATGGTTTGTATGCATGTATGTGTGTGTGTTTGTGCTCCTGTGTATATATGTGTGTGTGAGTATGTGTGTGCGCGTGTGTGAGTATGCCCGTGCTTGTGTATCTCTAAAAGTATCACATTATTCCTCCAAATCAAGATGAATTGTTCAGTGTTCCCAAATAACCAACACTGTCTGTTGCTAAGTTACATCAAACATTTATCCAAAATCCTCTCATGTGCATCTGTGTGTGTTTCAGGTTCAGGGGCCATGATTGCCATAATTGTCATTGGCATCATACTTATTCTCACTGTTCTTTTGATCGTTCTTAAAACATACAACCGGTGAGTCTGCATTCCCAACATCAGTAATACCAACATGAAAGACGAGAGCTGCTTTTAGCTCCAGCCGTGGCATGTGCTCTATCATGGTTCAGGCAGTGCACTGTGTCATTAAAATGGATTATGGAATATTTACTTTTTTAATTGCTTGATTAAGTATACAAAGCTGGCGTGTACATAGATATTTTTGGGGAAGGGCAAATCTGGCTTTTGTCTCCTAAAATGCTCTCTTGATAACTAACATCTGAATGGCACATTACAAGCTTTACTATAGACCGAACATTATACATTTATTATAACATTGTAGGTGACAGACTTCCACTATCCCAGACATAACCACATTGGAAAATCAACCTGCTGGATCTGGGTCTGTTTTTCTTCCTATACGTTTATTTATACATACAACTTATTTTGGACTATTTCAAACACACTGCAAAAAAAAAAAAAAAACATGAGATAATGATAATGCATGAACTCTCTGAGCCACTGTTTACACATAGAAAATGTAGAAGGGAAACTCTGAGATTTAAAATATTGTTTTGTAATTCAACTGAAAATGTGAAAAATGGGGGCCCTGACTACAAATGTAGGTCAACCGTGGACAGCACAGGTTGCAAACGGAATATTTCATCTTGGTTTGTTCATTTTTGAGTGCAGCACATGTCTACTGTGTATAATACTTGCACTCGAATATACAGCATTTTATACTCCTTATTATGCTAAGTCAGGGATTTTTGTAACTAAGTCTTGGTTATTCATTATGCTAAAGTAGAGATTTTAGACTTCTTTCCTTATTATGCTAATGATTTTATACTCCTTCTTTTTAGAGATTTTAGTTTCACACTTTTTTCCATAATAAATACAATGTAACGAGACAATTTTTTTTCTTTAAATCTTTTTATCCCCTTGTGCGAAAAAAAATATATCTTAATTGTAATCGTTCACTATCAAAATGTTTTTCATGTTGATGGTCATGTAACTTCTCTCTCTCTGCGCAGGTGCACACATGCCTCCAGAGTGCTCGGCTCGTCCACCAAACCTCGGCCCAAGATGTCGCAGTCCACGGCAAGGAGCAACTTGCCCCTGACCCCCATGGGCGTCAACTCTGTGTCGGGCAGCATCTCCGTCTCCGAGAACGGATTCAGGGTCCCTAGCATGGAGCTGGGAAGCCAGGATGAGGGCTCCCAGGGGCCCTCAGAGAACAGCTTCAGACTGCCCCGCGTGGAGCTCAGTAGTGTGGACGAGACTATGGAGAATTTAGAGCAATCCAGCGCTGCGTCCACTGAAGTGACCATTCACGAACTGCCAGTCATGGAGAATACATAACACACAACACACACACACACACACACACAGACACACACACACACACACAGACACACACACACACAGACACACTCGCATGACAGACTGACTGAACGAAGACTGGATCAATTCAACGATTACAGGGTATCTGCAGTGAGGGGGACGAGAAATTATCAAACACTGCAAAAAATTATAAAATATGAGGTAATAATTGCTTGAATTGAGGGTCTTTTTAATCTTAATTTGAGTTCATTCATACTGTCTAAAAACAAGATTTGCCAATGGGACAAAGCCACTGATGCTTTATTTTCTCCTTCTCATTTTCTTTTTAAAACAAGATCATTCTGCTCGTTCTATTAGACTAAGGCAGTCAAAATGTGTTCAAATCAAGATACATTTGGCCAAAAGAGCATTTTTTGACATATTTTTCATCACTTTTTTAGTGAACGGACAAAATGAAGTAAATCCACAGGATGTATAGAAGGCATGATGCAATATTTTGTTTATTTAAAGGTACTTAATTTAAATACAGTTGCTTTAGAAGTTGTATAAAATACTGTAAACATGGTTTAATGGACAATGGGTAGCACTTATTATGGTTGTGAACTAGATTGACACAGCACTTACAAGTGAAATAATAAAATGGTGTTAGTCAATGTATTCTGTATTTCAACTTAGTGTGAAACGTATTTGTTACAATGTTGATCATGGGCTCACATCCCCTATTTTTATTTAACCAGGAAAATCCCACTGAGATTAAGAGTTTATTTGTCAAGGGAGTCCTGACCAAGAGGCAGCAAAGTTACACACTGAAAACATCTCAGAAAATTTTAATGTTTTGAAACTGAAAACAAACAAAGACTAAATTTGCATCTAAAGAGTCAATATCATAAATAAGTTTCACATTATAAATTGAGATACAATAATACATCAACTTTAAAACAGGATTAAAACAGGATTCCAAGTTTCCCAAGTTTTATCTGTTAGTATAGCACTTATTTAGCACTCTTCAGTACTTCCAAAAACGCAGTAGTGGTAATCTACTACTCTTTGGCCACAGTTGCCCCTGGGGCAGACTGATGTGAGTGAAGACACTGATGGGAGCCTCCTGATTCACGCACAAACTATTATTGTTTTTCTTATGGGTGTCCCGTGATATTATTCAGCCATAGCCTCCCAATTCGGGCGTTCTGCTCTCCCAAAATTCCATCCGATGGGCGGGGGAGCGACTGAATTTTGCGTTGCATTATGGGTAACACTTGCCTTCACAACTTCCGGTTCTCTCTGCCCGGCGCATTTTCTCTAAATGGTTGAGTGTTTTCGTCATTTTCTGTATGCAAATACATTCCCGTCTCTAACTAGTGGCATATCGCGCAAATCATCCGTCCAATTCACATTCTTCCCTCTTAGCTGAACTTCATTCTCATTGTTACCATCTGTCACTCGCACACACAGCCGTTTTCGTTCACTCTGCTCGCTGTCATCTTCTTCTAAATCTTCATAAACACCATCCGCTCGTTGAACTAGCAACAACAATTCCTCCTTTCGTTTTCCCACACTGCAAATACCCTTTCGCTTCAACCTTTCACGCAATTCAGGCACTGTCAATCGTTTGTTGTTTTCGTGAGCCATATTCGCCATTGTATGAAATCAACCGGAAGTGAACTGGGCAACAAACGGTGTCATTTTTTGATCACAGCGCCGCTCAGTGGATGAAATTTTGGGAGAGCAGAACGCCCGAATTAATATTAACTTTATTACAAATAAATTAAATAAACATACATAATTATAGCAGACTAGTACCGGTGACGCCACAGTTAGAGCCTGTATATGTATGGAAATCACAAACATGCAATTGTCCTATTCAACATTAAACTTTCTTTTTTTGTTTTTCTGAAAACCCAGAGGTGGTGTTTAGACTTGAACGGAGGATCTACTGTGAATGACCATCAAAGACTTGACCATGCTGCTGTGCACCATATAGAATTGTGCTCAAAAGTATACATACCCTGGTAGAAGCAACAAAGTCTTGGTCAGAGAATATGAAAGTGAGAGAAGGGTGGGTGAAGCCATTTCTTGTGAAGGATGGTTACTTTTAGAAGATATTCAAACCTATTTGTTTTGTCTTCGATGATCCCTGTGTCTTATTTAACAATGCAGCTAATATGTGTATTTTTGTTGTGTAGAGTTGTCTGTGCAGAGTTTAAGGAGTTATTGTTTAGACTCAATCAAGTTTTTGTAGCTGTAGGACACTTTTGTATTGTCAAAATAGACAACAATCGTCAACATTCAAAGACATGTACGGACTTTTGGATTTGGTTGTTTGGTTATTTCATTTTGTGTTCTGATTTGAAAAGCGTAAATAGTTGTATGAGTATAATGGCCTCATCCAATTGACCAGGATCATGTTTTCATGTTATCGTTATCATTTAATCATTATATTATTATTCTTCACTCAGAAATGGCCACTCTGCCTGGGTATGTAAACTTATGTGCTCAAACCTGTGGAATATGTGGTTTCAGATTAAAAGACGACTGTTGTGAGTTAGTGGACCTTTGGAACAGCTGGTTATTGTATTGAAAATAGTCTGAAGTCTTTTGAAAGGGAATGATTTTTTTATTCCACCACTGTGTTTTGAACAGACATTAAAGGCACATTGTGTAAAGAGGACAGAGAAGGCCACTGCTTCAGACTCTCAGTGACACTCCAGTCGCCAGATTTGACCAGCTCTATGTTTATCACAAATGGGAACTGCAATCTGTGGTCTACATTTGCAAATGTACATTTCTGCACTAAGAATATAGTAGAAGATGTGTGCATCAACTGTAAACTGTATTATTATTTAATGTATGTATTTTTTTTTAGACTAAAACTCCCGGAGCAGTCAATTTGACAGTGTTTTGTTTAGTGTAACAACTTACTTATGTACACGTTTCAAATTCATGACTTTGTGACTTCTTCTGCATCTATATGCAGTTTATGTCTATGTCATCATCGTTATGAATATAAATATATATTATTTTTTTCACTCTGTATGATGAATATAGAAACAAAAACATTTTTAGCATCCCTTTTAGACGACAGCAAAGGGTTTTGCTCTTTTGTACTTTCTGTTAATACAAAACCAGCGAATTATATTGATAATAAAACCATCACGTTTGTAAATTGTGTCTTTTTTTGTCTAATCAAATCAAAACGAACTAGTCCCTCTGCTGGCAACACGGCGCACCAGCAGTTCCAAAAGTAGCATTCAAGGACAACAGTAATTCCATGATTTTATAATAAAACTTATTCTTTATATATACATATATACAGTCTCTTACACTGATTCAAATTTAATTTTACCCATCATAATGCATAAAACAATGGCTAAGACAGCACCCTGTAAGCAATTTATTTACTGTTCACAAGTTCGACACGAGCCATTTTGCAACACATGTTCCTGAACGCAGCTTTGTTAAGCATGCTGCCACTGTTTACAACAACATGGTGTCTGTAGGTGAGTGTTTAAGTAACCCACTTGAATGAACTCTTCCCTGTGTGTTTTCAACCACACGAATCCATTATGCCATATATAATATGATTGCATGTATCACGAGTTTTACCTTTTCATTATACGTGATCGAAGCTAGCATGCTAATGATATGCTAAGGAAGTACATAGCACCAACTTTCATATGATACATGACAGCAAAATGGGATTAGTAGACGGTTAAAGCTTGCATGCAATGCATTAGAATAAATCAGTGAAGCAGTTTTATATCAACATGCCAGAGATACAAATAATGCAGGTAGAAGCAATGTCTAACTAGCTATAAAATAAGAAAACATGAGCTATTCGTCCCACAGTGGGGACATTTCAACCCGGTAATGGAAAAAGCGGAAGAACATGGATGGAAGTATTAGTTATTGAGCCCCCCCATGTTTAATTATCATGACAGGTTTTCAAGCACTGAACAATTTCGTTATTAATTTCCTGATTTGGTTCACCTATTTTTTTGACTAATGTTGACATGTTTCTCTGTCTGTCAGTGGAGCTGCTGTCCCTTGTGCTGGTGTCACTGCTTTGGGGCTGCACTAACCCGCTCCTGAAGAGAGGCACTAGGGGGATCGAGGCTGTGGCCCGGCCCAGCAGAGTGGCCCAGCTTTTGGCAGAGTTCAAGTTTCTCCTGCTCAACCTCAGTGTAAGCTAAAGTGACACATTACATCAGGGGTGCCCAAACCTTTTGCTTCAAAGGGCCAAAGTAAAAATTTGCCAGTGGACCGCGGGCCAAATACACCGATATTACGCATGAAACACAAATAAATGTAGATTTGATCAAGTTCAATTAAATGCATTAATTATTGTCTATCAGTGCAAATCACAGCTGAATGAATGAAATCAACACAGTCTTAGTGAAATGGAGGCTCCAGGGAAATATGCAGGTTTGAGGAGACTACAGTACGGAAAGATTCCGGCCGGGTAATCAGGGTCCAGAGGAGGGAGATTTTCTGTCATGGCTTATTTAAAGGTTAAAATCATATAAAAAAACCTCAAAAAGAGAACAGAAACATACATTTTCTGTGTAAATAAACTGTTTTTTAAATGCTACTTGTAAACAAATAATGTGCCTGCTATTAAATGAAAGTACTAATTTATATTAAATAATATCATACTCCCAAATTAAATAATCTATATTTTTAACCTGCTCATGTCAGTAAACTGTTTGTTGAAGACCTTTTTCTAAACAGTTTTGCATTACTATAGTACAGTAATTTATAATGTATAGGTTTATTGTACTAGCAAACAACATTTCTATTACAAGTCTATTTTCATATATTTATTTTGAACAAAAGTTTTTAACTACATTTGAATCATATTACTTTATCTTAGCTTTTATCAAAAAGGGGAGACATCACTGATCAATAGATCTGGTTTTAGCACACTTTTAAACATGATCAGGTTTTAACTCTGTTTTAATTTAATACTTTTTACATAGGGCAAGTATTCTCAATTAGTAGTGAACTGAATATTAAACTAACGAAATCAGACTAGTTAACCATGATTTGTTCCTAGAGTTTGTTTTGTTTTGCCTAAACACAGTACAACATTTATAAACAATCAAAACAAAGTAACTGTTAAAGAGTCCGTGTTTCCGCTCCTCCAAAGGGCTCTTGAACGCATCATAAAACTTCTACAACCCCGGCTTCTTTCATGGGGTTGTAGAAGGGTTTGTTTTGCACAGTATTTGTTGCTTCTACTTGCGTGGATCGTGCGCTGCGATCCCTGCTTGTCCTGCTTGAACTCACTCTGAAGTGTGTGTGTCCGTCTTTTTTAACACACCGGGTGGGTGCGGATTGCGCAGGTGAATAGTTCCACTCGCCATTTCCCTCCGGTGAGGAGGGGGAGTGCAGTTCGCCAGCACAATCCTCTCAATTTGATAAAGCATTAAATTGCCCAATTGTTTTGAAAGATGTGTTTGATTTTAAAAAACATTTTAGTGCAAGTAGATGTGAACAATGAGTGAGGAGTGTATCTCGATACAACAGTGAAGTACTGGACAGTTTCCGTTCAGAGGGCGTTTGTGCGCCCGCGCGATCTCAGACATGTCTGTTCAGCGAGGTTGAGGGACGCAGATAGAAACTTACAGCGGAGGTGTGCAATGTTTTGCGGGCCAACTGAAATGGTCCGGCGGGCCAACTTTGGCCCGCGGGCCCCACTTTGGGCACCCTTGCATTACATCTTAATCGAGAGGACGAAGTGCTTAGTCTAATGTGTCCACTGGATAATTGATTTTTTTTGCAGTATATCGTGCCATTCCTCCTGAACCAAAGTGGCTCTGTGATCTACTACTACACTTTGTCAACAACTGGTGAGTGTCTTCTGTTGTTTATTTCAAGGAAGTTTCACAGAAGAAACATAAGAGAAACATAACTCAAATGAATTAATCTGGATCAAATAAATCAGGACTATGTTCTCTGAATATGTTTCTGTCCCTACTCTTTCAGAGCTCTCTCTTGCTGTTCCTGTCACAAACTCTTTGACTTTTCTCTGCACATTAATCACTGGAAAGTTACTGGGTGAAGAATTCGGAGGAAAATGTAAGAGAGCAAACGTGTAATTGTTATTTGTGTGTTCATATTTATCAAAATAATTGCAAACACTCATGTGTTACCTGGTTCTAGTCTTGGTTTAGATAAAATAAGATAAGATAAGAAAGACTTTATTGATCTCACACAGGATTAATTTACATAGTCCAGTTGAATTCAATTTACGTTTGTATACCCTAAATCATAACAGCAGTCGTCTCGGAGGACTTTACAACAAACTGTTTGAACACAGGAAATTAAATAATAATAACAAACACATAGGAGCGAGATGACCAATGTCTATACATTTTTATTAAATGTCTCTAAGGTCCTGGATCATCACTGTCCAGTCTGGTCTAGTCCAAAGGCTATACCTAACTTTGCAGCCAGGGACTCTAAAATAAGCATATTCATAATGAAGATTACTTACTTACTTACTTCCTTAGCATAGACTGGCAACCCTTAATACGCTGCTAAAAGTTATGAAAAATAACTAATAAATAATCAAATCGTATGATCGAATTTGGCTAAATGTATCATAATTTTAGCACATTTTTACAACCTTCAAACAAGATTTTCCAATGAGACAAATCCATTTAAAGGCAGTCAGAATGTACTCAAATTAAGATGAAAACTACTTGATTCGAGCGTTTATTACCTCAGATTGTATCACTGTTTGCAGTGTAGAGAATATAAACTTAAAATTAGGAAAAAATAAAAAAAATTTCATAGAGAATTAGATTTTTTTTCAAATGATGAAAAATAGTTTGGGGCTGATCAAACGATACGGTAATGATATGATGCTGATATGGTAATGACTGAGCATGAGTCCAGTACAGTTGTCGTTCTGAAAATGGTTTCAATGTCCTGTGTCTTCAGATGCTGTTGCCGGGATGTTTCTCACCACGGCTGGACTCACTCTGTGCGTCATGAGTTCAATGGATCCATCAAACCAAAGGAAGACGCACGTTTAGCCGCGTTTATTGAGAATCTTTCCATTCAAAGCCCTTGCAGACGGCTTAATGTGGCGTTCATCGCTCCTGAGTGTTTCAATGATTCGGACGCCAATTGAAATTCAAACAGTGTGGTTTGTGCTTCAGAGACTCGATCTAGAATTCTCCACACAAAGAGAGTTCGTGTAAGGTTCAGGAGGACGTTCGGGAGATTTATGCCGCAGATAAAATGGTGACTGTTAACTTATAAAACTCGTCTTTGCTCTGTTGTAAGGGCAGCAGCTGAACTCACATAAAAAGGACTCCGCATGGGTCTTGTAATTAGTGTGTGTTTGTGTGCAAACTAACTAATTGTTGACAGTGAAGCTACCATTTGCGTAAATGGTTCTTTTTAGGAAGCGCACAATAAGAAGTTCTTGATGAGGTGCAATAGGAAGAAAAGAAAATAGATATCTTTGCACACCAGACTATATGCAGTATGTCCAGATATGCATTTATTTGATGACGTTTAGGGCATTATAGCTGTCATCAGATCATTCTCTTCTCTTTTTTTTCTTTAGACCCACAAGACACAAATTGTTTGTTTGTTCAGGTGCTTGTGTGACTGAATGAATGAAAGATCCTTATGAGGTATTTTTACTTATGATTAAAGAAGCTATAACCTGGTTTTGTTCTCCATTATCATCTATGACCCCTGTGGCTCCTTTTTAAATATGTAGTTCTCAAGAAATCTTTAGATTGAGTTAAGAGAAGAAGAAACCAGTTGAGTACCTCCTCCTTCTCTCCCCTTGTGCCTCTTAGCCCTGCCCCTTTTGTAGTCATTATTTTAAAATATTTGCAAAAATCCCTTTAGATGGATGAATCCTCCATGTATCACATATTCAGAGAAGAAAATTGCCAAAGGACGCAAGTAAAAACTGGAGGGGCTCGGTGTTGGCAGTCAGAGGACTGAGGGGAGAGCAATGGTAGAGTGCATATATGAGGATATGAATATCTCAAACATGCAGTGATCGCTCTAAACACAGAAAGAGAAAACGACTATAACATGAGCAAACGTGGAGAAAATTCATTTTTTTCTATTGTTATGTCCCCTTTAACATTCATTGTTTAAAGTGAAATCATACAATGTTTTGCATAATGTAAAAATGTTTATTATTGTAAAATAAGATGTATATGTTTTAAATCAATAAAATAATGTGGCACAACATATTTCTTGGGAATCACCTGAAAACAGAGCGTTAGATGCGTCATTATTGGACCATGGTTTAAATAATATTCTCATACGTTTTTGCTCTCACAAATATCCATACCCATTAGTGCCAGGCTATGACTCCACAACTGCTCCATTCGTCACAACATCCTGCGGCTGGTGCTTTTGATCTGCTTTTTCATTCTATAGATGAGAGAAGAAGGATTTTTAGATTGTTGCCAGTTATTAAAGCTACATGATTAATCATAATTCAGTCTGAAGCAAAGTTGTACTTTTTGAAATGAGTAAAATGCTATCATTGAAATCCTTTTCTAACTGCAAAAACGTACAAAACCATGTTGAATTCAAGGAAATAATTGTGATTTGAAAATAGATTTGAATATTTGCCACTTAACCAGTATTGCCTCTTAATACTTAAAGGGGCATTAGGCGTAAGAATCTTTGCTGTAAGAATGGACCCCACCACCAGAAAATCAACAAAAACAATTGATCCTGAAGCTCAGGAGACATAAACATGACTTGACTCTTACAGCCACTGGGTCACTAAAAGGTCAAATATTATGCTAAAGCTCATGTAATGTGTTTTTGCAATTTAGCTCCTGAAGTTGTTTTATGTATGCACCCCAAACAAAACCAAGAAAAAACCCTGAAAAATCACAAGTACATGTTTTTCCAATTTGTCTTCTTGAACATTACTGTCAAATAAAAAAAGGAGTAAGTCCTGTTTTTTATGTGACAGTAATGTTCATTAATGAACACAAAAAACCCTTATAGCTCTACCATAGACATGTATATATTGTGAATATATTCATATATGAAATACCAGTACCTCCATTCTACCCAGTCTCTCTGGAGATGTAGGCTTTGATTGTGGCCGAGTCTCTGTCTGCTCTTGACCCTTTGGATAGAAGTTACACATTGATCGTTGACTAAAATATTTTGTGCATTTTTGCGCCTACCTGTGTTTGTTTGTAGTTTGTGGAATCTCTGCTTTTAGTCATTTTATTCTCAGAATCTTCCAAATAATCCTGGTTGTCGTTTGTTCGAGATGACACGCCCTAAAAAGAGACCGTCTTTTTAAATTGTTTATAACGGGACGAGGTGGGTGCAGAGGTCCTTCCTCAAGTGGAAGAATTCAAGTATCTCGAGGTCTTGTTCACGAGACACCAAGATACTTGAATGGAGCGTGAGATGGACAAATGGGTCGGTGCTGTATCGGACTGTTGTAGTGAAGAGGGAGCAGCATCTGAAGGCAAAGCTCTCGATTCAATGGTCATGAGCTTTAGGTAATGATCAGATTGCGGATACAAGCGGTTGAAGTGAGTTTCCTCCGCAGAGTGACTGGGCGCTCCCTTTGTGATAGGGTGAGGAGCTCAGTCACACGGGAGGAGCTCGGAGCAGATAAGATAAGATAAGAATTCCTTTATTCGTCCCACAGTGGGGAAATTTCGATAGAGCCGCTGCCTCTCCATGTTAAGTGGAATAGGTTGAAATACAGTGAAAGTACTCACATTGATCTGCTCTGTGGTTATTGACTCCTCTTCCTCCACAGTCTCTGCCACTCTCTGAAATCAAGTACAATTTAGGTTTAAAAAGCAACAACTAAATAACTGGTATGATAAAAACAATATTTTTAGGGCCAAACTTAAACCTGTTCTCCTGATGATTTATGAAAGTGGCTCTTTTTAAACATGTATTGAGCTATAACAAGGTTGTGGAAGAAACGGGTCGCATATCTCCTTTATTTGAAAAGAAGTGTAGTAAAGTAATCTTTATTTATATACCGCCTTTTCACTGCAGATCTGAGTCTCAAAGCAGTTTACAATTGTTAATTTTGGGCATTTGTCTTTCACTCCAGACAGAGATGGGAGCGGGGTTGCCAGTACAGGAGGCGCATGCTAGAACTATTGGACATATTTTTAGTGGTAGGGGAAACCGGAGTACCCGGAGGAAACCTACGCAGACACGGGGAGGACATGCAAACTCCACTCAGAAAGGCCATGGTCCAACCGGGATTCGAACCCATGACCTTCTTGCTGAGAGGCGAGAGTGCTATCCACTCAGCCACCGTGCCGCCCAGTGAAATAGGCACATACCTTTTCAGACAAAGTTGCGATTCTATATTTTTATTTTCAGCAAAAATGAGCATGCAGGATGTAACCTCCACATACAGTACAGCAGACGTTAAAAAAAAAAATTCAAGAAATCAAGTAAAACGTGGGGGATATGCGAGACTCCAGAAGACTGAGAGGAGGGCAATGGTGGAGCGTTTATATGAGGACACAAATAACTCAAACATGCAAATTAAGAAATGTTAAGAAATTTTTAGTGCATTATAGGGTTTTTTAATCAAAATATATTTTTTAAATTCATGTGTTCATGTGCGGTTGTCTTTTGATTTTTGGCACAGCTACTATTGACTTTTTGATACTTTTACCTGATGCTATTTCTACATTTTGTTCTTTTGAAGTTTTATTTATTTTTTGGATTCTGTTGTATCCTATGTTTTTTGTTGTTGAATTTTGTTTATTAAATGTAGTAGTCACGCATTTGAGCTCTTCCCTTGCACATTTATTATTTTATGCATAATAATGATCACATATTACTCAAACCTGGTCGATTGGAAGCTCCGTGGCTGTGTTCTCATCCTCGGCCACCTCCTCTGCTCCTCGCACCTCCTCTCTCCTCTTCCTTCCGGCTCTTTTAAACACACTGTGTCGAACTACGAGGCAAGAGAAGTCCCCATAAGCACTGTGCACATTAGAATAAAAGAGAGAAGACTTTCAAAGCTGTATAAACCTGTAGTGGTGAGTGGATGTGGCCTGTTTTTGCGGACTTTCACTGGTCTGGAGAAAAACGCTGCTGGGTCGTCAGGGTTCAGGCCTCTGTGTCTCTGCTGGGAGGCCTGTGGGGGCGCGGCTTCATCTCCTGTGGATCTCACTCTTCTGCCGTCAGACTGGACCAAATTAGAATTAAAATAATAGTATAGCATAATTGGCAACTTTAATTTAACTTTAATTTAAAGGCAGTGATTTTTCCTCTACCTCTGGCGAGTTCAGAAGGGCCGAGTCGCTGCACTGGTCGTCTGTCCCATTCACGTCCTTTCTGTTCTAACAAAACAAACAAACACAACACCTGTTATCTTACTGTTTATTAAAGATGGTTTCCCTAACTTTTCCGTTTTGATTAATATATCAAAGCAAAATTAACTTTTTGTTTTCTTATTAGAACAAACATTGTATCTTCTGCACACTTCTATGACAGAACTCTGTGAGCAGTGTGGGGGAAGTAACTTTTCTCGCAACTTGTTGCTTCTTTAGTTACTCACTAAAGAAAGTAACTTATACGTTTCTTGTTACTTTGATGTTACTTTTGTGTTACTGTCATTATCCACTACAGTCTATCCACTCAAAGCTGTCAAACCAAGGAGATGAGTCAAAACCTGACTGTCATTTGATGGTCCGCCTTAATGCTCTGAACCAATGCAAAGCTGGGAAACCTATTGAGCCAATAAAACGCAGCTCACGTTGATCACATGAGCGGCTGTTTTGACACACGCTCCAGTGCAGTGTTTTGAAGCAGTTTGGTTTAGGAAGAGCGACACACACTCCAGAGCCTCAGTGTTGTTTGCCCATCGCAAAAAAGTAATGAGTGTGGTGTGCACATGGATGATTAGTGGTGGTTGGAGGGGCCGATGGCACATACTGGTTACCCCGCTTTGATGAAAGGTCTTAAAGTGATAAATAAAAATGATGCACCATTATTATCATTTTTAGTTCTCTATTAAACCCAGTGTAGTTCTCACACCCCAAATCATTCCGTTACAAATTCAATAAAAAGTGACCCAAAAGCAAATAAAACAACTTACAGTATAGCCTCAACAAGACCAACTTAAAATCCAACATGTTGTCAATCTCTTTTGTATTTGAACCATAAAAGAGCCAACACTGGGAGCAGAGATCCAAAGATGCAAATGTGACAGTACCTCATTCCTCTGGAGCATCCGCCTCTTCCCCGGGTAATGCCTACAACAAGGGGACAATGGGTCAGGGGTCAGAGGTCACCGTAAATACTCTCTTCTGTCAGATGGCCATGAGTAGTGCAGCCTGTAAACATCGCTACACACACACACACACACAAACACACACACACAGACACACACATACACGTTTTTGTTACCTGGTGGGTCCCTTTGACAGGGCCGTTCAGAATGGGACCCATAGACATAATCTTTTTTTACTGGAACTACTTTAAGTAATACAAAACAGTCAATAGAAACCAAACAACTATTTTAAAGGAATTTTATTTTAGATTTTTTTTTTGAATTGCAGTGATTCTATTTTTGACATAGAATTTAATGCCACTCCATGTCCGATGTCTAAGGTCATCTGGTGAGGCATTAATGCAGGCCAGGCAGTGAGACTTCCCAGGGACCTTTCCAGTCTGTATGAAAGGTGTCATGGTCTTCTCCACAGCCTTCACCTCAGATGCAGACCATGGCTTTCTTACACGTTCTAGGGAGAGAAATAAAAATATATTAGCAATATACACTCCCAGGGTTAGGACCAAGCAGCCTGGCTGTAATCCCCCACCTGGTACACTTACCAGAAGGGGCACTGCCACTACCATGGGGTGCATCTGGATGAATGGTTGAAGGTTCTCCGCTTGAAGTTTCTTTTAGCCCGTCCGTTTGTGAGAGGATCTCTACTGCTCTCCCTGTCGCACAGAAAATAAAAATACAAGTGGCCTTTAGGGGAAAAAAATCATACATATTTTAATAATATCAAGAATTACCTTCAGGCTCAATTTGTATCTGGTCGAGGCTCTTTCCTTCGAATTCCGTCACTCTTCCCTGCTCCATGGCCATCAACACTTTGCTGATTTTGGCCAGCTCCAGTGTCCCCCTCTGGTAGTCTGTAATATTGCCTGTGGATGCGAATGTCATGGCCGAGGAAGTTGGCAAGTATGTCCATCTCATTCTCTTTCATATTGAGAACTGTAGACATAGTAGCTATGTGCTTTCTAAGTTTGGTTGAGGATAGCATCTCTGGATGCACCGCACCACATTCTTTGGCTACCTGGCGTAGGGAGTCTGATCCCCTGATGTGGGTGTCTGCGCCCGGGCGGGAAAAGAAGTATGGGTTATGGTCAGAGATGGAACAGGCCCTTCTGTTCTCCACCAGCACCTCCATCGAAGCAATCATTTCAGGAGTCAAAAGAACCGGCACTTTCCGACTTCTTTTCCCTTTAATTTCAATGCGTTGAAAATGCTGACACAGCTTTTTCTCAAGTTGGGACAGTCCCAGAGCAATGTCAGAATGGATCCCAGTCTTACTTCTTAAGGTAAACGCTGTCAGTGGCATCTTTGAAACCTCACCTTCCCTTCTTCGATTGAAAATAATGACCTCACAAAGAGTCAAAACTGCCAGTTTAGACCAATGCTTAGACGTTGGCTCACTTATTAGGGTTTGCACATATTCAGGTCGACATACCTCAATATGTGCATGCATGGCTCTAACGTCCTCAGTCAGAGGGAGCAGGTCCGGAGTGTTCCACTTGGCTTGCCGGAGGGTCTGTAGGGCAGCAGAAGAAACACAGACGTCCCACCTCTTCTCAAAAAGCAGCCGGCTTCGTTGGAGGTTTTTAATAAATAGTTCATCAACACAATGCTCCATTTTTGAGTCACATTCAAGAATATCTGCTAGCTTTCTGAGGCTATGGCCAAGTTTGAGGGCCAAGGATGGAGTCTTGTATTGATTTGTTTCCTCATCATATCCAGCCACAGACCTGACTGCATCAATCACATGGTTAAAGTTGTAAGGAATAAAGAAATCCTTAATTGTTTTCAGTTTCCCTGCAGTTTTTGCTTCGTTAATTAACCTACCGACTTCTCTCATTTTCTGCCTAATGTAATCATGCTTAGTCTTATCATGCCCGTGTTTTAAGTACAGGTGCTCTCCGAGTCTCAGAATCCCCTTTTCTGCTTTGACAACACCCGTGACCTCATCCTGATGCATTGCCGAAATTAAAGACCACAGCTTTTTGCTGATGCCCTCCGGTACAGGCTGGGCTAGGGAGCAGAGGGACTGGACCCTACTTCTACCTGGTTTAGCCTGGGCATCTTTCTGTGAAAGCCGGCACCTGGCCACATGCCTCCACAGCGACTTTCGCTTAAGCAATGCCCCACAGTCTATACAGTGCAAAAACTCACTGGATTTAACTGGGCAATTTGGCTGTTTAGCTGGGACTAAAGTTCCAATGCCGGCCTTTAAAACCTCAAAATTGTGCTCACGGTTTCCACTATTCCTGATCAAATCAAACTGAAGTTTACGTGCTTTAGATTTCACAGGTAGAGCCAATGCTCTGGCTACGTCACTTTCATTTCCATGTTTTCTAGTCAAATGACGGGACATTTTGTGGCAGGACATTGAACAGTAGAGGCAGAAGTGTCTCTTGCTGTAAACTCTCCCCCCATTTTTCTTCTTTTGCAGCTGCATGATAACAATCTTATTTGCCTTTGGTTCGTCACTTTCCGAGTCTTGAAGAAAAGTGTTTTTGATTTTTCTTTTTCCATACTTTTTTACAGGTTTCTTCTTGACAGTTAAATCGTCAGAATCTGAGTCGACTTCATCAATTAGGGACTCTTGACTAAGCTGCACAAACAACAAATAATTTGTAATCATTCTATATAACAATTTGAAGTCATGACTTGTAGTCAGCACTTACCAGTGGTTTGTAAGCGTGCGCTTCAGTGTGCTCCTCCATGATTTCTTGCAGCCTAATGAACCACACACTTGCACCTTTTTCTAGCCTGACACCTGATTTCCTCTGTTGTGCTGCTCCATGATTGGCTCCAGCCTGCTGGACTGAAATTGCCCCAGTGTGCCCCTCCTTGATATCCCGCAACCCACCACCAGGGTTCCGACACATAACACACTTTTTTCAGGAAAGTAAACCTCCAGGGGTCCTTTCCATATTTTTACAGAGACTGCATAAGGACCGTTAGAAAAGCATTACCCATTGATTATTAAGCTTGGACCAGTGGGGTCCGGTGTTCGGGCCCCACCACGTAAAACCAGTCCCCATGACGTGAGTGGAATCTCAGGTTATGGAACCCACCAGGAGTTGAAAACAAGTGCACACACACACGCACACACAGACACACACACACAGACACACACACACACACACACACACACACACACACGCACACACAGACACACACACACAGACACACACACACACACACACGCACACACAGACACACACACACACACACACACACACACGTTACCTTACCTCTCCACAGCCTTTGACACCAACAGCTCAACGTATGGAAGTTTCTTGAATCTCTCCGTTCCCACAGCGACGTAGAAGTGTCCCGTCTCCAGTTCTGAGGCGGAGGACAGGGGCACGCCGTCCAAAGAGCACAACCTTTAGAAGACGCAGGAAAACAAAAACGTAGTTAAATTTCCATTTTTCTAGATCACTCACTAAACATCATTTCAATTTGAGTTTTTTTTTTCCTAATATGGTCGGTTTTCATTGGTTGCGCTCATTTGTCATCATAATAATCCAAAGACCTTATAGTTTGTTGGAGGGCAGCTGAAAAATCTATCTTTGTAACTATGGTAACTGTCAAATGTCAGTAGTTTAGAGCTCATTTTAATTCCTGGGCCAATCTACATAAAGATAAAAACTGTTGCAATGGTGTCCATTGTGTGTCAGCAGATGCTGTGTCAACAAGGGTCTCATTATGTTTTTAGTTTGGTGGCTAAAATAAAATTGTGGTTTTGTGGATCTAATCACTATCAAATAATGATCTAGGAAAACTATTGGACGTTCTCTCTTTCACTCTCCTTCCCATAGAGTCATATTAGCACTTGCCAAAAATACTGTAATAGAGTTCTATATAATGAATGCGACTGAAGAAAATGGCAAAAGATGCGGTGGTCTGGGATTGTGTCACAGCATAAGACATTTATTGTTGGTAAAAGGAGAAAGGGTTATTTATTTTGAGTTCATGGACATCAAATAATCGATTTACAGATACTTGTTACAATATTGACATCATTCAAACTCAAAAAGGAGTGGGATGAAGAAAAAAATCTTCCCACCCCTGTGCACATCACACTCGTGTGTCCGGAGCCAGTAGCACGGGTGTAAGTGTGATGTGCACAGAGGTTCATGTGATTTTATGTGATTTATGTGACTTTAAACCAGATGAGGGGCGACAGTAGCTCAGTTGGTAGAGCATTGGCCTTTGAGCCTGAAGGTCGTGGGTTCGAGCCCACCGTAAGACCTACTACACGTCTCCCACTGATGACTGCTGTCGTTGTGTCCTTGGGCAAGACACTTAACTCCACTTTGCCTGAAGCTCCCACTGAAAGATCTCAGCTCCTGTGGACTCACCACCTGCAGGAGGATCAGTGAGGGGCTGGTGCTCTGTGTGCTGGGTGGCATCTCTGGCCACCCCCCCGACCCAGAAATGGATTAAGGGGAAGAAAATGGATGGATGGATGGATAAACCAGATGAATCAAGCTCTTGTGACAACGCCAATAGATATGTTAGCTTCAACCTTCAGATAACCAAAACATCAAGTGGATAATCACTGACTTCTGTATGTTGTCGTGAAAACAAGTTCAGCTTTAACATAACTGCATCAAAGTGTCATAAAAGATCCACACCTGTAGGCTTTAGGTTACATTCATGATTGAGCATCCTATGTTTCCACCACCTCTACTTGACGCCACTCTACCCCTACCCGTCTATAATCTTGAATCACAACAGCAGTTATCTCAGAGGACTTTACAAAGTTGTTGATTCAAGAACACAGATCAGAGAAGCAAACCTTTCAAACACAGGGAATGGCCAATGTCCATCAATGTTAATAAAATTCCATAAGTGTCATATTCTGAAGGCGTTCTTTCTTACCTGCGTACAGCGCCAGTTCGTAGACTAACTTTGTCAGTGACTACCCCCAGGATCTGGTCCAAGTCCTGCTGCATGTTCCGGGGGATGATGAAGCGGAACGGGGGACACAGGAGATCTCCGTTGCGAAAAACACTAGAAGAGGAATGACATACGGCACTGGGGAATTCAAATAACCTTTCAGAAAATCTACCGTCTGCTTGCCGAGTTGTTGCTCTGCTTGGGAAGTCAAAGCTATTTGATTTTTATTGCCCAAACTTACTACAGCAGTCATCTCGAAGAAGACAACCAGAAAGAAAAAGTATTAAAATAGAAAGGTGAGCAAATGCTGTTTAATTCAGTTCAATTACATTTATTTTTGTCGAGCCCTAAATCACAACAGTTGCTATTTCGGAGGACTTTACAAAGGTGTTGGAATAAAACCGTTCAAACACAGAACATTGGTCCATGGGGGTTAGATGACCAATGTCCATAAATGTTCACAGTATTATCTGGATAGCCACTCGTAGAGCACAGACCTCCAGCAACAGGTGCAGTTTACAAAATCCTGCCTCCAGACGGTGACTCGGATCGCGACCCAGATTGAATCCCTTGTTCATTGGGCCATTGGCACAGGGCGAGTCATCCAATCAAATTTTGAGTTTTGCGGCTCACAGACACATAAATAACTGCTGGGCTGCAATAATTATAGCAAGAAACATCAAGAGTGGATCCTCTACTAGAGACTTTACAGATGAAACTCTGAGGAAAATGATTATATTGTTCAGAAGTCCATTGACTCTACTTTGCTTACAATGTGAAACTAATACATGAGAGGCAAGGTGAGATAATCAATCTGTCACAATCTTGAACATTCGCTCACAGCTTCTAAAACCCCTCTAATTGGCATATGTCATTTTGCATAATGAGGCTATAAGAGGTTAACTTCAACTCAATTTGGTCGGGGGACAAGTTTAAAAACATAAGAGCTGGCTGGGGCCAAAAGCATCAAACTGGTTTACTTTTATGACCATTTTTAGTATTTTTCTTTTTTAATTACATTTTATATGAGTTTGGATTATTTCATATTTTTCTTCTCTTTGAATTCAGTCACAACTGGGTCAAATATCAAAACAGATGTAATTGAAGAGCCATAGATAAAGTAAAACGTCTTGGGCCTTAACTTAAAATGACATGTTCGTTAACATTTTCGAACAGATTAAAATTATACGGTGGTGTTCCTGAGAAAATAAGCGTTGTACAGTATGTATAACACATCCAAGAAGCCCATTACCATCAATGCTGCAAGTTACTGTAATCATGATAATTGGAAATCATTTTAGGGGGCACAAAAATGGTCTAAATCATATATTGGTTCCATATCATAAGAGTTGAATTACAGAAATATATAAATTTTTGAACTGATTTCCTGAGTTTCACCTGGACATGAACATTATCACGGAGAAATAATACCTTAAGTTCCACTTCAGCTAAAACTCAAACTCAAAAAATAAATTCTTCATCATTCATATAAGATTAAGATAAGCGCTAACCGACAATTGTCCAAATGAACAACGTCCAAACACTCACTGTACGATGCAGGGTAATGGAATGAACTTCCTCCATTTGGCAGAAACGTTCGGTTTTTGAACAACTTTAGCCTGAAAAAAGCAATACAACCAGCGCATGTTAATTAGATTTTAAAGGGCAAACATTTGAAGCTTTCATAACACATAATCCCCTCATGTAATTACAAGAAATGAGAATGACGTGTGGGGTAGAACAAACTCGACAGACATCCATGCACTGCAAAAAGTGAGACGAGAATCAGTCGAACATTTCTCAAATTTGGAAAAATGTGTAGTGATGTAAAACTAGATTTGACAATGGGACAAAGCAAAATTATCTTGTTTTAAAAAGATACAAGAAATGTTTCTCTTGGAATAAGAAAATTAAGCAAATAATTAAGATAAAAATGTCTCAATTCAAGAAAATCACATTTAATCATTTTTTGCAGTGTGTCCTACTATTTACTCTGTGGAAAGTCTAGATCCATAATGATTTCTCTCATATGTTGTATAAGGATTAGATGGTGATTACAACTTTCACCCGTGGCCTGCCTGCACATACATATTTCTCTAAAATCATTTATGCATTGAGGTATAATCATTCTGCTCATGTCAGCTAAGAGTGCCGGCGCCATGGTAACAGGTGTCGCTCTGAGGCCTTTTTCTGTCACTTTCCTCCAGTGGGTCCGACGGGAGGGCTGATTGTAATGCACGCTCACATCGGCCACTCCACATCAGACACAAACAGGGTCAGACCAGAGACCCCTGGAGCAAAATTACATTGATGAAAGAAAATATCAAAGAGTTCATTTGCTGAAACAGATATCTCAGTTTTGAGAAATCATCAACAAATTGTATTCTCTCTAGTTAGAAAAATCCACTGTTTAAATTTAGTATGGTCTTGCGATAATGCTGAAGGTAGTGCATCTGGTACGTCCAATATAACTGTTGTGTCCAGAATAATGAAATAAAAAAATAAAAAAATGAAAAGATAAAATACAATGAATTCAATACATTAAATTAAATAAACAAATTTAAACTGTATTTTTATGGTGCTTAAATAGATCTGGCTTTTCAAAGAACCACTTGGTAAAGAGTTAATTGTAAATCTCTCAAATATTTTTTCCCAATGGCACTTCAGACTGTTTTTGCAAATTAACTATTCACGTGTATCCTACAAAGAACAGAGACATCTATGGAGCTAAGGCTTGTATTGTAGGATGTAGAGGGACGTAGCTCCATGGTAACCACAACACAAACATGTGAATAAAACATGGCAGCAGACGTCTTTTACAATTACACACATTTTAAAATGCAAAGTTAGTGATCTAATAAAGTCAATACATTCACTCTCCGACTGAATCTTTCTGCCTGTGACACATGCAGCTCCTGAGCACTGATTCCTGATGCAATCCACTGCTACCGGTACCGACTTCTTTTTTTAAAATCTGCTATTGTTTAAACAAATGTGTGCTATTATTTTTTGTTAATGCATATTGCTATTAAACTGCTCTCTGATCGGCAAATTTTGTTGAAAAGCAAAAACAAATATATATATTTGACATCATGTCCATTGTATTTTTGACTAAGAATAACTCAGCTTTATCAGTACCGTTAGACCACGACACCTGAGTGTGTTAAAGTGTTTGTCTGCCCTGTGTATATTGTCAACTAAAAACCTACTTATTTGGGCAAGCTTTTGCATAATCTTCTTCTTCAGCTGTTTCAAACCTGTCATTGAGTTGTCTTAGCCATTATATTTGTAATTTTAACTTGCATTTTGTCTGTTTTTACCTGTATATACTGTGAAGCGCTTTGTGGCCTTGGTCTGTGAAAGGCGCTGTATAAATAAAGCTTACTTACTTACTTACCTCTGACTGTAAACACATGCATGTTTTATTGCATGTTTTTTTTATGTTTTATGTGCTATTATTTTGCCAACAACCCACCTGTACATGGGGTTGTTCTTTTCGGAGGCCTATGAATGTAAATTAACCCATAAGTCTAACTCTAGTACAATGCATCAAATAAAACATTTATGTTCAATTTGTACATGGTCCCTTTTTAAATAAATAAAATAAATACACTTTTGTTCAGAAAAGGTTGACCTACATGTTGACCTGTTATCTGGTGACACATATGCCAGATGTAGATGTCATCTAAAATTATAATTACCTATGGTCCCGCCCCTTTAAGATCTTCTCTCCCCTGGTTGTACGTCTCTCAGCTAAATCTTAAAGAGGCAAATCAAAGGGTTCTCCTGGCAGGGCTCACGGCTGCCTCAATGACACCCTTACAAAAATTAATACTATTTATTCTGCCTTGGACCTTTTGAGCATTTTTAGATTGTTTAAAATAATTATATTTATACAAAAACAGGGATAGGAACACTTAATTAGGAAATGATTGTTTTGAAGAATGTGGGATTGGCCGTGCGATGCTCTGTGAGATCTGGATTCAAAAATATTTACCTGGAGTTCTTCCCGTGTGGATGGCTGCTTCTTTATCCCAGCATTGGTGTAACTGAAAAAAAATGTCCTCTAGCATTTTTTATCACAACACTGAGACAGATTAAAACGATGGAATAAACCAATGTAAATGTCACATAAGATTTTCTGATTTAGAGGCTGGGTTTTATATAAAGTAGTTAATGCGGTTTCCCCTCCAGAAAGAGTCTAGTAAACACATGACCTTGTACGATGCATGCGGCTGGTCAAACCTGTTCGCCTGATTCCAGAAGTACCAGCTGGAACCATGAACCACACACATCTACAATAATTATACCTAATATTCGTTTCTAATCAAGAGGCAAAACCAGCTATTTTTAACCTAACAAACTGACAACCCAAATGAGAGACATCATTTGGAGTATTATGTCCATAAAATTTTTTGCCACTTCTGTTTTGAAAAGGTCATATATGTTTTTTACATATTATTATCTGGGGACAAGATTTAGATGTTGTTTGAAAATATAAAATTACTTACTGCCCCTATAGTGTTTGGGATGTTTACAAAAAGACTTCCTCTTTTCACAGTTCGATCAGTTAACAGTTATCAGTTAACTTAAAGTTTTAGATATCATCTATACAGCAGCATCAAAGAGCCTTGTCTCATGTTCTCACCTAAACAAGCTGACACACCCACTTTACCCTGGTTTTAACATTTTATTGGTTGTTTATAAAGCTCCTCATGGACTAGCCCCTGCATTCGTTTCAGGCCTCTTCAGCCCTGGATCTACAGCCTCAGTCCTGGATCTACAGCCTCAGTCCTGGATCTACAGCCTCATTCCTGGATCTACAGCCTCAGTCCTGGATCTACAACCTCAGCCCTGGATCTCCAGCCTCAGTCCTGGATCTACAGCCTCAGTCCTTGATCTACAGCCTCAGTCCTGGATCTACAGCCTCAGTCCTGGATCTACAGCCTCAGTCCTGGATCTACAACCTCAGCCCTGGATCTACAGCCTCATTCCTGGATCTACAGCCTCAGTCCTGGATCTACAACCTCAGCCCTGGATCTCCAGCCTCAGTCCTGGATCTACAGCCTCAGTCCTTGATCTACAGCCTCAGTCCTGGATCTACAGCCTCAGTCCTGGATCCACAGCCTCAGTCCTGGATCTACAACCTCAGCCCTGGATCTCCAGCCTCAGTCCTGGATCTACAGCCTCAGTCCTTGATCTACAGCCTCAGTCCTGGATCTACAGCCTCAGTCCTTGATCTACAGCCTCAGTCCTGGATCTACAGCCTCAGTCCTGGATCCACAGCTTCAGTCCTGGATCCACAGCTTCAGTCCTGGATCCACAGCCTCAGTCCTGGATCCACAGCTTCAGTCCTGGATCCACAGCCTCAGTCCTGGATCTACAGCCTCAGTCCTGGATCTACAGCCTCAGTCCTGGATCTACAGTCCGTCTGCTGTAGCATCTCTCATTGAATTGGGTTGACCTTCATATCAATACTCACTCGATCTTCTTGAAGCGTTCAAATCCAGCTGCCACGTACTTGGCTCCGGTCCTGAGCTCCTGCAGCTCAGACACGCGGTGGCCCTGTCTGGGCGTGTACAGGGTCCTCACGGCCAGCGGAGCCCCGATGCTCTGGGTCACCTCGGTCAGGAAAGCCTCCATGGTGGACACCTGCCTCTGGTTCACCACAAACCTGCGGCCGCTGTAGAAGGGGTCTCCGTTCTTGTAGACCACCACGCTCTTCACGGGGGGCAGGAGGATGGAGGCGGCGGTCCCAGCAGCCATCGCCCAAGCTCTGCACATGAGGACACGACCAGGGTAAAGACAGATTATTCAATTCAATTCAATTTTCTTATATAGCCCTAAATCACAACAGTAGATATCATGGAGGACTTAATAAACAGTTCATACACAAGAAATGAAGATGACCAATGTCCCTAAATGTTAACAAATGTCTATAAACTATACTTCTGTTGTATTTTAGTCCGCGCTGGTCTTTTGGATCGGAAGTTTTACGTTATTATTAAACAGATCAGGCTGATGTTAATCCAGAATGCAATAGAATTTGAACTCTCACACAAATATGTTCAGTAGTGAGTAATCTACGCTGTGTTTTATACATCGCTTTTTTGGATATTAGTTTACTCGATAGACAGTGGTGATAAACTACTATTGTAGCCATAGCTGCCCAGGGGCACACTGACAGAAGCAAAACTGACAGAAGCAAGCAAGGTGCCACCAGCCCCACCAACCATACACATGCACGCACGCGCGCGCGCGCACACACACACACACCCACACACACGCACACACACGACTCATTCTGGGCGATGTGGGTGTGTCTCGCACCTCTGCTCGTACTAATCAGGCCCTGTCCTGCTTAGTTTCAGAGGCTTGACAGGAGAAGTTACGGTACTGTAATATGCACAGTTAAATTTTGGAAAATGTATTTATTTTCCAAGATTTTAAAATAAAATGTAATTTATTTAATACAGCCACACAAATAAAATGTTTTTTGCGCATCCATCCATCCATTTTCTTCCCCTTAATCCATTTCTGGGTCAGGGGGGTGGCAGTCAGAGCTGCGCCCAGTCCACACAGCACAAGCCCCTCACTGACCCTCCTGCAGGTGCTGAGTCCACAGGAGCTGAGATCTTTCAGTGGGGGCTTAGTGTCTTGCCCAAGGACATAACAACAGCAGACATCAGTGGGGGTCGTGAATTTTTCACAACACATTTTCAAAACATATCTATTTTTGCAAACGTACTCCTCAAGTAATAGATTGTACAACATCTGCAGACCAAAAATAACAATGGTGACTATATTTTCTTTTAACATTTTGATGTTACTATTTTTGTATAAAAGGAGTTTGGCATGCGTCTGTATAGTCTGGTGAACGATTATGCCAATATTGGATGATGATTGACTTCCCTCCAGCTGAGGCAGATCTCACTCTACAGTTTATTCATGTGTGCAGTAGTGATCAAAAAAGTCTGATGTTAGTTTCTATCATTTTTGTTGTTTTTAGAAAATAGCAAAACAAAAGCAGATGAACAAATAAAAACATGGAACATTCAGGTGGAACAGACAACCACATTAGATAGATAGATACGTAGATTGATAACTTTATTACAAACTCAATAGATCATCACGGACACAGACAAAAAACAGACAATAAAAATATAAACATTTTCAAGATGCAGTCGAACCAATGATTGACACATCGTATATACATTGAGTTGGGTTCTAGACACACTGTACAAAAATAGCAAAAAAGTACAGTCAAAATAGCTTGAATAACTTTCATTTAAGTAATTTAAGTACATTTTGTCAGCCTTTATAACCAGCGTTGCCAATGATGAGACCCACAAAGATGTCTTGTTTGTTACGAGGCAGGCAATTTCTCATACGAATAAATTAACCTAGCAACTGCCCTTGAACTAAGAATGTTTGTTTGTGCCATTGAGGTTTTACAATTTAGCTTTACTTGAACCAAGCTAAGCACAGTCCATACAAAGGCAACTAAAAGGGCTTAACAAAATAAGAAAATAAACATTAAAATTAAAAATAATCACAGTACATTAAAGGGTAGGTACTGCTTGAAATACTCAAGATAAAAAAGTTGCTATCTCGAACCTTTATAACATAATATTTTATTACTTTTGCACCACATTCATAGATTTGTTAAAATTTTTCCTGCATTTTCCCACACACCGAGTTCCCCATAGCCTGCAGTAACCAAACATAGACACAGCAAAGGAAGTTCAAAGACTTACAGGTGAGATGGTACCCTGAGGGAAAATGAAAGGAGGAAATAGATCTTCTCTCTGGTGTCGTTCGGACGGGTCTCCCACCTCTTCTCGCACTCGGCTCCTGTGCACATACGCAGCTCATGGCCCAGAGTATTTCCTGGTTGCCATGGCAGCGGGGACAGCAATGACTGGCTTTGTGGGCCAACCCATCGACGGCAACGACAACAAAAGCAAGAAAGGCTGAATCAATATGATAACCAAGGCATGTTTTCTGTCATGTGGGTGTGAGGATAATTATTCAGGACACAAAGCGGCGTAAAGCTGAGATACCTAACTTTATTTTAAAAAACAATACTTGTATTATTGGCTGCTGTCACATCTTTATCAGACAGAAAAGAGAAAAAGAGAGGAGCAACTTCACTCAGCCAATCAGCTTTCAGCCCACGGGGTCAAATATGACATTGCAAGGCTCACAAGTAAACAAACAATACTACGTAAAAACAACCTATTTCAGCCACTCCAAAACTTGAATTGACAAAATGTATTATTTATGAAGGAAAAAGTTAGGTGCCCAAGCTTTAAAGGAGCTTTATGCACACATTATGCTAAATATTTTGTTGAGTTATACGAAATTTTACAACATTTTTCCATCACCAAAAAGAGACAGTTGTATCCATCCACACTATAATATACGGAACTTCTGGCACTCTGCCCTTTCTGTCATGACTAAAGTTCCTGCCTCAAGCCACATTCTATCTCGGAAACTCTGAGGTTCCGACTTCTCGGTCTTTGGTACCCAAACAATGTGACATGTAGATAGGATGTGTTTTATATCACATTGGTTTTACTAAATAAACACATTTAAGCCAAAATTGTATTTTAAATAATATTTTGTGAATTTATGGCCCAAAAGCATAGCACAAATATCAAAAATCAAATCATGCTTATAAACTTGTGTTTCATACACATTAGTTATGTTTTTAACATAGTGCTGCTATTTTGTTGTTTAATTTTTATCCTCTCAATTTCTAGGGACAAGTGTTGACAAATAGTTGTGGCTATACATAGGCGTGCATCAGACTACTGCATGGCTGTCTACATTTTCTGTATCTGTCCCTTCTCAAATAAACCAAATAATAATAATAGTTTGTGTGGTTCAATGAAAGTCACTTTCTCCACTTTTACCTTTTCTGCCCATATTCCACTAATTTACATTATACATAACTATGTATTGCTCTTGAACCATTTAAAGCTACTTATCAATGGTTATTTATTTATTTTTGTATCTATGTACATTTCCCCTCTGTGTCACAAACAAAGGTTCTCTTATCTTAATGGTATGGCACTAAAAACCACTTGGTAAGAAGCAAATTGTAAGCCTTTCAGATACTTGTACTAATGGCACTCATGCGGTTTTTTTTCTTTACAAAATAAACTTTTGATATTTGAATTTAAGATTTTGCAGTAAATTCCAGTCATAATTTGTTTGACTTGAGGCAATTTCCCTATTTTATTGATACCAGAGGATGGACAGGTCCAGGGAGTTTCTGAAACATTCTTCACCTTGTGTTCTTCATCCCAGTGAAACTTGAGCCTCCACCTGCCACCGCAGTGTTGGTTAACTGTACACTCCATGTAATCACCGCTAAGCAAGACGTTTACATCAAAGTACAACACATCTACTGAGACTATCTCTCATTGAAGAAAAAGGACATTTATTATTCTCATAAAAAAACATTAATTGATTTCATTTGATCATATAAATATATACATAGTGTTTCAATATACAAATAAGAGTTTTTGAATAGCAATAAAAGACTATTTTGGGCTCCAGGGGGATCTGCTGCCGTCAGGAGACACTCAGCTGCTTCTTCAAGGACAGGTACTGGGGAAACAACAGCAGCAGTAGTTAAAAGATGTGAGGTGAGAAAATACTATTTTCTTTAGTCCAGTTCAGTCTCTGCACTGGCTTCCTGTGTCTTAGAGAACAGACTGTAAAGCTGCTCTGCTCTTGTACAAGTCTCTCCATGGCCTCACACCAAAGTACATCTATGACAAATTAACCAACTCTGAGAAGCACAGGGACTGGCCTCGTGCTGGTGACCAGAGTCAGAACTAAACATGGAGAGGCAACATTTCAGATTTCCACGGATATAATCTGGATGAGTCTTACACAAAATGTGAGACAGGCATCTTTTCTGACAATGGTCCCATTCAAAAACAGTTCTGTGCACACAACTGAAAGATTGTATCTTCACTGTTTTTAATCTACTGTGATTATCTATGATTTGAATACCTTGTGTGGGTTTCTTTCCTCGTTTTGTTAAGCACTTTGAGTTGACTTGTGTATGAACTGTGCTATACATGTTCCTTACCTTGCCTTAAAGACAATACTAAATTATTAATAGTACCAAAATTTGACCCTGCAGAGTTAAGCACATAAACTTTAGTCATGTATTTAAGCATATTGAAAAAGCAGGCAGCTGCAATCTAAATGTATTGAGAGTGCAGACATTATACACTTACATCAAGATCCTCGTCATAAGACATTTTATGTAGATTCTTTGTTTCTTTTGCATGCATAAAAAGCATGCTTTATTCTAATTTCTCTTTCACGTTGTTTGCAGACTCAACATGTTCCTAGTTTGTGACTTCCTGTTACTCACAATGGCAATAAAAATAATTCTGATTCTAAACAACACATCATCCTCTCACCTTCTTCCTGCTGTGGATGGCCTGCTGCAGCCACAGCAGCTCCATGGACAATGTGTTTCTATGGACACAGAGGGCTTGAGGGGTCCGCGGCACATCCCGGGCCAGACAATACTGCCGCAGAGCTGCACACAGTAAATTCAGTCTGATTGAGAAGGCCACTTCACGACATGAGAGCTTGTTAAATCCACACACACAACGCACACCAAAGATCATTTGTGTAATTTCACCAGGAATGCCATAAAATGCTTATTTCTTTGTCACTCTTCTCTTTGTCAAGGGAAATTAAGCATCACGTTAATCATTCGGCATTTGAATAGCTGCTTTAGCCAATAAAATTTAATTAAAGTTGTAAAAGAAGAATTAGTGCATACGTTTGAAATGAATAATAAATATCAATGAACAAATTCTACACACCAGCGGCAGCAATAGTGAACGCTATTTCATTTAATGTCTAATAGATTGTGCGATCAGATATTACAGAAGAACTTTCTAATTTTTTCTCTGTAGGGAAAATATTCAATCAACATTTGACACGGTAAGTCACCAGACCTAAGATACATACCATAATTTTTTATCAAATTGTTTATGCCTATCAATTAGACCAAGGTCTACCACTTTCTTTCAGGACAGTGATAATTCAGGACATTTGACATTCAACTACATTTATGGACATCCATTAAACATTTATAGACATTGGTCACCCATCCCTTATGTACTAATAATTCTATGTCTTTTTTGTCATTGCATTTTCTATGTTTGAGCTGATTTGATTCTCTGATCCATCTTCTACCCCTTAATCCATTTCTGGGTCGGTCACTGATCCTCTGCAGGTGGTGAGTCCACAAGAGGATTGCTGCTCTGTCAATGTGAGCATAGCCATGATCTCAGCAGGGGCTTTGCGCAAAGTGGGGTTAAGTGTCTTGCCCAAGGACACAACAACAGCAGACATCAGTGGGAGTCGGTGTCAAGGTGGGAATTGAACCCACAACCTTCAGGCCTAATGGCCAATGCTCTACCAACTGAGCTACTGTCGACCCACATGATTCTCTGATCCATGTTGGTGAATTGACATCTTTGTGAAGTCCTTTGAGATAACAGCTGTTGTAATTTAGGCCTTTACAAAAATAAATTGAAATGATTTTTCTTCTCTGGTCCATCGTCCAGGTACGAGGTCCCAATTGAAGCCCAAAATATATATACATCTTCTACATTGCGTTTTCCCGCTTTAATAAACATATTAGCTGTGGTTGCGCCGAGTGCAGACCATCTGTGAGACATGTTGCCCTCACCTGCTTTGGTAGAATGAGAGGAGCCCAAGTCAGTATCCACACTGCTCCAGACGGTGGTGTCACAGGGAGTCTCCGTCACTCCTTCCTCCTTCTCTCTCACATCACCTCCTCCAGTCAGCATGTCACCAGCGTCACCACTGCTGCTGGAGAGGAGCTCTCTAGGGGGAAGAGTTTGTGAAATGTCCCTTTCTGCTTCCAGCTTCTCTGAAAAACCACAGCCATCTTCCTCTCTACTGGAACCAAACTCAGCAGAACCTGGGCATTCAGTCCCCTCTGATTTGGCATTTTCAAAGTTGTCGTGGATTTTATTGTTTTGGGAAAGGTCCTGTGAATAAACAGTGAAAAGAGCAGAGTAACAAAAGCTGTCAACAAAATGTTCAAAAGCTAATATGCTCAAAATCATGTTTTAGTAAAATTAAGTTTTAGGGGTATTATCTACAAATTACCACATTTCAAAATGTTGAATCACATATACATTTTTACATGTGTCTACAAATAACTGGTTAACCATTTTTTAGAATCATCTTCACTCTTTTTATTGTTTTTTAAATTATTTTAATGCCTTGTGTGAAGATTTCTATCTTGAATTGTTGAGCACTTTGAGTTGTCTATGAACTGTTCTTTACAAATAAAGTTAGGTCCTTCTGAGTGAGCAGGCCTCTGCTCAGGACTTTTTATGACTCTGTGGTAGCTTCTGCCATTTACTACGCTGCCTTGTGTTGGGCCCCGGGCAGCACAGAGCGGTACAGAAACAGACTGAACAAGCTGGTCAGGAGGGCCAGCTCCACTCTGGGCTGCTCCCTGGACTCTGTGGAGGAGGTGAGGGACAGGAGGGTGCTAGCCAAAGCCACCTCCATCATGAACAATACCTCCCACTCACTGCACAGGACTGTAGAGGAGCTGAGGAGCTCCTTCAGTGGAAGACTGAGGCACCCTCAGTGTAGGAAGGAGCGCTACCGCAGGGCCTTTATCCCCACCGCTGTCAGACTGTACAATAAGTCACTTTAAATGATCACTGTGTGAAAACCTGCACTATTGACACTGTTTCCAATTGACACTTGTCACTTTTGTTGCACATAATTATTGTCACTTTATTGTACATATATATCCTGCATGTAACATGTTTGCACATTTCCTCCTTTTGCACAATCTGAGTGTCTCTATCCATGCCAAATGTGACATGTAAATTTCTCCTCTGTGAGATAAATAAAGCACATCTTATCTTATCTTATCTTAACCGGCATTCTTTTTGACAAGTTCTCACTTTCCTACATAATTCACCCTCTAAAATTTCCCAAAGGTGTGTGGTTTTACTACTTGAAAATAATTCTTACATTGAGCTGACTTTTGAACGAGGGTCTCAAATTGGCAGGCAACCAGTCTTTCTCTTATACATTATAATCATAGACAGTAAATATTAATTTCTGGTGATGCTTACAATGTCTACGAAGTAAGGGAAATGCACAACTCTTTTGATCCATTTCAAACAGCGCAGATCGCCATCAATTTCTTTTACAATGTCTTCATAGTCTTCTCGTGCACGGCGGAGCTCCTTTCGAAACAGGTACCCTCGTGCACGCGCCTGTGGGGAAGTGCAACAAGTGTTAGACAAGGAGGAGACTGGACCATACACTGGACAGGACTGAGGCAAGAGAAAACCGCTGGGAAATATGTTTGATATCCCTGTGGTAAGGCATGATTCATGTGGATATACTCCTGACCAATGCTGACCTGAAAATGACAGATAATCCATTCCAGTCTACGCGTCTCGTCCATCACCTTGGAGACGCAGGAGAGCTAGCATCAAGGCTAATGCTAACAACACGAAGAGGAACTTTTGTGCTTCCGGGTTAAACAGAAAAACTAAAGCCAGGGGAACCTTTCATAACTAACTCATATTATTGCTTAAACAAACTCTTAAAAAACTTTCACATAACCATTTGGACATTCGTGAAGCATTGACAATCTAGAATCATGCTAAATTAACATGTCAATAACACATTTTCTTATTTCTAAAAGACGCCAGCGGAAATGCTACTTTCACATGTTTTGGTTTTGATTCGGAAATGATGCCCATTTTTTTGTATGGATTGTTCATTAGTTCTGTAATTTTTTTTCTGAAGAAGACATGAGCGGTGCTGCGAACCAAAAGACTTTGTTTCAAGCATGGGGCACGGCTGCGTCTCAAAACAAAGTTGTTCCTCCCAAAAAAGATAGTAAAAAAGCGGCAGCGAGGCGAAAGACCACCCCAAGCAGCAGCAGCAGCTCTCAGATCACTACTCCAAGACCTGTTCACATAAAATCACTCTGGAGTGAAATAGGGCAGGGGTCTTCCTACAGCGCAGGAGATTCAACGAGTGCTACTGTCTATTTGGATGAAGATGATGATGACGATCTGCTGTTGGTAGCTGTCCACGATGCAGAACAGACTTTGCAACTCAATACTAATTCACGCAGCACAGATGACAGAGAGTCTACTGCAGTTTCTCTCTCTTCTGAACAAATTTATCCAGACTTTCCTGGGTTTGACAGCTCATCGGCCAAAGTATGGATCTACCCCACAAACTACCCAGTCAGGGAGTACCAGCTGAAGATCTCAGAGACTGCCCTCTTTCAAAACACACTGGTCTGCCTCCCAACCGGCTTAGGGAAGACTTTTATTGCTGCTGTTGTCATGTACAATTTTTACCGTTGGTACCCATCAGGAAAAATAGTTTTTATGGCTCCAACCAAACCCCTTGTGGCCCAACAGATTGAAGCATGTTATAAAGTCATGGGAATTCCACAGGCACACATGGCAGAGCTTACAGGTAATCAATATTCTAAAACAGGGGTGTCAAACCAGTCCTCCAAGAGCTGGCGTGGCAGCAGGTTTTCATTCCAACCAAGCAGGAGCACACTAGCCCCCACCTATTTTTTCATGCGGGTCCAGTCTTAACTCTTTAGTGTTCACTTCTTGAAGAAAGCAATGTGTAAAAAACATAAACAAAAGAGAAATTATAAGATTTAGGAACTTTAATTTGTCAGTTTTTATTTATATGTATATATTTTGAACCCACCTTACTAATAATAGGCCTCTACCAAATGATTGAGTCGCAGTTTGATGGTAAAAGTGAAAAAGTGATAAACCATGCCCCAATGAGATAAATAGTCCAAGCTAGATATAGTGGCTCAAAAAGTGAGAAAATGATTAAAGGGTTAACCTTTAATTTCCTCAAGGTGAAGCCTTGAGGAAATGGGTGGAGTGTATGATTGTTTGGATTCAAAACCTACAATCTGGACCAGTTGGTCACCCCTGTTATAAAAGGTCCTTAACCATATGATGTTTTGGTCAGTCATGTTTGCTCATGAATAACAGTGTAATATCTCCGCAGGCAGCACCGCAGCAAAGCAGAGGCAGGAAGTGTGGAGAGGCAAGCGTGTGTTCTTTCTCACTCCTCAGGTCATGGTGAATGATCTGTCTAGAGACACCTGTCCAGCTCAGCAAGTCAAGTGTGTTGTGATAGACGAGGCCCATAAAGCTCTGGGAAACCATGCCTACTGTCAGGTATGTCGTTTCTTCTTCTTCAAAATATCTAGCAATGGCAATCTTGCTTCACCTAAAAATATGCTTTCCAAGATGGTGGATTTGATATTAGAATATCATTAAAAAGTTAATTTAATTTCTGTAATATCTGATGTCTAATATAGACTCATTAAAAGCACAGTGGCCTTTGTTTTGCAAAACAAATGTCTGATTACAGCTTACAGTCCAATATATATATATATTAGGGCTGTCAAACGATTAATTTTTTTTAGTTGATTAATCGCATAGTAATGATGAGTTAACTCACAATTAATCGCATTTTTAACATTCTATTTCAAATCCACTCCAATTGAAGTTAAATGAGATTTTCAAATGTAATGACACATTATTATTCATACCAAATGTACTTACATCTGTTTGACTTGCTCACAACCTTCTACTTTTGGGTACAACCAACAAGAGCTGTTAATGAAAGGAAAAATGTAGGTACCCCAGCTTTAATTTTGCGAGTTTGGTTGCATTTCAGCGTGTCTCCTCCTCTCCTCCATCATCAGAGAACATCAGAGAATGGCCCCTGTGCGTGTATATAGATGCGTATTATATGACCACGTTACCGCTGTCACCATCACACACACACGTGTCCGTGGCATTCTGAGTGATATTATTATAAATGGGCGGGTCATTCGGACATGCGATTGACTGCCAGCCTATTTCAGAACAGGTACCCACAGAATATTGTGTACGATGACTATCTGAAATCCAAAACCAGATTCTGAAAGAATGGACGGTCTACTTTCATCAGCAAAAATAATTTTGTTTCTAGCTTGTTTCGTTCCCCTGTAATCCCCAGTCGAGTAGAGGTAAGTTTTATTGACATCACCAGAAAGCTGAGAAAAAAGAGGCACTTGTGCATCTAGCTGTTTTCAAACCATTCATAGAGCAATGCTGCCATCGGCTGGCTCGACAAAATATTGATTTGATACAACAGACATCTGGGAACGTGAAAATAGCGGGAAACGCAATTGACAGTTATCAATGGCAGTTAATGCGTTAATTATTTTTTAACGCGTTAATGAAAACGGTAATTAACGTGAATTAACGCAATAATTTTGACAGCCCTAATATATATATATATATATATATATATATATATATATATATATATATCTCTCTCCTTAGATCCAATGCAGGATTTATGAATGTGTGAGATCCGCCCAGATCTGAGCGTACGCACCTGCGGCTGTTGATAAATGCAACGGCTGAAAACAAACGTATATGAAAGTCACAATTTGGCCGTACGCAAGTTTCATAAATGAGGGCCATTATGCGCATGCATATGAGACTTTGTGAAATAAAAATAACATTAGATAAGGTTTAGGGTCATATTACAGTGCTACATTGCTTTGACATGCCATGTGTGTAACTGCAACACAATTTGAAATACATTTCACGCTAAATTTAGATAAACAAGATTATTAGGATTACACATTGTAAACTGTGTGCCCTACTTCAGTAATGGAACCAAACATGACATTTCTGAATGTTTATAGATGATACTCTGCAGACTGCAGAGGCTCTGACCTATAAGCATCAGTATTGATGTTTGCCGAACTCTGACCTTGTTCGGACCATGTACACATGTTCAACTCATCTGGTTCAGCTCGCTCCATTCCGATTTGTGCCGCTAGAGTGCAGCATTGCACCACTCTTGTGCAAACGTAATCCACAATAATTCATCCTTCTCCAATGTTCCTCAGGTTATCCGACAACTCTGGAGTCAAACTAAACAATTCCGGATTTTGGCTCTGAGTGCCACTCCTGGTGGAGACACAAAGGTCAGTGCAAAAGCAAATATTTGACTCACTCATTTGGGGAACTCTTTAAAAAAATTCCAAATATGAACATAACTTGTTATCAGTGTTGGGAGTATTACTTTGAAAAAGTAAATGGTTACATATTAGTAATTACTTTTAATTTTTTTACAGTCTTAGGGTAATGACATACAGACTGTATCATTATCAGTAACTGAACTCTGTTCATGGAAACGTGTTGAAGCTGCTCCTTTAACCTCTAAGGCAGTTCTAAGGAAGTATTTTGATAGTGACTGTAATTAGGTCCGAGCCCCGAACGGGGTAAGGGCCTATTGCTTTCACAATGGTGAATGCAAGTGGTGGCGGTTGCGTGCGTAAACTCAAACGCTTTAAAATGATGTATCACGCGCCATTGAAACCTATATTGTTTTTGCTCAAGACGTCAATTTTTTTTTTCCTTATTTCTTTCTTTCTTTCTGCTGCTGAAAGGTTGTTTGAGCAGCAGAGCGGCAAATTGTGAACTTTTTTGGCCGTTTTTGACAACATTAAATTTGCTCCCGTTTGCACAAACAAAGTCTGATTTAGACATAACTTGAATCCAATGTTGAACTCCAGGGTTTAGGTCAGGTGAAAGTGAAATATTTGAAATTGGCCCTTTAGCGCCCCCTTCAGACTGAGTAAATTTTTTACATGGGGAGACAAACCAGCTCAACTGATCATATTCATTACAATTTGACTAACATTCTTCTATGGCTACGGGAACTAATCATCACACGGCGGCGCCACCTCCTTTGCGCGGTGCTGCGTGGTACGGTGTGGTAAGACGTAGTGCGGGGCATTGTGGAGCGGCGTGGTGCGGGGCGGTGTGGTTTGGGGCGGCTTTGTGTGGGGCAGCGTGGTGCAGGGCGGCTTGGTGCGGAGCGGCGTGGCGCATGGTGGAGCACGCGGTGCAGCGGGGGCCGTTCGACGCCGCTTGCGGCTTTAATTTAATTTCAAATTAATTTAGTTACTTAGTTTCTCCAAAAAATAATTCATTTGTTTGAAACTGAGTTCTAGCACCTAAACCCTACTATATATGGACTGTGTGTATGATGTTTATTTTGATTCCGTTTCCTCTGCTCTCAGTCTGTACAGTGTGTGATCTCCAACCTGCTCATCTCTCACATTGAGCTGCGTTCAGAGGAAAGCCCTGATATCCAAGCCCATTCCCATCAGCGCAGTGTGGACAAGATAGTGGTCCCACTGGGAGAGGCTCTGTCTGCGTATCAAACACGATACATACAGGTATGTTTTATTGCTTAGCTTCAGTCTACATATCTACAGTGGAAACCAGAAGGTTACGTACACTTTGTCAAAAGATTTATTTTCAGAAGCTTCCAACTTAGTTTGTCTGTAGATTTAGGGGGAAAGGTTTATTTTCTCCACAGGAAACATTTAAGAATGGTTGGTTAAAGACCTTATGCCGGGTATAAAAAAAAAAAATTGTGGCTATCAAAATTGCATGACAATGTCGATCTGAAATAGATTCCAGCAAAAAAAATCTTATATTTTATAAAAATAATGTGTTTTTCATGAATTTAAGTTGTCTATGCTCTAACCTGTGTGTGACGTCATAGCGGGTAACGCCCATGCATTGAAAAGCATGGATCTATGCCACAGGACTGCCTTTTCTCTCTTCTCTCCACTGATGCCCAACACAATACTGCACTCTACAGGTGACAATTGCTCACTACACATAAATTGCCATTTTGAGAGTGAAAATGTGTCAGAGGTGGGATTTGAACCCCAGTATCTGGATTGGCAGGCCATCGACACAACCACTGGACTATCTCAGTGCCTTTAATTTGATACTCGCTGTACACGGCCTTGTCATCTTGGATATCCGCGAAAAAAGAACGAATACCAAATTGTAAACAACTTACAGCGTTGAAACGTACCCACTCTGACGTCACCAAGGGCTGTGAAGTTTTTTCGTCTCTAAGGGCGTTGCTATGGGGTTATTTCGATTTGGGGGGATCAGACAAAAAAAACAACAACTGATTTTGAAACCTTTAGTAGTTCTCTTCTAATATAAAATGGTATTAAAACTGTATTTCTAAACAAAACAAACCCGGCATAAGGTCTTTAAGATAGGACAAGATAAGCTTTTTGTTCGTCCCTCAGCAGGGAAATATCAGTGTTATAGTTTAACACATTACAGGAGAAATTCGAGCACTCATTAAACAAACACATCAAACAGGATCTGTTATTGAAGATGAAAAACACATTCTCTAATTGCACTTGGGTCAGCAGTTTGGAAGATTCACATTTATAGATGGCTCATGTTTGATGTAATAACATTTTTAACTATTTCTCAGTAATCTACAATGTTTTTGTATCTTTTATGAAAATTTGCCTTTGTGTGACATTTGTCAAATAATTGTTTAGTGCTGGGGTTGACCTGGTTTGACTTGATTTACTGAAGTTCTTAATCTTCCATATCATCTTACCTCTCACTAGTCACAAGTCCTCATCAGGATCATTTCATGTACGGTTGTTAAAAGTACAAAGCATTTACTTTCATCATTGTGTAGAATCATTTCACACTTTTACTCTTTCATTATAAATCCAGATAAGAATGCAGGAAGGTGTAGGACAAATACAGAGAAAAAAACATTCTTTATTGAATCTAAATGACCACAGTAGCTGTTGTTGTATACTTTGCATATTCACAGTACAGCACACACTTCTGCAAAACACAACAAATAAGCAGAGAAGGAGAAAAACAATATAATGTCTGCAGAAGAGCAGCCTGTTAAAGGGAACTCAAATGTCCAAATGCTTCATGGCTTTTTGTTTACATTATATTCTACACAGGTCGCTGAATGTTAACCAACTCTTTGGATGTGTTCACTGTAAAACTGTCTAGACGATATATATTTACATAAGACACACGCCATAGTTCCACTTCTCCATACTCTTGACAAAACGGCAATGTTTCAACAATAAGCCTTCAATATAGTACAGTATACCTTTTAATAAAAACAATCATGTTTTGAGGCTTCAACAGCCATCTCCCTGATCCTCACAGTGTTTGTTTGGCTACTTTATGTCCAGACAATGCAGCATGCATTTTCTGTGGCGCTAAAGCAATTCATCTGTGACTTTCTGTAGAAAACAAAATGACTACTGTGTTTATTAAGCTCGTTGCCTTGGTGAATTTACACAAAATAGTATGAACACAAATATTTCTGATAGAAAATTAGAAATACAAAGTGTGTATATATATAATTATTTTGAAGTATATATGTGTAGTCTGTTTTATCATGAACATGATTTCTCACAGTAGAACTCATGTCTGTGTTCTTGTCTTTTCTGGTTTCTACTGATACAGCAGTGGCATTTGCAATACAGTAGTAAGTGCAAACTGATTTACGATGAAATAATTCCTACTTCAAAGTTAGACACGTGTCATGGAAACTGTTCTAACGGAACAATAAATGATGTCCCTGAAAATCACCGGTGAGGAGAGAGAGGTACAGTTGTCATTGACTTATGGAATGCATTTTTTAAATTGTTTGACTAAGTAGAGATTGTCATCCAGCAGTAGTCTGAACTTGTTTGGTTTGTAAAAGTCATCTGTCTTTACCCTGTACATTCTAGTGTCCTGCAACATGAGCTTATTCATGCCTCAGACAATTGTTTGTAGTAAATGTGTGAGGTGGCACCGCTGTAGAGTGCATTGTGTTGTCTTGCATCTATTGCACTAACCACACAACCTAGCAATGTTTCAGCAATACATAGATATCCTGTAACTCAAAACAATTAGCACAGAGCAGACTGACTGACAACGTGAACCTGACCTCGGCAAGCCACAGCATGACTAGGACTTTGTTGTGGCACATACAGTTTCAGAACGTGGTGACTAACAAACAGTAAAGTACCACAGTAGTTCATGAATTCTTCTCCGCAGGCCGACCATAGCATGGCAGTGAATTTGAGTGGGGGAAAAAACTCACTGAGGCTGTGTTTTCACACGCCCCTTGTAATGCCCTGTTGTCAGTCATGTTCGTGGTCACTGAAGAAACTCGCTAAAAGGAAATATAGCAGTCTTCAATTTTGCTCAAAAAACCAGATCTCGTTCTGCCGGTGGCTGTGGGCTGGGTTTGTGTAGCCGGCTACGATGAAGGAATCATTCACGCACATACTGGGAGAGTCCAGCAGCTCGGACAGGGCATTGATCTGGTTCATGATGGTCACTTCATTAGTTGGACCAGTAAAAGCTCTGGAAACATGTAAGAAAAAGTATGTTGTTAGGAACAACTATAGTTTTAACAAGAAGCCTAAAAGGGCATCTTGTGCTTTTATCTACTCTAAATGTATCTATCGCAACCGTCATCATTTAATGTTAGTTACATTTTAGAATACCTCCGGGATCCTGATATCCTTGTGCCCTTTTATTTAACTATGTCACCATAAACAACATCAAGTTCTGCTCTGGCCAGACTCAAAGTTGAAAACGGTCCCCTGAATATTGACGATATAAAGGCCAAGCATTTAAAATCCTGTGAGAATTGTACTAACCGTGTATATACAATGTTGGCAGGCCAAATCTCAACGGCAATTTCTGTGTCAGTGGGTTGAGGAGGCTGAGCCTGATGCTCTGCAGGAAGGTAGTAGGCCACAGTCACATCATTAGAGAATACGGTGCGGCTCTGGTCTGTGTGCACCACAGTCACGATGGGCAGGGACATGCCCAGGTAGTGACCTGTAACAGAAGACCTTTTCCATAAGACACCTCCGCGTCACTGTGATAAGATCATGAAAACAAGTGACTTACCCAAAGAGTTCTGCTCACAGATGTATCTCATGATCTTCATAAAGCCATAGCAGATGCTCTGTTCATAAGTCTCCTCTCGCATTGTAATACAAGCCCAGTGGCCTTTTTCATAATGTCGTTTCTCATACAGCAGCTCCCCACACTAAAAACGGAAAGACAGAAGGACTGTTCACCATTTGTCAGATCTCAGACTCTGATGTTGTCTTCAAACGGCATCCTATGTTATAATTGAGAGTGAAAGTAGTAAAGTGTATTGTTTTGTGAGTGCATTAATGACAATCTTTAAAATGTTATCTGGAAAACTCCATGCTTTGTATTCAAAAAGTCGGCAATGCTCTTAGAATAGGTTGTCATACAGTCTCGGTCAGGCTTTAATATCTCATTAACCCCAGTTAAACCAATTAGCCTTGTTCTATATAAGGGTCCTATATAAGAGGGTCTATGAGTGTTTCTTTTTAATTATGATTATGGTGCAACTATTGAGACCCTTAATAACAACATATGTTTAGTTTTGTTTATGATAGTGTTAGGTTAATTAGTGCTCGTGAAACCTCCCCTTATCACTGGAGATAAAGAAACCGCACGATGCAGTTAAGCAACAGACGTACCTTCTCTTTGCGGCTGAGGAGCGTAAATGGCACATGTTCCCTGTTGCTGCGGCCTTCGTTGTTGGTGGTGAGCTGCTGAATTGGCTCGGCCATATCTGTGCACAAACAAACGAACAATCGAACCATCTCTGTCAGTGACCTGCATTCTCCACGCACGTAGTTTCATACAGTCTTTTGCGTCTCAAGTATTTGCACTCCATGACCTGCTCACATTAATCTTCAGGCAAGCACCAGCCATGACCTAGTGACAGATGGAGCAGCCCCACGACTTCCCACAGAGTAATGCTTATTTATTTTGAACTAAAACACCTCTCGATAGCAGGGGGATATGGCAGAGGTGTAGGTGAGAGCTAGATTATAAATTACCTGATTTCACACATCTGCCATGTCCCAAAACAAACAACACACTAATAATTGGGCGTAACATAAGTCAAAAGAGTGCATCATGTATTCTTCCTAGTAAATTAGTGTGTTTTATACATATCCTCATGTAATTACTGCAATAATGGCCTGCAGATTCACCCATCAATCTTTTATTCCATATTCCCCAAACAGGTGGCATCAGTGCAGCATTTGAATGTTAGCCTTTTGTAATACAAGACATTTTCTTTCTTGTTCTATTCCCTGTGGAGGAACATCAAGGAAGTTACAGCAACTAATTTGTTGAACTTATGTCTTCATTATGAGTGCAGTATTCTAAAGGCAGAAGGAAAGCTGTTTTCGTTGTGCTGTGCTACTCTCGACACAGCAGAGACTTCCTTCATCAGTGTCATTTGTGGAATATAAACGTGGGGATTTGTTAAATAACAGCATTGACGACAATATTTTATGAGTCATCATTTTGTTGACCTCTCGACTTATTTTTCAAGCATCAGACCCAACAAATGACTCCATACTCCATATGTTTTTCGTTCTGGAGGGTGCTAGATAATTGGTGATTATATATCTGAATACGTTGAGAAAAATGCATTTTGGAAGTCAATTAAGAGCTTTGTCTTGTTAAAGTTCTAAATTATAATGCACTATTTTAACAGATTTTAACACGTTTTTTACAGAATGCATAGCAGATTAATAGTTCTCACGCAGTAGTCTGAGGTTTAATTAAGGCACCTAAATAAAGAAATAAAAAGTATACATATTTATGTATTTTAAATCGTTATTATTCAATCACGCGTTCATGTCTCAAGAGAAGACGCCTTGTGTGACCCATCCACATTCCAGTCCATACCAACTGCACATACAAATAAAGTAATAGGTTATAATTAGTGTCGCTCAGCTCCAAAGTGTCTGAAGTAGGGCTGTAACCAACAATTACTTTGACAATCAACAAATATATTATTTGTTCTTTTGATTAGTTAATTACCACAGTCAACACAAATATTTCTTCTTAATCTCAATTTGACCTGGAAAAAGCTGAAGTGAAGCCATTACATATTCACTGTCTTGTTGAGTGTTAAAATCACATCTATCTATTCCTTGCAGATACAAGTGTTGAAGTCTGCAGAAAGCAGTTACAAATATATTACAAATATAGAAGTTGATTATATTATTGAATATTATAATTCATAATAATTTGAACAATTAATTTAACAGACACAATTCCCGTCTGACAGTCCTCAAAGACCAAACTTTGGCCAAACTCTTAGCAGCTCTTTGCCTGTTGCTCGCCACATGAAAAACCCTGTTGTGTATGCTTGCATGTCTGAGAATAATTCTTACTTTACTTACTATATGCTCATAATGCAAAAGCTACTGTTTTGTTCAAATAGCTGTATAGCAATAGTTAATGTCTGATGGAGCCCCATGGAACTCTCAGAACAAACCTTGCTGTATTACCTTAATCCTGAGGTCTGGAGTGAGGCCTGCACCAGATCCCGGATCAGTATTAAACTAAAACGCACTGTGCACGCGCATTCTTTAATAAAAAGTAATAAGAACACATAACTACAGTGTAATTCACGTATATATATCGCATCGAGTTGGAGAAACTTATTTGAGCGGTGTATCCGGGTATTACAGTACCTTCAGGAACGTCCACTTGGTGTCCCCGGGCCACGTCTTGCCAGTAGTGCAGCAGTCGACCCTGGTCTTCCTCCTCCATAGTCTCGCCCTCTTCCAGACTCCCATTGCCCGAGTCTGACAGCTGGTCCTCGGAGAACGACTCCAGGTCTTCCAGCGTGATCATGCCCTGTCGCTCGGGCCCGATGCTTCCTCCGCCGCCTCCACCACTCATCTGACAGCCGCCTTGGTCCATGTCTACCTCGCGAAGCTTCTGTAACCCGAACAGAAATGGCTCAAAGTGGATTTAACTCACGCAGGACGAAACCGCGACCTGCACAGCCCGAGCTAATGCCGTGTTAAAAGTGCTTTCTCTCCGCCCGACCCAGATCGCTGCCTTGTTTTTCCACACGAAGGGGGGAAAAAAAAACCTCGCGTTGTATTCGAAGTACGCGTTGTCGTTTTTACACTTTGCGCACAGGGGCGTGACAGTTGCGTCTGGTTCTTGGTTTTTAATGCGAATGTACGAAGTGTATGCAAGTGTTGAGGCAGACGCGGAGAAGCACGACGTTTCGCTTCTGTTGCAGGAGCTTCTCTCTGTGTTTATAGCAGTTGAGGGCGGACCACGTGATTCCACTGGGGCCCCCTCCAAACCAGAGAGGATAAATACAGCCTGCTCTGCTCTCCATCCAGACAGACCAACCAACACCAGAGATTCACTTCAATTCAATTTGTTTTTACCTTTTTTTCCCCAACAAGAAATCAGAGAGACAATCAGTTCTAACACAGAAAATGCAATGAGATATCGACATTTTAGTTTTATACCCACACCATCTATAGTTGACAATGTTATTTTGTTGTAATATCTCAGGGCACAAAGTGAGTCTCTGGAGAATAAAGAATTTTGGAGACCTTCAAAATCCTTCATCTAGGTCCCGTACACTTTCAATTCAATTTAATGTTTTTTTGTATTGCCCTAAATCACAACAGCAGTAATCACGGAGGACTTTACCAACAGAAGTTCAGGAAGACAAACAGTTTGAACATAAGAAATGCAATAGAACATATTTAGATGTTATTAAAGCAGGTCTATTGAACCACCACCTATGTTTTTGACGATAACTGAGATATCTTGGATAAAACCTGTACACTTTCATTTCATTTCAAGTTAATTTTCTATAGCCCTAAATCACAACAGCAGTAGTCTTGTAGGACTTTACAAAGTTGTTGATTCACCAACAACAGATCAAAGAATCAAACGGTTCAAATGTGAATGCAATAATAACAAACGCATTGGGAGCCATTATTTCGGACACCTTTTGTTTGTAATTTGTATTTGTATTTTTTTCTGTGTCAGAAAATTGGTGTGTCCTTTCCTTTTATTCTCAGGTTGTCCTTAATATAGTTTACATTATTTTTGTATTATGTATGTACAAACAGACAGAACAATTTGCAGTTCATTAAATAGCCTTGTGCTCTTTCAGCTTTGTACGTGCCGCATACAACCACCATGATGCAGGCTTTGGCGTGCACGTACGTACCACAATGAGGGCATTATATAATCGCTCATAATATAAAAGCGGGGGTGCCCTGTTAAAGCCCACAGACAAAGATACTATGTGACAATACTCAGCTGGGAGATGGAGCTAATGAGCTATTGTTTTCTTTTCCCCAGAAACCAACAACAAATGAGGTCATTAGTTCAGTCCTGTTTATTTACATTCAACAATAGTTTTCAGCAAAAATCTTCTTGAGCTATCACAGAATTATAATATGTTCCAGCGTTTGCACTCACTTGCACTTTTTATTAATAGCTCGCATCACACTGGTTTCTTGCACTGAGTCACTTTCCCTCAGCCACTGGAGATGACCAATCACTGCGGGAGCTGGACCGAGTGTGCGCACTACTGCTGCTTGAGACATGAGTCCCAGTGGTCTCCTATAGGCTGTATCTATGTGGTCTCCTTATGCATTATTATTGTTTCATGAGTTCGGACCCACCACAAACAATGCTATTGCTGTGGCATAATTTGTTATTTATAAACTGTTTGTTGGTTTAGTCCTGATGTAGGATGGTCTAAGGGCAGTGATGATCCAGGACATTTATTTACATTCATGGACATTGGTCATCCTGCTCTCTAATGGACTCATAGGACTAATGGCTGTTTGTAATGATTGTATTTCTTGTGATCAAACGGTTTTATTCTCTGATTTGTTATTGCCGAATCGACACTGTTGTGATAGAACTATGCAAAAATACATTGAGTTGAAACCTTAAAGGAGACCTATGATGCAAAATAAATACTGGTATTGGGTATGGGGTCAATACCACAGTAGCTCAGTTGGTAGAGCATTGGCCTTAAGCCCAGAAGGTCGTGGGTTCAATTCCCACCTCTGCACCTTCTCCATCAACTCCCACTGATGACTGCTGTCGTTGTGTCCTTGGGCAAGACACTTAACCCCACTTTGCCCAAAGCCCCCACTGAAAGATCAAGGCTATGCTCACACTCAGAGAGCAGCCGTCCTCCTGTGGACTCACAACCTGCAGAGGGTCAGTGAGGGGCCGGTGCTATGAGACTTGGGTGGCATCTCTGACTGCCACCCTCCTGACCCAGAAATGGACTAAAGGGTAGAAAATGGATGGATGGATGGATGGGCTTTGATCCATGTTACAACCGTGTTCCCTCATCAGTCTCAGATTTTCAGATCCATCTAATATCAGGAACTTCAGGCACAAACACGTAACTCCGCCCCTTCTGTCTAAACACTCCTGTCTCAGTCCTGTAATATCATTTTACCACTATGACATCACGCCCAGAGCAGTTTCTAGCCACCCGGACCATTTATCAGATGAGGTTTTGGTATTTTATCTTAATGTTCTTTTCAACCACAGCCATGTGATTGTAATCAGTAGTTTTCAAATGTAGATGAAAAGTGAATTCTACACCTTCTTGCTGTTAGCATAGGTTTAAAGCAGGCTGATATTTCATATCCTAAAACATAACAAATACAAGGTAAATAGTCTCATTATAATTTTACTGGCCAAAAATAATGCATGATAATTATTTTTTTCTTTAAACATATTTAAAGTAAGTAATCTTTATTAATATAGCGCCTTTCACACACCAAGCTCATACAAAGCGCTTTACAATGATATGCAGTACAACGACTATTATTTTAAAAGTATGTCAAAGTAATGGTGACATACTGTTCCAACTTTAACAACCCTAATGGCTGCAAAGCAATTCAGATGTGGTAAAGTTGTGTAAGTGTTCATACCTCAAACATGTTTTCTTGTCACTTAATCTGAATAGATGCGTGTCATATTTTTGTTTACTGAGGTAGGTGTGAATTGGCCTCGAGCATCTCTGAACTGCACATACCTGCTTCATGGCACGTCGCAACACAGCTCATCAAACAACATAAAAGAATACCGCCAGCGACGTGTCACACAAATATGCGTATATGATAATGCCCACATTTTGGTCTACACTAGGGCACACACGCAGACACACAAACTCACACTTCACTACCGAATTGGTACAACTTTGTTTATTTAATCCACAACTTGAGCCTTGATGTGAACAGCTTATGCTCAAAAATTTTAGGTCAGTGGGCCGTGAGCTATACAGATTGGCATTCTTGATGGAAAAGGGGGACGGGTCAAATGTGGTTCTGTTGTCGCGAGGTTAGGACAATAAAAGGGAAGTATACCTTCACCTATTTGTCTCTGTATGAATGGACTGTTAAAGAGATTATGATTTAGTAAATGGGTTGTTAAAGCCGTCTGGCCTCATCATATTACGTTTGCACAGCAGGTCACTTTGAAATGTTTATGGTTCTTTTCAAACACATGCAAGTTATTTTAATGGTTTTGGTTTTTTAACGATCCATCCATTCATTTTCTTCCCCTTAATCCAATTCTGGGTCGGGGGGAGTGGATGGCAATCAGAGATGCCACTCAATTCACAGAGCACCAGCCCCTCACTGATCTTCCTGCAGCTTCTGTGAGTCCACAGGAGCATGGCTGCTATTTCCTTGATTGTTCAGCGGGGGCTTCAGGTAAAGTAGGGTTAAGTGTCTTTCCCAAGGACCCAATAACAGCAAACATCAGTGCGAGTCGGTGGAGAAGGTCTTGTGGGGAGATCAAAGCCAATGCTCTACCACCTGAGCCACTGTTGGCCCAACTTGCCATGTTTTCAAGATGTTTTTTGCAAAAGAAAAAAGAAGAGCCCATGAGTAGGACAAGTCTGTACTGGATTACCACTGATCTGGTCAGGCCCATTAGTTAAAAAGAGTCACTGGTCAGTTAGAGGATGGGTAATCCATGGGAGGTGGAGCTACTGCTGGGAACACTTGATTGGCCTTAGACTCTAATCCATATCCTGCAACATGTGCTGCAGAGGCCACATGGGCCGAGAGCAAGGAGATATCACACACTCTCTGGGTTCCAATTCACGAATTGTGTGCCTAACAAAAACAGGTTCACCTTACCTTACATTTGACCTGGGCAAGGAAAGGCTAGTTTATTTGTATAGCACAGTTCATAAACAAGGTTTAACATATTGTTATTGCAAGAAAGTAAAAATCACACAAGGCTTTAAAATCATTTAAAATCAGTGCATTGAAAATAGTGAAGAAATAAAGGCCTCAAACTTGCAATTAAATATTATTTTCTTACACAATGGCCTTGATGTTGTTCTGTTGGCTCCAATGAACCAGGACCCGCAACATGCACTGCAACAGTTTGCAGCCGAATGTGAAGGGGCTGGCTGGGATGAGAATCAGCACCTCCAAATCCTTGACTGGGAAAAAAGGTGCCTTACCCACTCCAGGTGGGTGGAGAGGTCCTTCCTTAAGTGGAGGAGTTCAAGTATCTCAGGGTCGTGTCCACGAGTGAGGAAAGGATGGAGTGTGAGATTGACAGGCGGATCGGTTGTTGTATTAGACCGTTGTGGTAAAGAGGGGGCTGAGCCGAATGGCAAAGCTCTCGACCTATGGTCATGAGCTTTGGGTAATGACCGAAAGAACGAGATTCCAGATAAAAGTGGTCAAAATTAGCTTCGTCGGCAGAATGGCTGGGTGCTCCCTTTGAGATTGAATGAGGAGCTTAGTCACAGGAGCTCAGAGTAGAGCTGCTGCATCTCCACAAGTGTGTGTGGAAAGGGAAGTCTCGGCATCTCTGCTTAGACTGCTGCCCTCGCGACCCTGCAACAGATGAAGCAGAAGAAAATGGATGGATGGACAATGGCATCTAACCCTATTTCTGATATATACTGGGCCTCTGACTTTATTATTAATGCATTCAAAGTGATTCATCTTAATGTGCGACAATTTAACTTGAATGTGCAAATGTTATTGTCAACAGTTACATTTCTAAGCTTAAAATGAATTATATTTTCTGATGAGCCTGTGTTTGTTCGGTTGAATGTATGTGCTCAGTCCATGACGTCTATGCTGTGGCTCTAACAGCCATATCGGGTGAGGTTTGGGTTTGGAAAGGGCAGAGAATTAACAGATCTTTCTTTTGTCTGCTGTGAGTGCGGATAAACGTGATTCTGTCGTCAAAGGCCCTGCACACCTCCAATATGATAAAGTAGTCATTCATTTTTTTTCTTTCTTTCTATTTGAACATGACATAGAATTGACATTGTCTGACAATCTGACCCTGATGTTGTAACTTTACCATGTTTTTATTTGTGCCCTAGTTCTCGAGGTTATTGCTCCACCTCATCTGTAGCTAGACTTCTAGTTTTTTCTTTTCTGTGGAGCAGCTGCTTCACAATAAAAAGGTGCAAAGGACACCCTCCCTTTATTTCTAAGCTCAAGCCTTAGATTGTCTGTTTGAAAAGTACTTCTATTCCATTCCCAATTACTTTATAAGTAGGCCAGGAAGACGGGCCCACCATTAGTCTGGTCTAATGTGCTGCTCCCAAAGTAGGTCTGCTGTTGTTCAAGCACACAGACTGTTACCATTTTCCAGGAAATTGCCTATTATCACTGACCTACTTAAAACCTGTGTCTCTTTTTTTTTTTTTACAGGTACTAGAAAAGTTCATGTCTCGCCTGGTCCAAAACCGGGTAATGGGACGGAAAGATCTTCGAACACTCAGCAAGTACCAGCTCATCCTCGCCAGAGACCAATTCCGTAAAAACCCTCCTCCGAACATCCAGGCACGTACACCATTGTCACTATTTTATTTTACTATTTTATATAGTGACTATATCCTGTCACTATTTTTTTCATTACTCTTAAAATAAGCTTATTTTCTTTTTTAGCTTTCATATTTTGTTCATATCATTGAATCCACACAAGCACACATGGTAGAACATATACTATACATTTCCTGGTGGTCCAAAAACACTTCGGTCCATTTTATTCATGGTTCAATCAAAGATCATCCATCCATCCATCCATCCATTTTCTTCCCCTTAATCCATTTCTGAGTCGGGGGGGTGGCAGTCAGAGCTGTACCCAGTACACTTAGCACCCCTTACTGATCCTCCTGCAGGTGGTGAGTCCACAGGAGCTGAGATCTTTCAGTGGGAGCTTCAGGCAAAGTGGGGTTAAGTGTCTTGCCCAAGGACACAACGACAGTAGTCATCAGTGGGAGTCGTGATGTAGGTCTTATGGTGGGCTCGAACCCACGACCTTCAGGCCCAAAGGCCAATGCTCTACCAACTGAGCTACTGTCGCCCGCAATCAAAGATCAATTAGATTTAATTCAGGAAAGAGATTAAACATTTCTGATTTGGCAATTCTGGTCAAACCTTTCTGATACCTAATAAGAGATAAGTTAAACTTTATTGATCCAGAAGGAAATTACAGTGGTGCTGGCTGCTCTCATTCACACATCACAGGTGCATAAGAAATAGGTTGATAAAAACAGTACAAAAGAATTGAAAACATTAAAAGTGCATCGTGGCTAGGTCAAAGAGTTGTGCAGTCTAATGGCAGAAGGCACAAAGGCTATCCTCAGCCTGCCTGATTCCATGCCTTTCTGTGTGTCCAGGGTCAGCAGCAGGGAATGCTGGAGGGAGACTTTGCCCTTTGCATTAGTCTGTACCATGGGTACGAGCTGCTCATGCAGATGGGCCTCAGGTCTCTTTTCTTTTATGTGCAAGGCATCATGGACGGCTCCAGAGGTCAGTGCTCCTCCTAACAAGACAAAAACTACTGTATCCAACTCCAACATTACATTCAAATCTAAAACGTCGTATTTTAACAGAAATGTCCAGGGCCAGGAATGAACTTCAGAGAACTCCTACTTTTGTGGAACTCTACCAAGAGATGGAAGCCATGTTCATGAAGCCTGCAGTTGGTACTGCATTTATAGAGCCACAATATAATGTTTAAACTTGACAGTAGTGACATTGTCTATTTTTGATTTGTAGGTCCAGACGAGCCATTCGTCTACAGTCACCCCAAACTCGAGAAACTGGAAGAAGTGGTGCTTCAGCATTTCAGACAGTGGTCAGAGACCACAACAGGTGATGGAGTAGTACATCCTGCTTAACCTCCTGTATATTATTTAGAAACTGCTTTTAAAGGATGGTTTTCTCTCCTTTCAGATGTGACAAACAGAGTCGGCACACGGGTGATGATCTTCTCCTCGTTCCGTGAAAGTGTGCAGGAGATTGCTGCTATGTTTAATCGCCACACTCCTCTCATCAGAGTCATGACCTTCATGGGCCAAGCTTCAACCGGGAAAGGCGTCAAAGGATTCACCCAGAAAGAACAGCTGGAGGTGGATGTTACTGTAGTATTTATCCTGAAAAGGCCATGATAATCAACAATAGTGAAGTGAAGTGGAAAACAAAAAAAGAAAAGGTCGGAGGCACTCTGACTCAAAAATACAAATTATTGTGGGGAATATTGAGCTGCACATGTGATAATGAGATGAAACTGGACTGTGAGGTTTACATTTATGTGTATTGATCCATTTTGTCTGATAATTTGTGACATTATTCATCATTATTGAAATTATTCTGGAATTTCTCACCTTTCTTAATAATTCCTTAAATCAACAAAAAAGATGATTCAGGGAAACTGAAGTACAATTTATTTGTAAAACATATTCTCACAGAGGCAATAAACATAACAGGTTGTATTCTTTATTTTGAATTTTTCATCGTACAATACAATAACATTAATATTAACTCATTGTGTCCCATTGACGCACAAATACGTCAAAGCAAATAGTAACGTCGTGTGCCATTGACGCATTAATCCGTCAATTGCCTTTTTTGATATTTTCACGTTCCCAGATGTCTATTGTATCTAATATGTATGGGGATGACTTGAGACCATATTTTATCGAGCCAGCAGGTGGCAGCATTGCTCTCTGAATGGTTTGAAAACATGTAGGTGCACATGTTGTGCCTCTTTTTTCTCAACTTTCTGGTGATTTCTGGTGATTTCAGTAAAACTTCCCTCTACTCGACGGAGGATTACAGGGGAACGAAAAAAGCTATAAACAAAATTCTTTTTGCTGAGGAAAGTAGACAGTCCATTCTTTTAGAATCTGGTGTTGGATTTCAGATAGTCATAGTACACAATATTCTGTGGGTCTTGAAAAATCAGTAAAAATCATCAGAAATGGCTGGCACTGTGGGAGTACCTGTTCTGAAATAGGCTGGCATTCAATGAGTTAAATAATACAATTTGAAAAGGAGTAGGTAGAAGTTAGAATTATGTTTCCTATACCTTTTCACATTTTCTTTCTTTTGTTCTTTATACACTTGTATATTTGTTATATTTTAAGTTTTAGTTAGTCTTCAGGTGTCGGGTATCACTGAAATCTTTGAGCAGAGCAGTGTGGTCATGCTTAAATTTTTTGTTCCAGGTTGTGCAAAGGTTTCGGCAAGGGGGGTTTAACACACTGGTGTCCACCTGTGTTGGGGAGGAAGGCCTGGACATTGGTGAAGTTGATCTCATAGTTTGTTTTGATGCCCAGAAGAACCCCATCCGTCTTGTGCAGCGCATGGGACGCACAGGGCGCAAACGACAGGGCCGCATCGTTGTGATTCTGGCTGAGGGCCGCGAAGAGAGAGTAAGTTATGAGTTGTATTTTAGACACAGTCACTTGGCTGATCTAAATAGATAGATACTTTATTGATCCCCGTAGGAGACAATCAGGTGTCCTTCAGCAGCAAAAACACATTCATCCACACAAACAAAACAAATACATTTATTATTCTAAAAAGCTAACAATTTAGTCTGATTTAGTCTGGTTTGCACAGACTCACTGTGGCCTGTAATAGCTCCATGAGACTGCGGCTGAAGGTTCCTCGGCTCAGCAGTGCTAGTGAATCTCGGCCTACAGTGATGTCCACGCCTGTTCTGCATTTCTTTGTAATGTGCAGTTCAGATTGATGTGTTGACTGAGTGAGTTCTGCTCACTGCTGTTTACCTCCAAATTATGGAATCACTGGAGGTAATGGCTTTATAAATCAACATTTATGGAAGTAGCATTTATTTATATTTATGGTCATCTGCTCATTATGGCTGAACGGCTCTGTATTTTTAAACATTGCATTTCTTATCTGTTTTTGTAAACGGTTTTGTAAAGTCCTCTGAGATAACTACTGTTTTGATTTAGGGCTATACAAAAATAAATGTAACTGTAATGGTCTTTTTCAGTGCACATATTCATTTTTCCATAAGCAAAATACTTAATGTTCTGTATATCTTTTCACTTATTATCTTATCTTAGACCTACAATCAGAGCCAAAGTAACAAGCGCAGTGTGTACAAGTCCATCACCTGTAACTCCAGTGGCTTCAGCATGTATCCGCACAGTCCTCGTATGCTGCCAGAGGGAGTGCAGCCCAGGCTCCACCAGATGCACATCACCTGCGGCCAGTTCGACCCCCAAGAGGGCAGCCGGCGCTCCAAAGGACGCAAGTCTAGTGCAGAAGGACGGATCTCACTTATTCATCCACTCAGTGAGTTCCTTTTTCACCAGAGCAAAAACACACTGAAATGCCATACGTTTTGAGCTTTAGTCGGGCGGCACGGTGGCTGAGTGGATAGCACTCTCGCCTCTCAGCAAGAAGGTCCTTGGTTCGAATCCCAGCCGGACAAGGGCCTTTCTGAGTGGAGTTTGCATGTTCTCCCCGTGTCTGCGTAGGTTTCCTCTGGGTACTCCGGTTTCCCCTACCACTAAAAATATGTACAATAGGTCTGGCATGCGCCTCCTGTTCGGCGACCCCGCTCCCATCTCTGTGTGGAGCGAGAGGACAAGTGCCCAAAAATAACAATTGTAAACCGCTTTGTGACTCTGGTCTGTGAAACGCGGTATATAAATAAAGCTTACTTACTTACTTACTTACTTACTACTTACTTACTTAGTATCACCACAATCCTCACTATTCACCTATTCACCATCAGAAGTGGTTCAATCCTATGTGGCCTCCAGAATGGACCGCCAAATCCTTTAAAAAATGTTCCATTCGACATACAACAGTTGTAGGAATTGTTATTTAGATTTGTTATTTATTTTTATGCCTGCCCCATTCTATTTCTACTTGTATAACTTGTTTGCACTGAGAGCCAAAGAATTTCCAGAGATTGTGACTTCCTGTTATTCACAAGAGCAATACAAATATTTCTGAATCTGAATAACATTAGATTTATTTCAAGTCATGATACATTAGGGACAAGTATTTAACAACATACATCCATCCATCCTTCATTGTCTACCCCTTAATCAATTTCTGGGTCAGGGGGGGATGCCACCCAAGTCACATTAACAACATATTTCTGTGTTTTCAGTGTTTCTTTTTTTCTTTCAGTCCCACAAAGGGCCTCCATGTCAGATGGTTTTCTGAACAGCACAGAATATTCGCTGTGGACCTCCAGCATGAAACTGCATGAAGATGAGCCTCATCCTGTTTTGAAGCCATCTCACCTCGAGTCCTTTCCAACAGAGCTGCACAACCAGGTTTTTACATATATTTTACTGTATACCAGGGGTGCCCAAACCTTTTGCTTCAAAGGGCCAAAGTAAAAATTTGCCAGTGGGCCGCGGGCCAAATACACCGATATTACGCATGAAACACAAATAAATGTAGATTTGATCAAGTTCAATTAAATGCATTAATTATTGTCTATCAGTGCAAATCACAGCTGAATGAATGAAATCAACACAGTCTTAGTGAAATGGAGGCTCCAGGGAAATATGCAGGTTTGAGGAGACTACAGTACGGAAAGATTCCGGCCGGGTAATCAGGGTCCAGAGGAGGGAGATTTTCTGTCATGGCTTATTTAAAGGTTAAAATCATATAAAAAAACCTCAAAAAGAGAACAGAAACATACATTTTCTGTGTAAATAAACTGTTTTTTAAATGCTACTTGTAAACAAATAATGTGCCTGCTATTAAATGAAAGTACTAATTTATATTAAATAATATCATACTCCCAAATTAAATAATCTATATTTTTAACCTGCTCATGTCAGTAAACTGTTTGTTGAAGACCTTTTTCTAAACAGTTTTGCATTACTATAGTACAGTAATTTATAATGTATAGGTTTATTGTACTAGCAAACAACATTTCTATTACAAGTCTATTTTCATATATTTATTTTGAACAAAAGTTTTTAACTACATTTGAATCATATTACTTTATCTTAGCTTTTATCAAAAAGGGGAGACATCACTGATCAATAGATCTGGTTTTAGCACACTTTTAAACATGATCAGGTTTTAACTCTGTTTTAACTTAATACTTTTTACATAGGGCAAGTATTCTCAATTAGTAGTGAACTGAATATTAAACTAACGAAATCAGACTAGTTAACCATGATTTGTTCCTAGAGTTTGTTTTGTTTTGCCTAAACACAGTACAACATTTATAAACAATCAAAACAAAGTAACTGTTAAAGAGTCCGTGTTTCCGCTCCTCCAAAGGGCTCTTGAACGCATCATAAAACTTCTACAACCCCGGCTTCTTTCATGGGGTTGTAGAAGGGTTTGTTTTGCACAGTATTTGTTGCTTCTACTTGCGTGGATCGTGCGCTGCGATCCCTGCTTGTCCTGCTTGAACTCACTCTGAAGTGTGTGTGTCCGTCTTTTTTAACACACCGGGTGGGTGCGGATTGCGCAGGTGAATAGTTCCACTCGCCATTTCCCTCCGGTGAGGAGGGGGAGTGGCAGTTCGCCAGCACAATCCTCTCAATTTGATAAAGCATTAAATTGCCCAATTGTTTTGAAAGATGTGTTTGATTTTAAAAAACATTTTAGTGCAAGTAGATGTGAACAATGAGTGAGGAGTGTATCTCGATACAACAGTAAAGTACTGGACAGTTTCCGTTCAGAGGGCGTTTGTGCGCCCGCGCGATCTCAGACATGTCTGTTCAGCGAGGTTGAGGGACGCAGATAGAAACTTACAGCGGAGGTGTGCAATGTTTTGCGGGCCAACTGAAATGGTCCGGCGGGCCAACTTTGGCCCGCGGGCCCCACTTTGGGCACCCCTGCTGTATACACATTGCAGTCCATGATACACATACATATAATCACGTATGAGGTCACACGTCTGTTGACTATAGCAGATGCCATGGGGTTGGCCATATGTGAATGTGAGTGACATGTGTGATTGTGTGAATGAACATAAGGAGGTTTTGACAGGACTATTTTCAGCCTTTAAGTGACCTATTTAAGTGATCCTATTTATGCCAAATGTGACATGACAGCTAAAGTGTATCTTTTCTTCATCTTATGTACATTTCTTACATTTCTCTTTAGGAACAGAAGTGCACAGATGTTGCTCCATCCCGGGAATTGTCTCTTAGCGAGTGGAGACACTGGCAGATTAAAAGCTTGCCCACACATGCCGTAGACCATTCTCTTCGCTGCCAACACTTCATTAAGATCATGGAGATGGTCGACCAAATGAAATATGAACCCGAGGTGAGAAGTGGTGGAGTATGTATCGGGGTATCGGTCAATGATCTTTTTGGCTTTGTGATTGAAATCCTCACAGCTGCTCAAAATCACTTTAAAATGTTCAGTAACTTTTTAATGGTTTCCTCAAGCATTCGGTGAATCACGTTTTGAGTAGATATACTTGAATGACTTGGTCTGCATCTCAACCATTTGGTAAAAGCCTATAATTAAAACAGATTATGGGTTAAAAAACAAACAAACAAAAACTAGTTATTTCTATTATTAGTGCTCCTAAATCTTAGAAAATTGATAAAGAAATAAACATTAAGGGGTTAAAATGAAAAGAGTCGCCGTCTTTAGCTCAATGGCCCAAAGAAAACAAGGTCTGCTCTAAAAATACACATCGGTTCTTGGTCTGTAGTATTTCTCTGGTGTATGAATTTACCGCAGGCGAGTTTGACTGGTCTCAGATACAATCAGATTGTATGACATAAACGCAGCGATTTCAAATGGCGCCTGACAGGCAAACAAGGAGGAGTGGTGAATTTGCTGGTGAATTAATCTTTGAAATCCTGTTAATAATCACTTTTACATATCTAAAGTTATACTATATACAGTGCCTTGTGAAAGTATTCGGCCCCCTTGAACCTTTCAACATTTTGCCATATTTCAGGCTTCAAACATAAAGATATAATGTTTTTTTGTTGTTGTCATGAATCAACAACAAGTGGGACACAATCGTGAAGTGGAACGAAATTTATTGAATAATTTAAACTTTTTTAACAAATAAAAAACTGAAAAGTGGGGCGTGCAATATTATTCGGCCCCTTTACTTTCAGTGCAGCAAACTCACTCCAGAAGTTCAGTGAGGATCTTTGAATGATCCAATGTTGTCCTAAATGACTGATGATGATAAATACAATGCACCTGTGTGTAATCAAGTCTCCGTATAAATGCACCTGCTCTTTGATAGTCTCAGGGTTCTGTTTAAAGCGCAGAGAGAACCATGAAGACAAAGGAACACACCAGGCAGGTCCGAGATACTGTTGTGGAGAAGTTTAAAGCCGGATTTGGATACAAAAAGATTTCCCAAGCTTTAAACATCTCAAGGAGCACTGTGCAAGAAATTATATTGAAATGCAAGGAGGATCAGACCATTGCAAATCTACCAAGACCCGGCCGTCCCTCCAAACTTTCATCTCAAACAAGGAGAAGACTGATCAGAGATGCAGCCAAGAGGCCCATGATCACTCTGGATGAACTGCAGATAACTACAGCTGAGGTGGGAGAGTCTGTCCATAGAACAACAATCAGTTGTGCACTGCACAAATCTGGCCTTTATGGAAGAGTGGCAAGAAGAAAGCCATTTCTCAAAGATATCCATAAAAAGTCTCGTTTAAAGTTTGCCACAAGCCACCTGGGAGACACACCAAACATGTGGAAGAAGGTGCTCTGGTCAGATGAAACCAAAATCGAACTTTTTGGCCACAATGCAGAACGATATGTTTGGCGTAAAAGCAACACAGCTCATCACCCTGAACACACCATCCCCACTGTCAAACATGGTGGTGGCAGCATCATGGTTTGGGCCTGCTTTTCTTCAGCAGGGACAGGGAAGATGGCTAAAATTGATGGGAAGATGGATGGAGCCAAATACAGGACCATTCTGGAAGAAAACCTGTTGGAGTCTGCAAAAGACCTGAGACTGGGACGGAGATTTATCTTCCAACAGGACAATGATCCAACACATAAAGCCAAATCTACAATGGAATGGTTCACAAATAGACGTATCCAGGGGTTAGAATGGCCAAGTCAAAGTCCAGACCTGAATCCAATCGAGAATCTGTGGAAAGAGCTGAAGACTGCTGTTCACAAACGCTCTCCATCCAACCTCAGTGAGCTCGAGCTGTTTTGCAAGGAAGAATGGGAAAGAATTCTAGTCTCTCGATGTGCAAAACTGATAGAGACATACCCCAAGCGACTTGCAGCTGTAATTGCAGCAAAAGGTGGCGGTACAAAGTATTAGAGCAAGGGGGCCGAATAATATATTGCACGCCCCACTTTTCAGTTTTTTATTTGTTAAAAAAGTTTAAATTATCCAATAAATGTTGTTCCACTTCACGATTGTGTCCCACTTGTTGATTCATGACAAAAAATTCAATTTTTATATCTTTATGTTTGAAGCCTGAAATTTGGCGAAATGTTGAAAGGTTCAAGGGGGCCGAATACTTTCGCAAGGCACTGTACATCCATCCATCCATCCATTTTCTTCCCCTTAATCCATTTCTGGGTCGGGGGGTGGCCAGAGATGCCACCCAGTCCACAGAGCACCAGCCCCTCACTGATCCTCCTGCAGATGGTGAGTCCACAGGGGCCTTGATTTTTCAGTGAGGGCTTCAGGCAAAGTGGGGTTAAGTGTCTTGCCCAAGGACACAACGACAGCAGTCATCAGTGGGAGTCGTGAAGTAGGTCTGAGAAAAGGTTAAAAAAAAATATAAATATACTCTGTATATACTATATACAGTATATATATATATTTTTTTTAACCTTTATTTAACCAGGAAAGTCCCATTGAGATTAGTCCTGGACAAAAGGCAGCAAAAGTGACTTATTTTGTACTTTTATTTGCACCAGTGAACTAGAAATAAGTGGAAAGGTGATCTCTTTAGGCAGCGAGATGAACAATTAGAACAAATGTTAAACACACATAAACACAGGGGTATAACATTTAAAAAGACCCTTAAGAGTTAATAGCTCCCCATGTGATTAGCTGAGACCTTATTCCATTTGATACGGTAATTGGCGTGTGGACAATGATTGTTCGAACAGACCAGATTTGGCAGGTTTTAAAGTTTGCAGCCATCAGCCACTTTGCCCTGACTGCATGCTCACAAAATTGGAGGAAGCCTGCCAAACGAACGCACTGTGCTTTCAGCCACTAATTTATTATCCTTGCATTGTATTGAAGCATAGATGTGACCAGGATCAGTGGAAGGTCAATATGGGAAAATAAATTTTTTTTCAAAAGCTCATATGTCGCATGTTGTTAGAATGTCAGAAATCCTATTCTATGGCAAGTTCCCTTCAGAAATATCTGACAGGTGCCCAGGTTTTGGGACACTAAATAACATCTATGAAGCAATACATGTTAAAAGTGTCTTAAGACGGTCTACAGGCTTTTGAAGTTTGCACAGATGAGGAAAAAATAAATAAATTTGTTATAGTATTGATCAATATATACAGTTCATAGCTTGCATAATTTAATTAAATTTCTCTTGGAAAAATTGTAATTTAAAAGTTGGGCCCTGGTTTATACTGGGGAGGGTGTTCTTGCTCGCCTTTGAATTCGATTCTTTAAGATTATATTGGACAAGTGTACTTTGTGTTTGTTTTGTTCCTGCACCAATACTTAATACTGAGCCAACCTTATGTTATGGGTTAAGGCTTTTAAGTAAATGTAAGGAAACGGTGTAGAGTTTCTGACAGATGGGTAAATTCAATCTGCGGCAGATGAAGTGTCTTTGACCAAAAACATTGAATTGGCCCCAACCTGATTAACATTGATCTCGCATCAATGCTAATGAGTGTAACTGTTATGCAAATTACTCATAAATCATTACTCATTATTTTGTATGCATTACAGCATTGATGTCCTTGTTTGCATTGACTCAGTTTCCTTTTATCAACTCTTCAATACTTGTGGCCATACCTGCATGTGAAAGCCAGATCCTGTCAGACCTCTGAAGCCAAGCAGTGCAGGGCCTGGTTAGAACTGTGATGGGAGATCTCTGGGAGAAGAATGAGTAAGTTGTGTGTGTGAATGGTTGGTGGTGTTCAGAGAGGTGTTCATGTAGCCCCAGATCGAGGGACATCATCAGTGGTCTTTATATTTCTTCCATTTTCTTATAATTGCTCCCACAGTTGATTTCTTCACACCAAGCTACTTACCTATTACAGATCCAGTCTTCCAAGCCTGATGCAGGTTTACAATTTTGTTGAATAATAAATATGAGAATAATACATCCTGGAATCCTGGAACCAACAAACCAAAGAAAACATAACAATTGCCAAATAACAAGATAAGATAAATAATGTTATTACTTCTTCCATTCCTTACCTACACCTCTCATATGGTGCGGCTTGTTCATGTTCTCCCATGTTGCCACTATCTTGCCTTTGCAACATCCACCCAGCCCCATGTAAATCCAAACCGCAGCAGACAAAAGTGAGCCCTTTCAAAGAGGAAATGATCAGCTGAGGTGCATGCGAATTTACAGATGGGTCTGTGTTGTTCCACAGTCATCCTTCTCCCCGGGGGCCTGTGGATGACTGGATAAACAGTCTCTTGTGGTTTTAGTATTGCATTAAGTCATTTGAATGCATTTTTGTGCCTTTGACAACGTTCCTTTTGTTAGCATGTTTGTGCAACAGGCTGCAATCATCCATGGCCTGCATTTAATTCTTTTTAGATGTATTATTCTTTAACCCAGTTCACCACAACACTACAGTTTGCAGTGTCAGGATGTTTATATATGGTGCAAATAACATAGAAGATATAAAGTTGGAAGGATTTAATACATTTAACACAAAGGGTTACATTACATAGCTAACCCGAAAGTCTCTGTGTTTGTCTCTGTGTTTGTCTCTGTCTGTGTGTCTGTCTTTGTCGGCCTATGTCTTTCTCTATGTCTATCTATGTGTCTATGTCTCTCTCTGTCAGGGTAGGCGGAAGCACATACTGTACTGTTGAGGATGTATGCAGTTTCAACAATTAAAATAAAGTGCAATAGTCTACAGAGAGTAAAAAACATGTCTCTACACAGTGAGAAAGATGGCCATAGTACCAAAACTATTGTTCTTTGTCATAGGGTTGAGAATGGGCCATTTAAAAAAAAAAAAAAAATAATAATAATGGAAATGCACAATGCCAGCTAATAGCTGTCACTAAAACGGTTCGATTTGTTCACAACATTTTAATTATGGGCACAACTAACATGAGCTGTTAATGCAAGGAAAAATCTAGATACCCCAGCTTTAATTTGGCAAGTTTAGTTGCCAGGGAGGAGAAACACCGGGGAAATACGGACACGTCCTGAAGCTCTGCGGTTTCTTGCAGAGGTGTATTTATTGCGTGCACAGGTTACGCAAATACTCACAACAGGCAAAGAATGATCACGTTAAGGCTGTGCGATCGCTATTTTGTTGTCAAGGTGGGAACCGCTGTCATTACAAAGCAGCCACAGTTGCCCTGTCAGAGTACATACAGCAAACGGCAAGTTCCCCTTAGTCACGCGTACCCCCGTTGAAAATTTCTTAACGGAGTTGCACATTTAACAAAAATTACATTTCCATTTTTGAGGCAGGCAGGCTGGCCCAAATATGGGCATTGCCCGGTATGCCCACTGGCCAGTCCAGGCCTGCACTCCATGTCTCTGTCTGTGTGTTCCTGCGTCTGTGTGTGTTTGAATGACGTCTTCACAAATGTATCAGAACGTAGCTTTATCTTCAGTTCAAGGAAGGCTGCTCACAGTGTTCCGTCCCTGAGATTAAAATAATGTTTTTTTATGTGTGTGCGCGATTTACCCGTCTTTAAACTTTAACATTTATACACCTAGATATAATACAAGTTTTATTATGCACAACATATGTGCACTGATATTATTTAGCTAAATATCTTCACAAATCTATTATTAATGAATGCTCTTTCAGTAGCACTTCTCAGTCTTTTCAGGTCTGTGTTACCTCACCATCTTTCACATTGAGTCACCAGCAGAAATAATCAACGCTGAGTGTTCGTAGACCACTTCACCGGGTTTGTTACGTGATTGATTTTGAGTAGAGATAAAAAACATGAATAACAACCAATGTTTGCCTTGTTTTGAAAAAAGGAAAAAATATACCCCAGCTGTCCTTTGGGAACACCATTTGTAAGGAGTCGGCAGTCACTAAGATTGGGCTAAATACCTCTATTCAGGTCAGAGATTAGCATTGGGTCAACTATTGGATGCTGACTCCCCCTGTGCCATTCTCGAGTAAGCCCACCTGTGAAAACAAACAGGCTTGTGATTGTAGGTCGGTGAATCGTGTCCACCACTTTCACTTAAATTATTTTTTGTCTCTGCTGCTTTCCTCAGTTAATATCAAGCACAATGTTGTAAATGAATGTCAGATGGGAATAAATACACACAGAGGGTGACAAAAAGTACAAATACAACTTTTTATTGTCACGTTTAAGACCACAAGCATACAGATGTTATTTGAAATCTACTACAAAGTAACAGACAACTGTGAAGTGAAGGCAAAAGTATGCATGATTTTGTAATAAAAATCATGCATACTTCTAATTGGATGCCCCCTGAGTTAACAACCTCTTTCAGGTATTTCCACAGATTGTCACATGGATGTAGGTCTGGACATTATTTGGGCCATTCTAACATACAAATGTTTTGATTTAAACCATCCCATTGTTCTAAAAGTCTTTTTTGTTTAGGAGTATTCACCTGATGGCAGGTAAACAACATGCTTTTTTGTCAATGATACACACTAACCAGAGCTCTGAGGCCCTCACAGAAGAACTGTATTTAGTTCTGGGAATAAATTAAATACGGGAGGCCACTATTTAATTGTTTGAGCAGTGTTCAAGACATTTCCAAACGCATTGTATTGAACTCGAGACAGAAATGACAAAAGCATGAATCATTTTGTGTCTATTACTTTGTTGTGGTCTTTGAAAAAAATCGTAGTTTTTTATTTTCATTCATTCAAAAAAACCGTAAGACACACACATACAGGTTCTGGACTCCAACACACATAATATCTAATTTGCAAATGCAAATGCAAAACTCAAAGGGAAAACATCTGAACTAGCAAGACCATGCTTATTTTCCATATAAGGCTTAGAGGACATATTTACACACTCTCGTATTGACTAATGCACAATTTGTTCAACTTCTCTTATTTCAGCCACAGTTTCAAACGTCTGGGGAAGATTTTTTTGTCAGTTTGCAATTTTACGTCCGTGGGGAGTTCCACAGTCTTGCTCCATCAGAAGGTGGACTATCTATAAGATGTTTTGAACTTATAGGAACCACAAGTTGTTTTTGTTCTTTTTTTCCAGCCTCTTGCTCTTTATACTAATCAAACAACTGTGTAGAGAACATTATAATGGAAGTATTTAACCTAATAGACAGTAGTTGTAGTCTATTTCCCCTCACAGTCATCCTTTGTCTGCCCTGTGTCTAGCCTGGCTGAAATGCTGCCTGTGTGCGTGCTAGCCTCCACTCCTCCTGCTGCTGCTCCTGATTGGTCTAGGGCAGATTATGTAAGCCTACCCGTCTGCTTACATAAAACCAGGAAGGTGGAACTGGGTCAGCATGTGATGACCTACATGTGCCGCGTACAGTGGAGACAGCTGCCGATCGAAAATAAATGCAATAGTCAAATAGATTATCCAGAAATATGTATTGGAGTGGAAAAAATAATAAACAAGAAAAACAAAACTAAAAAGCTATTGAGGAGTTGGTGTGGTGTAGAAGGCTAGAAGAAATCGTCTAGGCTGGGTAGTGGCAATTTTATTCGTATTGCACAGTTTATACACAAGGCAACTCAAATTGCTTTCCAAAAAAATATTAAGATCACACAAGGCATTATAAGCATAAATTATCACAGTGCATTAAAAAGTGTTAAGATACAATACTTGTCTGCACAGCTTAACAGAGCAGTTTTAACCTGGATTTGAAAATTGTCTGTAGAAGCCTGTCTCACATTGTCAGGAAGACTGTTCCAGATTTTAGCTGCATAAATCTGAAATGCTACCTCTCCATGTTTAGTCCTGACTCTGGGCACCTGCAGGAGGGCAGTCCCTGTTCTCTTCAGTGTCCAAGTTGGTTCATATGCAATTAACATGTCACGATATGTTAACATGTTTTATTTAGTTAGGGTTTAGAATCACTTACTGCCTTTTAGACTTATTATTATTATTATTTTTATTATTGGTATTGATTTTTTTATTATTAGGATAGATATTTAAAAAATCAAAATAGCAAATTCATGCTTTTCTGTTGTGTTATCTAAAATGCTACTCCACCTCCAAAGTTTCACAGACGTTGAGAGCAATTAATTGTTGTATGTCTATTTTAGAGAGATGGGTTCTTTGGGGTCCCAGGCATGATCCTCCACTCGCCTAATGGTAGGTCCGCCCCAGGTTGTATGAATAGGAGGAGTTGGAACAAAAAAAAATCAATTGCTTTGACCAAACCCTGTGAATCACAGCTTATATTTATAATGATATAATAAAACGTAATTATGATGAACACAATACATTATTGACTACTACTTTGTCCATGCAAATGTGAAAGGAACTGGTTGTGGTGGCCTTGGTGTCTCTGGTCCTGTTTAATCCTGGTTAATGCCACGAGCCGTAGCTTAGCCAAATTGAGCTGGACATTTTGGGGAGTCCTAGTGTGCTGGATTTGCGGTACAGTGAGCATGAGACGAACGCTGCATGCTTCCAATCAACTTTGTGACCTGGAAGTGAAAGACACAGCAGGCTCTGCCAAAGCCTTTTCTGGGACAATATCAAAGTACACAACAGAAAGAGTGTGTCTGATTTTTGTTTTTGTTTCTGTCTAAATCAGGTCAACTGCATTTTTCCGATACTGTAAATAGGTGAGGGACATACACACTCCCTGTAATCGTCCATGCCATGATTTTAATTTGATGCACCGGCTGATTTCCAAGTATTAATTATCTAAAGTCTCTGGTTCTATCAACTTTCAACCTCCATTTTCTCCTCTAATCCTGGGAAGTGCTCCACAGGTTCTCAATGCAGATACCAATCATAATCAATTAATGCATTAACAGGTTTTCTTTGGGGTCTTAAAGTCTTAAAGTATTGACTTTATGAATATGGATATGAAAATACTTCAAAAAGACTTGGGAAAAGTCTTTTTTATATCTAGGTGCAGTATGTGACGTGTGTCTATCGTATAGTTCTCAAAAGTATAATTTTTTAACAATTATTTAAAAAAAACTAAATTGTGAATACCTAAATAGTGATTAAAGAACGCAACACCGCTGCGTGTCCGAACTACAAACCAGACAGTAGACGCCAGTATATGGAGAAATTATGATATTATGACTTCCTTTCGAGTAGGACTGTAGAATAGAATGAGCTGTGCTATATTTATTACTTTCTTTAATAAGTGGCCTTAAAATGTCTGAAAAGAATGACTTTAATTTGATTTGAAACCTTATTAAATGTTCTGTTTGATAAATTAATTAAAGTTTTTTTTCTACTTCAATTGAAGGTTTTATGGGCGGTGTGGTAAAATTAAATCAATAATGATTTGATGTCTGTCTACACCAGTCTGTTGAAGCCTGTATTCTTCCATTGGGTCGGCAATGGAAGAATACAGGCAGATATAGAATAATTTCTGCAGATATACCCTGTAACTTGGCCAAGTGAAGTCACTCCCTTGTCTCCAATGTAGATGGAACATTTACTACAAACTGTAGAAAATTCCAGGCATAATAACAAGATTTAAACAGACTTAGAAGTTTACTTAAAATATTTAGACAGAAACCTGGGCCTCTCCGAAGTCTCTCACCCGGTTTTTGAGTTGTTGTTGTGGATGCAGGAGGGTCACCAAGGACAGTGGTGATCCAGGACATTTATGGGCCCCCCCTTACAGACCAATGGATTTGAATCTCGAATCTGAGTTGGCGAATCGGCAACCTTGTAATATAAATATAAATTATTACTACTGATATGATATCAGTGCTATACTTTTTAAAACATTTAAAAAATCTCCTTTCATTTAACTCTTATGTTTATCTTTCCAGGGGCAGTGTCGATACGAAAAAGAGCTCCGGCCTTTTCATTCCGAAGCCAACAGCAAAATTATGAAGAGGAAATCAAAAACGACAGCAAAAAATCCCAGTCATCCGTCTTTATTCGACCCAGACTTTATCGGGGAGTTACCTGAAGTGCAACTGGTGACTGAGGAGCAGTCTTTTCCCATTACAATTGACGTTGCCATGGAAACTACCTCACCAGAACCTGTAAACGACATTGAGATGTCAGAGGACAACGATTGTATTTCGAACGCCGATCAAGAACTTTTGAGGCCACATTCACCTACGTGTGATCAGGACGAGGATCTTGAACTTCAGGCCATGTTCTATCTGCCCAATTGGGAACGTCGTCTTTCCTCCTCCAGAACAAACGGAGACAGTCGTTTGAAAGTCATTCTTGCAAATGTTTCAGAGCTGTTGTCGCGTTCACCGCCACGGCTGGAATTTGACCATGTGGATGTCCCTTGTTCGCCAACGCGGCCCGAGCCTTTTCCAGTCTGCTTCATCCTCGATGACGAAGACGAGGAGGAGTTGGACGTCGGTGATCCCACAAACTGTGTGGAAAAGGCCAGATCTGAGACAGGCGCTAGGCAACAGAACAGTCCGACGTGGGACAGTGTTTTTGACGATGACGAATTTGAGGAAAATGCTAACGTAGAAACTAGAAATGATGAACGTTTAAACTCTCCTTGCAGAGCAGAAATAAACGAGAGCATAGATTTGTTTGGCGATGACGAGGCCTTTTTACAAATGTCAATTCCAGATATTGCTACTCCAGAGGAATCCCCCCAAAGAAAACCAAAGAATTGTGAAACGGATGCATCAAGATTCGGGGGAAATTTGGACAATACAAAAAGAGTTGAGGTGTTTGAGGACACAAATCTTGCGACAAACAATGACAAAATGTTAGTGAATTCTACAATTGCTGAAGAGACGACTTCGAAAGCAACAACAATGCCAACGGAAGCTTTTGAAAACTCAAACGATTTATTTTCCGTCAATTTCGATCTCGGTTTCTCAACAGACGACTCTGAAGATGGAGAGGTTTTTACGGAGGCAAATTCATCTAAATGCGTTCCTCCTTCTCCGCCTGCAAAAAACCCCAGGATTTCTTTTCAAACTTGCTCCAACTCCTCCACTCCACACACAGGTTTCTCCAAGCAAAAGCCTTCCATGGCGCACAGAGAAGTCAAACCGTCCACCCCACGTGCCTTACACAAGTCGGGTGTCTTTCCCCGGTGTCCCACGGGGCACAGAGGAAGTGCGCTCCCGTCTCCAATATCCTCTCATCACGCCTCGGCACCTCGCTTCAATCAGATCCACATCAAAGAAGCAGAAAGCAAGAGGAATGCAGGTGCGGTTACTGTAGTCAGCATCGAGTCGAGTTTTGCTTTGATTGTGGTCTTTAGAACCCATTAATGCACTGGTCTGGATCTGTCTGAAAACCCTCTGGAGCAAAAACAAATTGCTGAATGCATGCAGTTTTGGCCTCGGTCTAATTTACTGTAATTTTAAAGAACAAATATTACCCATTATTCTTGGCCATTGAAATTGATTATGGGACTATGCATATAATTCATGTTATATATTGCATAGAATGGTAAAAAAAATTCTTCCATAGACTATAAAGGATGAAACGGGTATGAATAGGGCCTGCCCTATCTTTATGCTACCATCAGGGGGAGGTATAGAATTTTAGAAATACCACCTGTATCTTTTAAATTCCAAAACGTTAAAGTAAATATTCTCAAGATCACGTTTCCTTGTGTTTGAAGACAAATGAGGCATAGTGTTTGTTCTTTTACTATATGACCTAGACGCCGCCATGTTGTGCTTGTGTTTGATGGTTTTCAGTGGGAGACTGCAGCGACAGCGAGGAAGAAATAATGGTGAAGAACCTGAGCAGAAAGCAGCTCAAAAACTATTTCTCTTCTCCAGAAAAGGTGACTTCATGGCCATGTTTTATGCACCAGGATTGGTTCAATCCTAGATTCAAATAGAGACATTAAGACAAACCACTGACACCATTGCAATGTAGGATCATGCCGATACACTTAATAATTCATAGAGACATCACTGAAACTGACAGAGCAGCAGAATTAAGCATTAATGGGATCTACAACGTTATCTAATGATGATTGTGATAATTAGTTGTTGAGATCTCAAAAGACTAGTGAACAGAGATGCTAGTCCTCTCTGGACCAGCAAGTCCAAGTCTTATCCGAATCTCTAGACCAGCAAGTCCAAGTCAAGTCCAAGTCTCTAACCCTGGAGTCCAAGTCAAGCCTGAGTTGATACAAAAATATCGGAATAAAGTCAAACCCAAAGGTCCAAGTCTCGGCCCAGGAGTTCGAATCAAGTGAAGTCCAAGTCTCATAGTTTAATGCAGTTTAAAATGATGATGCTATACAACTTAAAAACAGATCATTCTGCAGTCGTAAAACCTCTCCTCAGTTTGTTTAGCGCTATGGAAGGTTAAAAAACAATTAATCCTAAATTACAATTATTTTAGTCATGAATTAGTTGCACTCAAATCACAAGTTAGCTATCACTGTGACTCTGTGGCTACAATCATCTTCAATATTAACAGCAAAAATATAATAAAGCTGCTATTTTATCAAGTCATACAGTATAATAGATATTAGTTTGGCCAATGTACTGTTCTCTGCAAACAATCAATACTTGTGTCTATGGAACTCTGACACAATCAGATCAGAGGGTATAAATACAAAATGTGATTGAATACATGTGGTTTTTATTAGTTTATTAACGTTTCATAATTCAGTTATCTCTCTTTTGTCTTAATTTCTGTAAAGACAAAAGAGAAATACAACAATCAACGACCAAATATATTCCCACAATGTTTAGCCCAAGAGAAAAGTGTCAACTAAATTAATCAAAAATAAAGTATTAAAGCTGGAGCCGCGTCGCCACTAACAGATCAGAGAATCAAACGGTTCGAACACAGGAAAGGCAATAATAACAAACCCATTGGAGTCATTGGTCCATAGGAGGAGGTTGACCAATGACTATAAATGTTTTTATTAAATGTCCTTTAATGGTCTGGGTCATCACTGTCCTTAGATCCTCCTCCGTCAGCAAGGAGCAACTCATAAATTCAGTGAGAAACTTCAAGAAGACTAACATTGAGAGAGGGATCCGCTTCCACGGACAAACAGGCTATAGATCCAGGACTCGGGCTAAATGAGCAACCATTTAAATAATTGATGAGTTGCGATCAATCAACTAATCGACTAAACTCCTCCATCACTCTTGAGTGGTTACTTGAGAGGACACTTGAGTTAATTTGCATAAAAACAATATCTTCCCTTTTGAAACATTCTCAAAAAAAATTGTTTTTCTCAAGTTACTTACACAATTAACACGTGAAACACTACAAAATGTATAGCCAAGCCTAATTTGCAATGTCCGTTCCTAGTTGTTACTTAATTATTTGCAGTATATTTGAAAGAATTTGCTCAATAACGGATTAAACTTTATTTTTATGGCACCGAAATATAAATAGAAGTTGAAATGACCTATTATAGTTCAAGTACCTCACTTTTTGGATTCATAAATACAGGTCAGACCACTTGTTGTCTTTAAAACCTTAGTCATCAGTTTAGATTTGATCTAAAGATGTGACAGAGGCCAACAATGCTTGCATGCGAAAACTAGTGATATAACTGTCAAAGAGCTAGGAACTAATTTCATTAGCGTATAATTTAATTACTTAAATTTGTAGAGTACTTGTCTTTGTCTGTGGCTACCAACGCCTTAGCAAATATTTACTATTTTTGCATAAAATCAGCAGTTTTTTACTAGCAGATGTTTTTTACGCTGAGACAATATCTCTCTCAGACACATTAGCCCATCTTCTTCATCGGTACCTGCTGACGCCATGGCAACCGTGTCCTGTTTTTAAAGGCTTATCTAAAATGAGACACAGCCGCAGATAAAAGCTAATGGACCTGTGTCCTCTGCTGATGTTATTTTTCTGCAATTCATTCAAAATGTCACAAGAAAATATACGTTTCACATTTTAATATATTGTAAGGACTTATGAATTGAACTGGTTGTCTTCTCATTACTAGACGTTACTGGTCAGTGATGTGGACTCTCCAATCATTCTCAAGAAAAAACGAGCTGCTGCTGCTCTGGATACAGTAAGACATGTTTTTATTTGCTGTACAGTTGGGCCTTGTGTTTTAAGGCTGTAAAACCCCTCATCACATTCTAACCACCTGAACCCACGACCGCAGAAGTGTGATTACGAGGATATCAAATCTGTTTGTTGTTGTTGTCTAAGTGCTGCTGCAGCTGTCAAAATCCATGCGTACAATGTAAATGCAGCTGCAGAGGCAGGAGCAGGACTCAGGGCTGAGGAAGACCGCAGAAGTCCTCGGAACTAATTACAGCGGTGCACACAAGCCACAAAAGTTTTCTTCTACCTTTTAGATGAAGATGACTGTCATGTTTCACCTGGGGTTATGTGATTTTGGAGAATACATTTGACACATGAGAAGCACACTGTAAAAAAAAAGAAAGCAAAATTGCACACTTTGCAAAACAGTGAGGCCACAATAGGTGAACCCCATTATTGTGAGAATCACCACTGTACAATATACAGTTAGGAGTTTCTGTCATTTTAATGCTGTAGCGTATGTCTAGTCTACTCCATGGTCTACACTGGAAGTACTTGTTTAACTTTCACTCTGTGTTGTATCCCTAGTCTGGTGAAATGGAGAAAGGTGCGATATCTGATGATGATTTCCAGAACGACTCGGTTTTCTCCAAAATCAACCCTGAACTTGTGGACAGAAAACACCCTAAAAAACGAATAAAAGAGCAGGTATTTGTCAGTGTGAATGCATTACAACACACATTGCATTATGCACACATGTGCATTGTAGGGGTGGGAACCTACAGTGCCTTGCGAAAGTATTCGGCCCCCTTGAACCTTTCAACATTTCGCCACATTTCAGGCTTCAAACATAAAGATATCAAATTTTAATTTTTTGTCATGAATCAACAACAAGTAGGACACAATCGTGAAGTGGAACGAAATTTATTGGATAATTTAAACTTTTTTAACAAATAAAAAACTGAAAAGTGGGGCGTGCAATATTATTCGGCCCCTTTACTTTCAGTGCAGCAAACTCACTCCAGAAGTTCAGTGAGGATCTTTGAATGATCCAATGTTGTCCTAAATGACTGATGATGATAAATAGAATGCACCTGTGTGTAATCAAGTCTCCGTATAAATGCACCTGCTCTTTGATAGTCTCAGGGTTCTGTTTAAAGCGCAGAGAGAACCATGAAGACAAAGGAACACACCAGGCAGGTCCGAGATACTGTTGTGGAGAAGTTTAAAGCCGGATTTGGATACAAAAAGATTTCCCAAGCTTTAAACATCTCAAGGAGCACTGTGCAAGCAATTATATTGAAATGGAAGGAGTATCAGACCACTGCAAATCTACCAAGACCCGGCCGTCCCTCCAAACTTTCATCTCAAACAAGGAGAAGACTGATCAGAGATGCAGCCAAGAGGCCCATGACCACTCTGGATGAACTGCATATAACTACAGCTGAGGTGGGAGAGTCTGTCCATAGGACAACAATCAGTCGTGCACTGCACAAATCTGGCCTTTATGGAAGAGTGGCAAGAAGAAAGCCATTTGTCAAAGATATCCATAAAAAGTCTCGTTTAAAGTTTGCCACAAGCCACCTGGGAGACACACCAAACATGTGGAAGAAGGTGCTCTGGTCAGATGAAACCAAAATCGAACTTTTTGGCCACAATGCAAAACGATATGTTTGGCGTAAAAGCAACACAGCTCATCACCCTGAACACACCATCCCCACTGTCAAACATGGTGGTGGCAGCATCATGGTTTGGGCCTGCTTTTCTTCAGCAGGGACAGGGAAGATGGATGGAGCCAAATACAGGACCATTCTGGAAGAAAACCTGTTGGAGTCTGCAAAAGACCTGAGACTGGGACGGAGATTTTTCTTCCAACAGGACAAAGATCCAAAACATAAAGCCAAATCTACAATAGAATGGTTCACAAATAGACGTATCCAGGTGTTAGAATGGCCAAGTCAAAGTCCAGACCTGAATCCAATCGAGAATCTGTGGAAAGAGCTGAAGACTGCTGTTCACAAACGCTCTCCATCCAACCTCAGTGAGCTCGAGCTGTTTTGCAAGGAAGAATGGGCAAGAATTCCAGTCTCTCCATGTGCAAAACTGATAGAGACATACCCCAAGCGACTTGCAGCTGTAATTGCAGCAAAAGGTGGCGCTACAAAGTATTAGAGCAAGGGGACCGAATAATATTGCACGCCCCACTTTTCAGTTTTTTATTTGTTAAAAAAGTTTAAATTATCCAATAAATTTCGTTCCACTTCACGATTGTGTCCCACTTGTTGCTGATTCTTGACAACAAATTTAATTTTTAAATCTTTATGTTTGAAGCCTGAAATGAAAGGTTCAAGGGGGGCCGAATACTTTGGCAAGGCACTCTAAGGTTACCTCACGATACGATACGATACACGATACAAAGCTCACAATAACGATATCACAATAACGATTTTATCACGATATGACGATTATTGATATATTGGTCAAAAATATACAAGATGCCAATTTATGGCATAAATAAAAGAAAAAATACACTTTATTTCATGATAAATGGAATGGAGATGTGTAATGTAGCCATATATTAAGTATTGATACCAATTCAAAAAAAGAATTTGTTACAAAATTCTTTAAATCGATATTGATACTTGGCAAATGCATATCGATAATCGAATCGCGGGAAAAAGTATTGCGATATATCAAAAAATCGATCACACCCCTAGTGCATTGTTAGCAATAATGCTGACAGCCCGGCCTCAGGAGGATGAGTTCCAGGTCTCACCATCAAGAAAGTTATGGGTTCGATCCCCGTGTCAGCTTGGGCCTTTCTGTGTATATTTTCCATGTTTCTCTCCATGCCTGTGTGGGTTTCCACTGGGCACTCTGCTTTCCCCACCACCCGAAACATGCACCATAAGTTAAATCCTCCAGCATCATAGGCCCTTGTGGCATTGGAAGGATGGGTCAATTGCACAGAACAGGGACAATAAAGTAAACTTTGATTTTAGAACCACAGCAAATTGGCTCAGACTAAACATGGAAAGCAAATGGTTCTTTAGAGCAGCTTATGACCACCAAGAAGGTTCAGTTTAGTCAAATTCATTTTTGTATAGCCCTAAATCACAACAGCAGTTGTCCCTTGAAGACTTCACAAAGTTGTTGTTTTAACAACAACAAATCAAGAAGTCAATCAGGAAATGCAATAATAATAAACACATAGGAGTCATAGGGGGCGGGACAAGCAATATATGTGCATACTTTTCCTGAATTATCAACTCAAAAAAAACAAGAACAAGGTTGTTGCCAAATGATGGAAGCCCCCTCACTCACTGTCTTGCAAACAATGAGCCTTTTCATTTTTCACAAGCATAGCTCCATCCTCATGCGGTCCAAGACAATGCACAGTTTTGATTTTACGTTTTGTTGAGTTTTAGGCATGATCAAATTAGTGTTGAGAAATATTTGTTTTTGTTTGTGATAAAAATGTGTGATTTAAAGATTTCTCATTGTTAAAAGCTTACCCTTTGCCACATCCTTTCGTTCCCCACACTTCTCGTCTGTGCACGTGGAAATGTAGAAATGCCAGTTCTATAAATACAGCCGGTCTAATGCGTATCAGATGTGACATTTCCGATGCCATCTGCCGTCAGTGCCGAGGAGCTCACCGCTTCCTGGACAACGAGGCCGAGCTGTCTGGAGATGAGGAGGGTGTGTCCAGCGATGAAGATGATGGCGAAGAGCAGAACGGCTCTCTGGAAGGCTTCATGGTGGACAACTCCCACCTCTCCCAGGGTCTCAATGGTACTGCTGTATAATGCAATGTAGTGTATATAAATGTGACAGAAATAAAAAAAACTGAAGTTATCTTTTCCACATTTTTAGAATCTGAGATGCATGGGATCTACCTCAAGTCGGTGCGAAGTCCTGCTGTGCTCAGCAAGTTCAAAATGTCCTACAAGAATAATCACAACATGGACATCTTCTCCCAGGTACCTCATGGTTAGGGTTAGGATTCTTTATTTTTATTTTTTTTCTAAATCTCAATTCAAAGTTTATGATTAACCAACTAAAGGTAGGATTAGAAATTGTCTGAACTTGGGTTGTTGGGATTTTTTATACATTTAACCTAAAAAAAAAATCAGATACCTAGAATATAGTCCTGTAGATCCAGGACTCAGGTAGCCTGGCCTTAGCCATCCGTACACTCCGGTCAATAATCATTTCCCTGCATCTAACGTCTGGGTCTGGCCCCTGTGTTTGTGATTACATCGGTAGAATTCCATCTGACCAATCAGCGAGTGCCGGAGGCGGGTGATGTAGTTAGATGTGGGTGACGTCAAGAGTGTGCGCAGAACAGGCAGGTTGTAGTTTTGCAATGGCGAAGACTGTGATAGTAAAGTAATCCGGTCTGGTTCTATCAAGAAATTGAAGCCAGAGCAAGAGGAATGTATAAAAAAGTCATTGCTGGCAAAGATTGTGGCGTTACTCCCCACGGGCTCCGTTAGCGGCAAAGGAGATGGCTAGGGTAAATGCTAAATGCTAACGACTCACTCGGGCGCTTTACAAACATCACGGTAAACTCAGATCCAATCGTTTCAATCTGCAAAAGGAGTTAACCCCTCCCACCTGTTCACGGAGCTCAATGGAGCACCTCCAGACCTTAGTACGAAATGTCATTTGTACTATGGTGTGGTACGACCAGGCTAGGACTCAGGCAAAACTAGAGACAATTTCAATAATGTGTTTGTTACAATGAATCAATAATCTTATTTACGATTGAGAATGAACTCCCACAAATAATTCGCAGCGTTTACACTTGATAAAACACTTTTGCAAAAACAGTTATCATTTGTGTTGACATTTCAATTCAGTTTATTTGTGTATAGCCCTAAATCACAACAGTAGTGATCTCTGAGAACTTTACAAAACCATCGACACTGTCAACACAGTTTAAACTCAAGAAATGCAATGATAAAAAACACATTGAGCCATTGGTCCAAAATGTGTTAAACTTGTATTCCTCTGGCTACAATCTTGGGTTGTTGGTAGGTGAAGTGGCAGGTTTATTTGTGTGGCACTAGAATATATGGCTGTCAAATATTGTTCTGATGGCACTTGTTTTAAATGAACTCTTCACTTAAACTTGATGAACCACTCGCAGGTCCCTGAGGCAGACGAGACGTATGCAGAGGACAGTTTTGTGGTGGGCAGCGACGAAGAGGAGCAGAGCTGTAGTGAGGAGGATGAGGAGGAGGTGGGACCGCTGCTGCCCGGAGACTCCTTTGTGGACGGCAGGAGGCAGTACGCCACCAGGAGAAGAGTGTTCCTCCACCACGCCAGAGCCAGAGGCAAAGCACCGGCCACAACCACAGGGGGCGCTAAAGCTAAACGCGCGAGGGTCATACGTGTGCAGGACTCCAGCGAGGAAGAGGAACAGGCCAGCGAGCAGAATCCTGACGGTCCTGGGAGCAGAGCAAAGCATCGGGAAGAACTTCGCCCCACTGAGTCTGCGGCGTCCCGGCTCAGGCTGGCTCCAAAGACCAACGAACAGCAACGCAATGACAGGTAAATTTAGGAATGTATTATTAATATTGTATTGATTTATTTATGATTCAGTCATATTTTGTTTGTATTTATGAATTATTGATATTTTGTTTGTATTTATGAATTATTGATATTTTGTTTGTATTTATGAATTATTTATATTTTGTTTATTTTTGTTCATTTAAAAAAAAAAGAAAATTGATATTTTGTTTGTATTTATTTCTTAATAACATTTTGTCAATTTATTCATGAACTGTTATTTTTTGTTAATTATTACTATTTAGTTTATTATCTTTTTTTAATGAATCATATATTTTATCTATTTATATATGAATTATGTATTTTTTTGTTTTTAAATTATGCATTTTTGTTTGTTTATTCATGAATAGTTAATATTATAGCAGTTGCCTTTATGTGGCTTGAAAGTTAGCTTTTAACTTTAGAGTTTGTATTGATAGCATTGCAGAGATATAACTGCACTATACTGTTTGTCCTGTAGGCGTCGCCAAAGAGTTGAACGTGAGCACCTCCTGTCTGATGAGCTGGACTTTGTGGAGTCAGAATCTCTTTTATCTGCCAAGGTATTTATTATTCTCACTCACATTCAGTGAATCTGTATCAGTGTGTGGAAGACTGGATTATTCTGCTGCTTTGATGTCATGTGTAGTTTGATAGAAGTTATCTAATGTTCTTATTGTATCATAAGAAGCCTAATATATACTCAGGCATGTTGTACCTCCATTTATAAAATCGCAATAATTCAGTATTCAGTTCTGTTTCAATCCCAGCATAGTTGTGTTCAGACAATCCTACCAACAAACCCCCAAACAATCATTTATACATGTTTAATACTTTATACTGAATTTTTTTCTCAGTTTTGATGAATTATTTTTTTTGCTAAAACCCAAAATGTTTTCTTTATCTAACAAAAATATTCAATCATGAATTAATATTAAAACAGACAAGACAAAAAGGAAAAAAAAAATATGACTGAGCATATTATCAATACTCTCTTACTCCCCAGGCAGCCTCGGCCCCAGTCCCAGTCCCAGTCCCAGTCCCAGTTTCAGCCTCAGTCCCAGTCTCGGCCTCAACATCTGCCCCTCGCAGTTCTGATGCGGGTCCCGTGTGCATCCTGGTGGACAGCCGATGTATCTCCGGAGGCGCTCAGCTGGTGACCTGCCTGCGCCAGCGTCACTCGGCCGCGGTCCACGTGTGCTCTCTGGACGGCAGCTACATGATCGTGAGCACGCGCACCGCCGTGGAGAGACACAGCCAATCAGAGCTGGCCTCCGCCAACAACAGGAAGAGACTGGTGGAGAGAGTGGCCGCGCTGCAGGACGGCTTCGAGAGGGTGTGTCTGATCGTGGAGAAGGACCGCGTTAAGCCAGGTGGGTGATGTGATTATTTGTATAGCACAAGGGCTCATAGTCATTGTTTTATTGTATTATATTGCTCATTTATTGCTCATTTACCTTGTGCTGTGTGCTCCTCATTCCTACTGTTCTGCAACCGGTGATGCAACACTGACATTTCCCCACTGTGGGACAAAAAAAAGGATCTTCCTTTTAATTCCTTTCAATTCATGCGAAAGGCAACCCAGTGTTGAAAGGAAACATCACAATTATAAAAGTAAAGTAAAAGCATAAGTAACCTTCAGCGTCTCCTGGGGACCAGCTGTCTATGTGCTGCGTACTTATTTTTTTAGTTAAACATGAATTTATCTTTCATTTTCCAGGTAAATAGCACATTTAGCCTCTCATTATTATTAAATGTAAAATATTTTGTGTTTTGGCATATTAGAAATAGTGACTTTTTCTCCCATCTCTGAGTCTGAAGTACTCCTATGTGGTTTTACTGCAAATGGCAATTAAAATAAATCTGGATCTGAATCTTGGCCAGTGTATTGAAATATATTAAAGTATAGTATAAGTCTATGAAAGTAAATCTTTCACATTTCGATTTTGTATCATTATTATTGTTACCAGGAAGTAACGTTTAAGCGTGACATTACGTACTTTGGTGTAACCAGGGCCTATGCCATTCTTGGTGTTGCTGCAAAGACATTTTCTTACATGAACATCAAAATGCATTAAAAGTAAAGAGATGTTTCTGTGTTGAGGGGGTTTTGGAATCTTTTTTAAGTATTTAATTCATCCAACCCCTGTTCAAAACTGTCCATCCATCCATCCATTTTCTTCCGCTTTATCCGTTGCCGGGTCGTGGGGGCAGCAGTCTAAGCAGAGACGCCCAGACTTCCCTATCCACACACACTTCCTCCAGCTCGTCCGGGTGGACCCCAAGGCGTTCCCAGGCCAGCTGAGAGACATAGTCCCTCCAGCGTGTCCTGGGTCTTCCGCGGGGCCTCCTCCCGGTGGGGCGTGCCCGGAACACCTCCCCAGGGAGGCGTCCAGGAAGCATCCGGAACAGATGCCCGAGCCACCTCAACTGGTTCCTCTCGACGTGGAGAAGCAGCGGTTCTACTCCGAGCTCCTCCCGTGTGACTGAGCTCCTCACCCTATCTCTAAGGGAGCGCCCAGCCACTCTGCGGAGGAAGCTCATTTCGACCGCTTGTATCCGCGATCTCGTTCTTTCGGTCATTACCCAAAGCTCATGACCATAGGTGAGGGAGGGAACGAAGACTGACCGGTAAATTGAGAGCTTTGCCTTTCGGCTCAGCTCCCTCTTCACCACAACGGTCCGATACAGCGACCGCATAACTGCGCACGCTGCACCGATCCGCCTGTCAATCTCACGCTCCATTCTTCCCTCACTCGTGAACAAGACCCCGAGATACTTGAACTCCTCCACTTGAGGAAGGACTTCTCCACCCACCTGCAGAGGGCAAGGCCCCTTTTTCCGGTCGAGCACCATGGCCTCGGATTTGGAGGTGCTGATTCTCATCCCAGCCGCTTCACACTCGGCTGCAAACCGTCCCAGTGCATGCTGCAGGTCCTGGTTCGTTGGAGCCAACAGGACAACATCGTCCGCAAACAGCAGAGATGAAATCCTGTGGTCTCCGAACCGGACCCCCTCCGACCCCCTCCGAAAACTGTCCATTGTTTATTTTTTTGTTCTGTAGAATTGCGTAGTACAAGTTTTGAAACACCGCAAACATGTTGATGGATTGTGATGAAATCCTGATGGTCTTTCTTTTAACCGTGACGTGTCTGTGCAGGAGACTCAGCCCGTCCTTTCCAGAGAACGCGTTACTACGACAGCACTCTGGCTGCTCTGGTGGGCTCCGGACTGAGGCTGCTGTGGTCTACCGGCCCCGAGGACAGCGCCGCCCTGCTGGTGGACCTGGCCCGTCTGGAGCAGAGGAAGAGCCACGGCATCAGCGTCCCCCTGGAGGTGAAGGGGCCACAGAGGCAGCAGGCCCTGGATGTGTACCTGTCCTTACCCTCCGTCAACCACGTGCACGCGCTCAGTCTGTGCCACAACTTCAGGAGCCTCAGCCACCTCAGCAACAGGTCGGCGCCCAAACATCTTTCACTGCTGCAGTCTCTCCCACTGCTTTGGCCAAAGTTCAGAAATCCTTGATATAGACTGTAAAGAGAGGGGGAGGGAGAAGAGGAGGAGAGGAAGGGAGAGGTGAGGGGAGGGGAGGAGAGGGAGAGATGAGAGGGGAGGGAGAGATGAGGGGAGGGGAAGATGAGAGGGGAGCGAGAGGGAGGAGAGGGAGGGGAAGGGGAGGGGAAGGGGAGGGGAGAAATGGAGGAGAGGAGACAAGAGGAGGAGAGGAGATGAAGGGAGAGAGGAGAGGAGAGGAGGGAAGGGAAGGGAAGAGAAAAGAGGAAGGGAGAGGGGGAGGAGTGGAGAGAGGAAGGGAGAGGAGACAGAGGGCATTTTTTATAATTTCCTATATTGAAACTGATTTAGGACTTCACAAAAACAAATTGAAATGAACACAATCGCTTTTCTCACTATATGGCTTCACACAATCACCAACAAACGTCTTTTCAATTTTCTCTTCATTGAGCCGCACTGGGAAGATCTCAAACGTGCTGTTCATGCAAGGCAGCCCAGGAATTTACAAGATTCCTGGGCTGCCTTACAACAAGGGGGCTCTCTGAAATTCCCAGTGGGTCAAGGCTGAACCGTATTTAAAGTTAAAGTAATAGCAGTAATCTAACTTGAGTGAATGTTTTGGTCAATTTTTATTACAAATGTTATATTTAGCCAAACCAGAACTTTTTACTGATGCTGTGACTGTATAAACGTATGAGTCATCTCTTATGGGACGTTGTGTTGTTCTTCCAGTTCCATCGAGGCCATCCAGAAGGGAGGTTGCATGAGTCGCTCCAGGGCAGAGGTCGTCTACAGATTTCTGCGATATTCTAGTGACGCTTTTCTCATGAACTGCTCCAAATAAAACCAAGCTGCTACGCAACCAACTAAAGTGTGCAATATAAAGATGACGCTCATACCAGGCTCTCTGGTTTATCTTCAGACATTTCAGGCACAAGAGCAATTATGTGGATTTTGTTCCTGGCAAGAGATTGCAACAGTCATGTGAAAAGATACAATTATTTATCAAATGTGATTTTGTATCAGGTGTATGGACTTGAATGTGTCTTTTGACCACAACCATGTTTTTGTAAATATAACTTATTTTGTATTAAAAGTAATTTTGAATTCCTTATTTTCATTCTACCACAATATGCTTCGAGAGTAGGACTATTTCTACCCTGACCAGACACAATATGTGAGGACAATTGGGTGGTCTTATGGTTGAAAGTATAATCCTAGCAAACAAGTGTCTGCAATTTATTGAAGTATTTAAAGACAATTCAGTCCAATCCACAGCATTTTTAACTGGGACAGAAAGGTGAAGATGCAGACTAGCTGTATAAGCCCCCATGCATGTACAGGAGGTGGCAACAGCTCAGTTGGTAGTTAGTCTTTGGACCTAATGATTGTGTGTTAGATCCCACTACCATCCATCTCAGTCCCCTCTGAAAGATCAAGGCTGTATGTGTTGAAGGAGCAGACATCTTCCTGTGGACCCACCCCCTTTAGGAGGATCAGTGAGGGACAAGTGCTTTGAATTGGGTGGCAGCTCTGAATGCCACCCCCCTGACCCCGTAAATGAACATGTACAGGTCAACTTTTTAAAAATGTATTGTACTAGTAAAACTGCCTTGATAGTCTAGAAAGGCACCAGTGGGTCTATATGAACAAAGACTGTAGAGTTTGAGTAATTTACTACACTTCCCTCTAATCACTTTTGCACCGCCAACATAGTAAACATTTAGTCATGAGGTAAAGGTTTAGAACTAGACACATTTCCAAATTTGACATTGGGTGATGACATTTCCTGTAGGGAAATGGTTGAAATCAAGCAACTCAGTTTTTACTATCAGGAAGCGCACAAATAGAACAGATGATCTCCATATACCCGCTAGTTTTAATTTGTAAACATTAAAGACACGTACTTTGTTCTAGAGGAAAGAGGCTTTATTGAATATCTCCAATACAAAGATGTGATGTGGGCTAAAGAAGCAACATGTTTACAGTGTTAAGACAAAGATCCATTTGTTTTGAATCACAGCAAAAAAATAAATACAAAATCCATGTAACTTTAAAAGGTTGACAAGATTCAACTACAAGACTAGGCTGTAATAAATATACACATAAAAATGTTCATTGGTTTCAAAGATGTTTGTTCAATAAATAAGACAAACTTGGACGATTTGACCATTATGCAATTAAAAACAAGACCTTTTAATATCGACCTTAATCTCGGCTTCCAAATATCTAAACAGCGAGACGTGTAAAAGAACAGGTGCTGAAATCTGTCCTGATGGAACTCTTCCCAAAGGGCCACTGCACTGATTCTTTTAGATTCGATGTAACATTTCACCACTTTGTGTAAACTAAAAGCCATTGTAACACCGGAAAGAAAAACATCTACAAAATGTACATTTAAAAGGAAAAACCATATTTACATAAATTCCTTTTAAAAATTGTTTTTCTAAAAAGCCTGTACGACTAAGGTTATCAGGTGCAGACAGGTTCACATACTGCTGGGCTGGGACTGTGGCTGCAGTGACTGCAGAGGGCCACCAGGGGGGTCAGAGTCCTGGATAGAGCACTCTCTGTCCTCCCTCATGTACATGAGGAACAGAGTCACGGTGGCGAAGGTGGTGGCGTTAACAGGGAAGGCTCGCAATAGTGTGGATGTGAGGCCGCGGGTGAAGACCTTCAGACCCTCCTTCTCAACACTCTTCCTCACACAGTCCATGATACCGTTGTATTTATGAACCCCTCCCACGCCGTCTGCCTGAAGACGGGACTTGATAACATCCACAGGATACGTGGAGAGCCAGGAGGCAATGCCAGACATGCCTCCAGCAAACAGCAGCTTGGGGATCATGTAGGAGTCTTCAGGCTCACAGCCCAAATGCCGCGTAATCACGTCGTAGGTCAGAAAGTATAATCCAAAGGCAGGAGTCTCTCTGAGCAGAGTGGTCACCATGCCGCGGTTAATACCCCGCAGCCCCTCCTTCCTGTAGATCCTCACCAGACAGTCCAGAGAGTTCTTGTACAGCTTCCTCTTAGACTTCTTCTCCCCTGTGCCCTGCATCTGCATGCGGGTCTTGGCCAGCTCCATGGGGCAGCAGATCACACACTGAATGGCGCCAGCAGAGGCACCTGCCAGGAACTGGTTAAGAGGGGTGTCCCGGCCCAGCTTCCTCATGGCGTTCCCCTGTACCCCGAACACGATGGCATTGATGAAGGTGAGGCCCATGAGGGGGGAGCCCAGGCCTTTGTACAGCCCCATCGTCTGCAACACACAAATCATTTAATCCTCCAAAACCCACTGCAGTTCCACTCTGCCCTCATGTATCCTTTTTTTTATTGTGCAACATTTACACAAACAATACAATATCAATAATGACAAAAAGACAGATATATAGCTAATAGACTGATGTTTACAAGAAATAGAAATAAAGCAATAACCAAACGTGTGTGCGTGTCAAAGTAGTGAGTTATAGATACAATATTATTTTCATTACATTGTCACCAATAACAATAATCCACATTAATCCTCATGACCAAAACTATTCGAGTTTCCATTGGGAGATTAATAACAAAAATCATAATCACTATTATTACCATCTCTATTATAAAAATAACAGTAATAAAGCTGTAGCACTGCTACCTTCTCCACCGTCCCCCTTCCCTATTTTAAGTGTATTAATTTTACAGTTTCAATACTTTGTTGTGTGACATGTGTTCTACAATGCGTTAAAAGGCAGACATGAGGGGATGTCCCGAAGTGGGTTTCTCCCCCACGTCCGACCGGCCCTACGTGTATTTATTTAATTATTCAGTGCTATTCTAATGTGATGCGTTAAAAGACACGGGATGGTCGGGAGGAGTTTGGAAGCCAAAGATTAGCATGAGATGACTGTGGATAAACAATAACATTTCAATAATACTAGTAATAACAGTGTTACTAACAATAGTAATGACAACAATAAGTAATCTATAAGTAATCTTTATTTATATACCGCCTTTTCACTGCAGATCTGAGTCTCAAAGCGGTTTACAATTGTTCATTTTGGGCATTTGTCTCTCACTCCACACAGAGATGGGAGCGGGGTCGCCAGTACAGGAAGCGCATGCCAGAACTATTGGACATATTTTTAGTGGTAGGGGAAACCGGAGTACCCGGAGGAAACCTACGCAGACATGGGGAGAACATGCAAACTCCACTCAGAAAGGCCCTGGTCTGACCGGGATTCGAACCCAGGACCTTCTTGCTGAGAGGCGAGAGTGCTATCCACTCAGCCACCTTTTATTATCAATCATGATAATAAAAACGAAATAGCAATATTAGTGATGATGATGCAGATGAAAACTGTAGCAATGATCAGGTGTATGTAAATGTTCTGTTGGTCAAAATGAGAGTGAGTAGGAACCTTAAAAGAGAATTGGTCAAGAAAAAAAAGAGTTTATTGAAGATGCTTGAATGTGACTACCATATAATCTGACAGTAGATCTTTCCATTGATTTATGTTTATTTTAGTTTTTAGTTTCCAGTTAATGAGTATGGTTTTCTTGGCGATGGTTAGGGCAAACAGTAAAACTTTAGTGTCTGATGAGCAGAGTAAGTGATGCTGTATCTCCCAGTATGCAGAGGGATGGGCAGAGTGGGATGAGACAGTCACTCTCGTATTCTTGTTCAATAAGCTTTCTGAGAAAGTGTCGCAGCTATATTTAATAGTGCCACCGCAGCCAAACGTAACCACTCACATTTGTGGCAGCAAAATGGCAAAGAGGGGAAATGTGCAGAGAACAAGCTGAGCCCACTCAAATGGCCGAAGCTTAATTTAGGCCAGACATCCTGGCTGACCTACACCAGAAAGGACCTTCACTACACAGCCCCACGTCAGGGCGGGCACACTGCAGGCACAGGCGGATCACCGAGTCCACCACCACGGAACCATGTTTGCATGTGCTCCGGCAGGTTTACGACACACTTTAAACTGGGTATTTACGCTGGTTAACAGTGGAAAGCTATTAAAGCTTATGATTGTGTGTTCATTTCATAATTACATAATTACATAGAGGAAAACAAATGCTCTAGACAAACACTGTTGACTTACTTTATGAAGTTAATTATAGTCCATACATGCAATACCAGTTTGATTTCTTCCATCGTTTAAGATGAATCCAGCTGTGAGCAGCGTAGTCTTCTGTAGCTAGCTACAGGCTGTGTGTTTGGCTAATAGACAAATGGTTGTCAAGAACATTTGTTACACCCCGTAACTATGGGAATTTGTATGTTGTGAATGAGTGTAGGCTGACTGTCTTACCGACTCCTGGCGTATGATTGATTGGAAACAGTGGAATGTCCCACGGTAAAGAGGTCTGTCCACATTCTGAACTTGAAGACGCACCTAAAGGACAAAGGCACAGGTTACAGGGTAGAGTAGGATAAAGACAACAAAAGTCAAGTAGTAAGACAAAGAAATGGGGGGGGGGCACATTTGTTTAACAGTTGTACAGCAGGAGACAGGAGAAAGAAAGACCTTGACCGTACTTACTAGGGTTTACATCCGTGGAGAGCTTGTTTATGTCTCGCTCTCATCTACAACACAGTGACACTGGCACTGTTAAAAACAGCCTCCCCAGCCCCACAGACACTCACCAACACATCACATAGCTTTGTACACAACATTCTTCTCTGCATCTAAACAGAACTCTAAATGCATAATACCAGCTTCAAATACAGCCTACAAGCGAGTAAAGGCAGCTTCAAATTAGTTACATTGTATAATATACAAACAAATCCAAGCTTTAAGCATTGGAGGAAAGAAAAATGTGTTCTTTAAACTTAAAATTAATGTGTAAGGTCAGCAGTAGGTAAGGTAAGCAGTTTACAGAATCTCAGTCCAACTTTACTTTTAGCTTCTATACATTTGACTTTAGGTAAAGAATAGGAATTGTATATCGCTTTGAACACGCACATAAGTCCGGTTTCCACCAGCTCTATTCTACCCCAATTGGGAGCATTTCCTTTTGCCCAGTTTAACTGGTACCAGCTACTTTTTATCATCCTGGCCTGTTTTAGCCAGTATTCCAACTGACAGATTGGTTCGAGAGCTGTTGATATGAGAATGATAACCAAATTATTGTTGTGGATAAGCTGCTAGGATACAGTGCCAGACACTGAAGTGTAATAAAAATGCAAAGAGGTAGAGAGGAGGAGAGGAGAGTCGAGTTTAGTAGAGCTGGTGTAAACTGTGCTCTAATGTCCCTAAGGCTAATGTAGAAAACCTTCCCACGCAGTCAACACAGGTCTGACCACAAATCTACAAGTTTGTAGATCACATGAACTGTTAAGACTCACACCCACCTTCACAGTGTCGAAAGGATGTCCAACCAATACACCAGCAGCACCTGCAACAGCCACAGGTCAAGGATCATTTACAGCTTTACACAAATGCACTCATGTATGGATCAGACGGGGTCCATACACGTTCAAACACCATCCATCTTCCCCTTAATCCATTTCTGGCTTGGAGAGCACCAGCCCTTTCACTGATCCTCCTGCAGGTGGCGAGTCCACAGCAAGATGGCTGCTCAGTGACGACACTGGCCTTGATCTTTCACCGGGGGCCTCAGGCAAAGTGGGGTTAAGTGTCTTGCCCACAGACATCAGTGGGTGTCAGTGGAGATGGTCTCATGTAGGATTGAACCCACAACCTTCAGGCTCAAGGGCCAATGCTTTACCAACTGAGCCACTGTCGCCCCACGTTCAGTGTCATTTTTCTTGAATGCGTCTGTTCGACAGACATGGCTTGACCCTAGTCTAGAGTGTCCCCCTCTTGTCTCTAAAACAACCATTTGAAGGACACAGGCAGATCTACAAGAATTTAGCCCCGATCCTTTTATTCTATTTACAAATGCAGAACAAACTTGGAGAAAAAACTTCCAAGTGTGGTTGAATGAACAAAAAAAAATAAAATGAAGTGCAGAATTGAAAGCTTGAACCAAATGAAAAAACGTGATGGAAGAGGACTTTAGAGCTTTCCTTGTGCAAAAACTAAGTTTTAACAATACATTGTATTAAAAAGGAAATGTTATAGGAGGCCAAGCAGACAAACGCATGCACTTTTCTGTTGCAAGAGATGGCACCAAACACGCCAAAGTATGAAGGCACCACTCCCAGTGTGACTCAAACTGATTATGTGCAGGTGTATTGAGCCACATTTGACTCTGGCATCAGCAGTGTTCCCACAGGGACACGTGGCTGGTTTTGCTTGGCAACACACCAGTCAATAAAACAAATATAGCCAATTCCTACAGATTAATACAAATCAGGCACTTGATAAATCAGAACAGAAAACGGGTAAAATGACGACATCAGGATCATTCTTGCTCACCAAAAAGGTCCAGAAATATAAAAAAAGTTTGAGAACTATTGAATACAAAACAAGTGGGTGGACTGTATGTGAAGCTGAAGCCCTGTAGTTATGGCCTCTATCATTTACTCAGATTATTAGTGGGAACAATCAACACAGAAGAGAGCAAACTCTGAAGTCCAGCTAATTTCTTTAGGTAAATAGAAAAAAAAAAATGGAGCTCATAGCCATCTGGGGGTTGGGTTGTATAGATTTCCTTCACAGCAGAGAAAAAAAAGTGTTTTATTTTGAATGGAAATATATGTTTGGATAACACTTACATAAGCCAAAATTACCAATTCTCACCAATAATGAGAATGGGGAATTAGGCAAAAACGCTGGAAAAGCCACATCAAGTTTATGTTAGCAAATATTTGCACTAGTTTTAAATTGCTGGTATCTTAGTTCAAACTAATCCAAATTTGTCAGAATGTTTTATTTGATCGGAAATTAGACACATATTTAAAAAGTTCCTTCACATTGTAAGAGTCAGATGTGTTTACTATTACAAGTCTCTCCATGGCCTCACACCAAAGGACATGAGGACATCTGTGACATGTCAGTGCCATATGAACCAACTCTGTCTCTGAAGAGCACAGGGACCGGCCTCCTGCTGGTGCCCAGAGTCAGGTCTAAACATACAAATGTATGCAGCCAAAATCTGGAACAGACTTCCTGAAAATGTGAGACGGGCCTTGTGTATGAACTGTGCTTGCAGAAACGCACCTTCCTTTGCTTTTTCATTTTTAATCAATTAGCTGAAAATAAAATTAAAAACAGTAAAATTGAGACAGTTCAGTCCCAGTACATTGGACACTTCATAATAATAAAATACTTGATTTTTATAAGAGTTAGTTTTAAAGATTCATTCAAACTCCTTGCTCGACATATTGCTAAAGCGAATTATGAATGCTAATGCTAACGAATGCTAACGCGGCAGTCTGCGCTCACCTCCCACACAGCCCGCGGCGAAGTCCAATGCCATTCCACTGAGCCCGTGCTGAAGACCGTCCAAGAGCCACACAACTCACTTCCGCTTTCTTTACTTTTCTACTAGATATCAGTTTTTTTTTTTTTTTTTTTTTAAACTGCAAAACTCCCAAAACTTTCTCTCACAGCCACGTTTCCTGGTTTGTCTGGTTAGGTGTCCTCACTTCCACCGCGGAGAGACTATTTCTGGAGCCGCTGCAGCGGTGGTGCGGTGGTAGCGGCGGGGGGGAGGCAAGAGGAGGGAAACACAGGCTCCAGCTCCTTTTTAAGACGATCCAATGGTGTGAGGCCCTTATGGACAACTCCCCCCCGGGAATGAGGTCCTCCCCACGGCCCCATTGGCTCCGAGCGGACACACAGCGCTCCACCATCCTCCGGTAAAATCAACATTGTTATCATAGCTTCTGTTGGGACACATGTGAGAGACGCACAACTGGGTCACATGTTTACATGGTTTGATAAAAAAATAAAATATACCAGATAAGATGTTATTTTCATTCAGACTAAAGTTAGTAAATTACTGCAGTTGTTGAAAATGGGAGGAATAGGCTATAGCTTATACAATGATTTGCATTTGATTGCATTATGTTAAAGATAGAGACTTTATACTTACCTATTATTGTGCTAAAGTCAGAGATTACATACTTAATTCTTCCTTCTTCATTATGCTTAAAGGTATACAGGAGGATTCTTCCAAATATAAGGAAAGAACCGCCCTCTTTCGAACAAAACTCCCAGGTCTTATTTGACGAGGACTATCACCAGAATGATTGACAATTGGGAGGACCAATAGTTTTGATTTATTTATTTGAACGGGTTAGGGTTATGAACAGACACATTAAAAACATGAATGTAAACATGCCAGATTATAGCCAAAGGTTAATTTCCATCTGTAGTCCCATAGGCTATGATAATCCATCCAGGAGTAGTAAATCCTCCTATCAACTTTGAGTGCTTCTCTCATTAGTTTTCACATGCATTTTTGGCCTCTGTCACATCTTAAGATCAGCTTTTTCAGACAGAAAAGTGAAGAGAAGAGCACCGTCAGAACTCAGCCCAAAGAGTCAAATAGTGACACTCTTTCTCAGTACTTGCATGGAGTGGTCTGATTTGTTACCTATATTTTTCTTTTCTCTTGAGACTTTCTGTAGGGCCAATGTTAAATGTATTTAAAAGGTTTAACACCCCCAGCTTTACTATATATGGCATTCCGAATATAGGACGTTAGCGTTAAAAAATCTCATTATAGGGAACCTATTACAGTATGTGATTCTGCATTTTAGAGTTTGAAAGAAAATCATTAAAAACTAACTCTCAGTGTGTTGCATGCAGAGTACTTTCCATTTTTTTCTTATTATTATGCATTCTATGTTGTTTAAATCATGTGCATTTTTTACATTATAATCATATTTCACTTTGGACCAGAGCAGAGTAAATGGTCAGAACCAAGCAGCACCTCTGCTGCTTTGACCCGTCCTGCTCCACCCCCAGAGGATGGCCTACCTCTGCTGCTTTGACCTTTTGTTTATTAATTTATTTCAACAGGGACAATGTGCAAATACATTAATTAAAGATGCTTTGCACCAGATTTAGCTTGAGCTAGTTTCCATCTGCAGTCCCTGACCTGAAGTGCTGTTTCTTATCATTACTAACACTATTGTTAGCTTATTAGAATGATCAATTTATTTGTTTTGTTTGTGTGGATGTATGTGTTTTTGCTGCTACTGGACACTTGAATTTCTCTTACGGGGATCGCTAAAGTATCCATTTATCTATATGCATAAAACGCACATCCAAATGCATCTCTCTGCATTGCTGACTTGTGGTCCAACAATGATCATTAGTTGCCATCATGTTGCCATAAAGGTTCAGATCATATGAACAATTTTATCAAGGGCTCGGTTACCCTGGTAAACTGATCTTGCACCACACGCTTGCAGCACAGGGTAAGTTTGTTCAGGGTTTGTTGCACTTTCAATGTGTTTCCTAGTAGAACATTAATGTAGGCTTAACAGCTCCGCTTATCAGTCACTGGACAACCAGGAAACACCAAAATCACAATCTTTGAAGAATTTTAGTTGTCGGCAATAAAGACAGCTTGAATATAGACCTGCTTATGCACTCTTCACTCCTATATCCTATGCACTAACAACAGATTAGATATATTCTCTTTCGGGCTGGATTTGGCACATGAGCCTGAGTTTGAAAAATTTAACCACTAGAAGAGAGTACTGCTTGGTTACTGGACATGTTTCAGTGGAAGATTCCCGCCTTGGTCAGAAGTGTCTCTTATCAGCTGCTATTACTGGATGCGGTCAGTCTGACAGATCTGTCCGACTTAGGCAGCGCTGTGGTCTCTGGAGAAGTGAGTCCCATGTGTGAGGCAAAGTATTGGTCCCCTCGTCTCTGTTTATGGTCCATGTGCCCGTTTGATTTTCTGATCTATTGTTGGCGAATTCAATGGGTTTGTTAAGTCCTTTAAGATAACTACTGCTGTGATTGTACTTATTTTGTCCATAATATATATATATATATATATATATATATATATATATATATATATATATATATATATATATATACACACCACACTCAATTATAATTATTTGGGTCAAGATATGTTGCAGATGATCTCTTGTCCTAACTGATAAATCGGTCGGTCACTAATAATAAATAACAGAAGAACAAAATTATAGTTATAGTTTATTTGCACATACAGTATTGTACACAGTGGACTCACATATATCACAAACAGAACAGCTCTGAGTAGTGCTTGAGCTTCTGTTCATAGATTTTCTCATTATTTGTAAACGTTGACAACCCTAGTTCACGGTTAAGACGAATGAAATGCCACGACGTGTTCTGAAAAAAGCTCATCATTAAATATGCCTTTGACACATTCCATATCATGATGTATTAGACCCTCCCTCCATGTGTTTTGAGTGGTCCAAATGGTGGTATTTGTCTTCTTGCCTTCATAACCTTCTCTTGACAGTTTGTATGGGTGATTTACTTATTAAAGTTTAAAGGCCTGGGGGTCATGAACTGTTGGACCAGCTCGTCAGTCACGTGTTTGCGGCGCTCTTGATGGGTGGCGATCAGCGGCTGCAGAGTCTCGATCAGGATTTTCTTTAGCTCTCCCGTCAGCAGCGCTCCACTCGTGTAATCCTGAACCAGAAAGTGTTTTTAACTTAAAAGGTATATAGGAGGATTTCCCCAATTTATAGGAAAGAACCGCCCTCTCTACTTTTTTTAACACAACCCTCTGGTCTTATTTGACGAGCACGCATAACCAGAATGATTGACAATCAGGAGGACCGATAGACTTGATGATCCACCAGGAAGAAGAAAATCAAGTTCAATTGTAATGGTAATCTCCCCACTGTGAGACTAATAAAACAACAATACTCACTGAAATATAGTTCTGAAGTACCAGGGAGCTCTAGGTTTGGTCAAGTTCACTTTAGGACTTTTTAAAAAGACAATTTATTTACCATTTTAGGAACATTTCATTACTGTCGCTTTAACCTGCACTGTTTAATGTCTATTATGTGTACTTGTATACAGTAGACGTTTGTTTATGCATGCCTTACATATATTTAATCATAGTTATAGTTTACTTTTATAACTTGTTTTCACCATGAGCCAAAGCAAATTCTTGTTACTTACAATGGCAATACAAAATATTTCTGATTCTGAAACGCTAACATCACTGTGGCATTTCCACCACATCTTTGATATTTCTAAACACATGAAAACTAGAACTGGATCATTATAAAAAGTGAATGACAGAATACATTTTTAACTTGTCATTAATACAGAAAATGTTGAATAAACTCAATTAAACATGCAATATTGTGATTGGAGTTTGAAAGTAATTGTGTCTTCTGCTTTTGAGGCCTTTCATTTTTCCGTATTGGATGAATATGAAGACTCGCTAAATATGAAAATGTAATGAATCTGAACGGATCAGCATCTCTCACCTGTCGGATCTTCTCCAGCTGCTCGTCGTCCTCCAGGAAGAAGGTGAGATACATGAAGGAGACGTCCACTTCTGCGTTGCCTCCAAACTGCCGGTGTTCCTCCACTGTGTCTTTGCCCCCAGAGAACGCATGCTTATTCACCTGCACACAAACCGCTTTAAAGAATGTTCCATAGAATCTCCATTTGCCAACTTTCACACCGTCACTTTCACCGTTATTATCAAGGCACGGTTTTATTTTTTTATCTTGAGTTCTTCTTTGTCCATGTAAGGTGCAAAAATAGTGATGATCCGGGATATTTATGGACATTCTTGAACATTTAAGGACATTGATCATCCTGCTCCCTGCGGACCAATGGCTCCTATGCATTTCCTGTGTTTTCTCGGTTTGATTCTCCGATTTGTCCAACAACTTTGTAAAGTCCTCCTGCTGTTGTTATTTAGTGCTATGCAAAAATAAATGAAGTTGAATCATTCTAGTTATTATATTTCCTTTCCAAATAACCAATCCTAAAAAGTTTCCTAATTATATAATACATATAATTCATAATATATCATTGCATTGAAACAATAAACAGGAGATTGAGAGAGACAGAGAGAGACAGTGGGAGAGAGAGGTTGGGCACAGAAATTGGTAAATGAGAAGAATACGTGGATATTTCTCCATTTCTATATTTGTTTGTAAAAAAAAATGATAATAATTTTCCGTTGATTCTGGTGCGGTTAACCTATATTTTCAGATACAGTATAATCTATAAACGGCCCATTTTAACCGTTGTGTTATCTTTGGGTCAAATTAACCCGCCACAGTGATCTGATGATTTTTGCTCATTTAACTAACCTACATTTAGACCCAAATGTAGGGTATTTTTTCAGCTTTTAATCACTGTGGCGGGTCATATTTACCCGAGGGCAGCACAAGGGCTTTAGAGGGGACTAAAGAATCGAATGAACGCTCAATTCCAGAGTGGAATTATGAGGCCTGAATTAGATCCAGAACCCAACAGGACCAGGATCTCCAGCTCGGCGTCCGTCTCCAAACAGCTGCAGAGCGTCACCTTGTTCTTGATCTGCTTGGGAGAGTCCGTGAGGAAGATGGAGGAGTTGGCGTCACTAGCGCTCATTTTGGTCTGTGCTCCCTGCAGCGCTGGAAAGAAGGTGGAGTGGAGCAGGGCGGGTTTGGGGTATCCGATCCGCGGTGCCACATCTCTGGTCATCCTGAAGTACGGATCCTGGAAGAGAGAGAGTGTTTAGAGGACAGCATCGGATAAACTACAGTATGTCATTATGTTGTATATGTATGTGTTTTGCATACCTGGTCGATGGCACACGGGATAAGACACTGGATATCCTTCCTCTCCCCAAAGATTTGTGGGAAAGAGTTACTGAAAGACGGCGCGGCCTGGATGGCTGGAAAACTGATCTTTCCTGTATTTCAACACAAGAAAGTTAAAAATAATAGCCTTAATGCGATGTGGGCAAATCGGGCGAATCTCATGCTCGGATACTCTGGGATTTTCACTTAGCTCAATAATTCCTAAGTCCTAAAAACACATTTTCCAGATGAAGTGAGGAGTTACCGATGCAATCGCTGTCAGTGAAGCCAAAGATTCCTTTCACCTGATTGAAAGTCACGTGTTTCTGGACCTTCACCACGTTCCTGTAGAACTGTGGAGAGGAGCTGAGGAGAGAGAGAGAGGATGGGAAACATCAGCAGAATATTTTTGGACTTGGACTGAGAAGGAATGTGCGTATCTCCTCTACCCCATGTAGTCGAGGTCAGAGAAGATAAAGGTCTTGTTGATGTCGAAGCCACACGCGATTATGTCCTTGGCGTTCTCCACGGCGAAGCGGTGGCACTGCTCCAGACTCAGGTCCTTCCACAGAAACTTCTCGTCGTCTGTGAGTTGCACCACCAGCGGGATGTCGAAGACGTCCTGCAGCCACCTGGGACAGAGGAGCACAGCCGCTAGATCCAAACTTTTCCCTGGGAGAGCTACTTTTTCAGGACAAAAGTGGCAGAGAGCTACTCCGTTTAAACTGTCAACATAATGGTGTGCTACAGTGGATTGTTGATTTGATCTTGATTGGAAAAAAAAATCTTTAAAACAATTGAACAACCAGCTTTAGCTTTTTTAAAGAAATAATATCTTTGCTGCTTTAGACTGAGAATATCACTCAAACGTTACATAAAAAAACATCAGTATTTTCATAAATTAAGGGAGATAATTCAAATTGGAGATTTGATTAATACAAGCAGTTTACTTCATCCAATCCCAATTCAAACCAAATCAAGCGACATTCAATTAATCAATCAATTTATTTATTTCAAACATGCACATAACTTGCAAACATATGCAGGTTTGAAAAGGGGTTGACAGAAGGAAGAGCTTATTTACAACAGGGACAAAATAATCATGTATTAACTATGATATAATTCGATAAAGTGTGATTAAATATTTAATTGTTTGACAGCACTTGGAAATATATGAATGTGTTTATTCCAGGACTTACTTGGTGAAGATGAAGGGGATGAGGTGGCCCACGTGCATGGCTTCTGACGACGGTCCTCTGCCGGTGTACAGGTAAAAGCTCTTGTGCTTCTCGTACGAGTCTAATACTTGGTGCATGTCCCTGAACACATACAAAGGAAATAAACTAGAGTCAATCCTTCAGACAGTTGTAACAGCACCATACAGTAGTTCATACAATAAACAGAACCTGCTGGCTTAATAAACCTGTATACGAACCACACCGGCAGAACTTCCTCAGCCATTTGGCAGATCACTATATCTACTGTAACTGCATCTCAACCATGTGACGCATTCTGACCAGCTCTGGCTAGCTCTGGTTCTTCTGGTCTTGTTCAGTGATTCTACTTCTGCACTGATCCAGCTTTCATGAATTTCATTACAACTTTATTACTCAAACGATAAAAACCTTTATCAGTGTGAGAAAAAATCACGACTCCACATTCTAGACTAAGGCTGAATCTTTTCTCCAGATAGACAAATTATGAATTCACAACAAGACCCTGCAGTTTCACCTCCAACTGTATTCTACGTTGTGTCCATGTTTAGAAAATCAGATAGATCTCCTATATTTGTGCCTATATATGTGCCTAAGAAAAATACTTTAAACATAACCAAAGTCATGATAATGTATGTATTAGAATGATGAAGTTGCCCAATCTGAATCTGTAAAACCAATAAGAAGGTGATGTGGTCGACCTTTATACTGACCTGTGTGAGAAGAATATTCCTCTTCTTAGAAAGCGGTGAGGCTTCTGTCCCGATACTTTCTCTATTCTGTCCACAAGCTCCTGGTCAACTTTGCTGCTTCCAAACCTCACTGTTTAAATACGAGAAAGGACACAATCAAAGCACAGATGTGACATTGTTTTTGCTCAGGTGGTCTTACATATGAGTTTGTCATAGTCCACTCCTTTGGCATTAGTGGTGGTTACGCTCCATGGGTTGACGTCGTCGTCCTCCTCAGTGGCGCCCCCTGCTGCTGAACTATTCCCGGTTAAAATCAGGTTTTCTGGTGGAGGGCAACCGGCTTTGTATTCCTGACCGGTCACTTGTTTGTACTGGACTTTGAGCTGTAGCAGTATCTGGACAGCAGCCTCCACTTCCCCCTGAGGTAGGGAGAAGATCACAGACTTGTTAAGAAAATACCACTGATTTTAATTACACATCGAACAGATTCAGATTCAGATTCAGATTCATTTATTTGCCATTCGCAGTAAAACCACATTGGAAAAACTGTGCAAGACTACCCCGGTGTGAACATTTTTTTATTTCTTGTGAAATAACATCGGTAACCTCTAAATGTGGTATGTGTGCATTTGTAGAGAAACTAACAAGAACTTCTACGGTTTATTAGAGTAAATCAAATTATGAAATTACTATAAAGCTTTATATATTTTCATTGTCTCATTTATTTAGTCAATTATTATCATAACACAAAACCCTGTGAAAAGTGACATACTCCTGTATTACAATTTTATTTCACAGACAGGATTTTAAAAATATGAATCTCACTTTTTTATGAGTGAAAAGATATCGTGTAGAAATAAAAGTTAGATTAGTAGACAGTAGATATTACTTTGACTAAAATATCTGTGACTATTTCAGCTATGAGGTTTCACACAAAATGCTCCAGCTTGCTTATTCCAACCCAGACGTTGGGCAGATAGATGTTATTATCAGATAGAAGAGGAAATGAATGGACTTAATTTACACAACTGCCTCACCTTGTCAGCTTTAGCAGTCTTCAGGGTTCTGACCTGATCGCCCTGAGCGGTAAGTCTCTCAAACAGCTGCAGTGGAGACTGAGCTCCTTCTCCATCACAATCTGTCATCTTCACACTTTCAGACACAAAGGCAAGGCAAGTTTATTTGTATAGTTCCGTTCCATGGTTCATACACAAGGCAACTAAAAGTGCTTAACAAAACAAAATAGAGACCATCGTACATACATTATCACAGTACTTTAAAAAGCACTGACACATGGTGCGAGGCCATGGACAGAGTTGTAGACAAGCAGAACTGCTGTAAAGTCTATTCTCTTATGATGTAATCATTTATACACATTAGGAAATAATCCATTAAGAATCAACTCATGCTACAGGAAAAACCACTGAGAAGAGGGCATTCATCAACAGTATGGTCACTAAATATGTCTATACAGCAGGTTTATCTCCGGTAACACCCGTGTAACAAGCATAACTATGCGGTTCAAAGAGTCCTTACCTCCGCGTGTGCTCTGATAAACACCGGTCAGCTGAGAAGAACGACAGCTAACAGTAAACCATGGGGATTATCTGATGAAAAGTGAGTTTTGTTGTATATTTCCTCACAGCTGTCAGCAACTCATTCAACTTGCATCAGCCCGTGTGTTCTCTCCAAAGCCTTCCCCAGAGTACACTTGAAGCATACAGGTTCCGACAACATGAGGTTTGTGTTTTGTAGCTTAAACCTCGCTGTTGCATTCACGGTAATTATTTTATTTAATCGTTAGATATTTAAGTTTCATGTTTCAATGTATTGTTTGAATTATTTGTTTTTAATAATTTACTAAACATTCCACCATATGATTCCACCATAGCTCGGACACATAATACAAAACACTTCCGGTACTGATCTTTCAGAATAAATGCGTATATCGACAATGCAGTTTACTCAGTCATGATACCCAATACAAATGAATCTTAATGTGAAAGGACTAAAACTGTCAAACAGGACATTGCTCTGTTGACAGCGGATATTCGAAAAGTAGATATTCAGAACATGGATCTATAATGGCATGCAAGTAGGTCTGTTATCACTGTATAATTCAATATTTTAGTCTGTTAACAGCTTTTAATGAAATAGTTATTGTGAATAGTCTCGTGAATTAAGAAATAGTGTTCTTAATATATCTACTATTGGTTTCCTCAACAACATCTTATGCGTAGATAGACAGCAACACGTCGGCTGAATGGCTGGCACATTTTGAGTGGTGTTTGCATGTTCTCCCCGTGTCTACGTAGGTTTCCGCTAATGGCTCCCCTGGCTACAGGTCCAGGACTCCGCATACCGTCCAGTAGACGAAAGGGACGCACCCAAGATGTTAACACAATTTTCAGACATGCATATTAAAGAACAAAATGTGTATTAATTAAAGAACAAAATGTGTATTAATTCAAGTTATATATATTTTTTGTCTCTGCACAGCTTTAAAAGTTTCATAATCAAGTGTTAGTGTGTAGTGGCCGCTAGATGTCCTCATTGTGCTTTTAATGATTCTCCCCTTGTCCATGTCTTAGGATGACTCTACCATGTCTTCGTTAGTGGCCTATGAAGATTCAGATTCTGACTGTGATGATGAAATCAAAACATGCCATGCAGAGACTTGTCCATCGTCGACCTGGAAAAGCAAGTCTCCAGTAGTTGAAATGTATTCTTCTGTACCTTCATCGAGCCACGTCCAGTCCACAGCTCCCAAATCAACAGTGCATCAAAACGCACCTGCTTTTTTATTGGAAAATCAAAGAAGAAGCCATACACTTCAGACCCAAACTCATAGAAACTCCTCCATTGATTTTAAAAGACAGCTTCCATCTTCTGTCAGACCGTACGTCCTCAAGAGGCAGAGGTGTGCTCCGGTTGAAAGCTCAGAGCCATCAGATGCATCGGAGCACATCCACAGAGAGGAGAGGCCAATTCTGTCTGACGGGGCCCACACGGTGAAGCAATGTCTTTCACAGAAGCTTCCAGTGCTGTCAGCGGCCCCCAAGAGACTGCACATGAGGCTGGGGGGTCACCAGGGCCCGGTCAACACGGTCAAGTGGTGTCCTGTCCCTCACCTGAGCCATTTGCTGCTGTCTGCATCCATGGACAAGACGTTTAAGGTAACATTAATGATACAATTCAGTCATGCTTATAAGTAGGAGTGTGACTTCTCTCCCTACTTTCTGCCCCGATCGATTATTGATATGCATTTGCCAAGTATCAATTTTGAAAAAAATATATATATATATTTTTTATTTTTCAAAAATATATTTTTTTGGTTTTAATTAGTATCAATACTTAATATATGGCTACATTACACATCTCCATTCCATTTATCATGAAATAAAAAAAAAATTTTCACTTAACATTTTCTATTTTATGTATGCCATAGAAATATATTGGTCAGAAATATACCATGACATGGTATATTTCTGACCAATATAACGATAATCGTGATTTCGTGATATAATCGTTATCGTGAGCTTTGTATCGTGAGGTACCCTTAGGTTTCCACCCCTACTCATAAGTGGACTCAAATGGTGAGGGCTGGGCATCTCTCAGCTGACTTTCTATGCAATACGATATACTTTTTAACCATTTGTTATGATTCATTGGAATAACAAAGTTTTTTGGCCATTTACCTAACGCTCTCTATTTGTGCATTCTTATTAAATCTATTGAAGATTGATTGCAGAAAAACCATCTCATACTTCTCTGAGTATTATAAATGATAAAAATCAAAATATGAAAAAAAATGTATGTAGAAAAAAAAAACAGAAGCAAATACTTTACTTGTTTTAAAAACATTGATTTTATATCTTGAAAAACCCAACTATTTTTCTAAAACATGTTTTTATGTAGCTCTGGCTGTGTTCGCATTGCCGGCAGTAAGTCAGACCTGTTCCCGGTGCATGTTGGCCTCCGCCAAGGCTGCCCTTTGTCACCGGTTCTGTTCACTGTCTTTATGGACATAATTTCTAGGCGCATCCAGGAGCCGGTGGGGGTCCGGTTCGGAAAGCACAGGATTGCATTTCTGTTTGCGGACGTTGTCTTTTTGGCTCCAACAAACCAGGACCTGCAACATGCACTGGGACGGTTTGCAGCCGAGTGTGAAGCGGCTGGGATGAGAATCAGCACCTCCAAATCTGAGGCCATGGTGCTCGACCTTTAAAAGGTGCCTTGGACGTTGGGTAATAACTTAAAGAACGAGATTGCGGGCTAGATCGCGGGCGCTCTCTTAGAGATAGGGTGAGGAGCCTAGTCACACGGGAGGAGCTCGGTGTAGAGCCGCTGCTTCTCCACGTCAACGCCTCCCACGCCTCCCTGGAAGGTGTTCCGGGCACATAACCCCTACGTAAAATACACCATAATACTTTATGACCCTATATTTATACCTATAATAGATGTAATGACTCAAAAATGATTAGTTCCAGATCATGGGTTAAATTCTAAATACTTGGCGAGCTACCTGAAAGGGGCTGGCGAGCTACTGGTAGCTCCTGAGCTACAGGTTGGAGACCCCTGAGCTAGAGGAAGTGTGTGTGAATAGGAGATAGGAGTCTGGACTGCTGCCCACGGGGGCCTGTCAACGGATAAAGCAGAAGAAAATGTATGTTTTCATGCATACCCCTACAAACAGATTTGAATAGTAATAACATATATTTGACAAATAATGGCTTCACCTCGCCACTAACTAAATAACCATGATTGGAAACAAAAATCTTGAAAAAAAACTTCAATCAATCATACACTCTGCCATGTCAACTTTTGTTTTTAGTATTCAGAATCAGTACTTGCTGGACTATCTACTACTACTACTACTCTAGCCACAGCTGCCCTGGGGCACACTGACAGAAGCGAGGCAACCAGTATGTGCCATCGGCCCCTCCGACCACCACCAACCATTCACACACACATTTTTAAAATGTGCAAAAAAAAACACCTGCAATTGTCATGAGCCTCCTGTATGATCACCACACTCCCATCTCTGTGGTGTGAGACACAAATGCTTATTTCTTTACTTACTATCTCGTAGCGGAGCGTGGAGTGCAACTGTGGTTCCAGAGCTCTGCACACAGCACAGAGGGATTTTATAGTCTATCTATATAAACTAAGAAGGGCTCAGGGGCCAGATAGAAGCATCCAAAGGGCCACATCTGGCCCCCAGGCCACCACGATCTATTCACTAGTCCCATTCTGTATGTTCAAGGAATAGAATGGATGGGCACATAATAATGAATTGGCCAGCGCGAACACTTTACACTTTGATGTTGTCCCTGTGCCTCATTTATAACAAAGACTTTCTTTAGAACCGTATCTGTCGCCGTTGGCTGCATGTGTGTCACGTCCTCTGGGACCTATACCAGTATTTTTCCTTTTTTTGATATCAAAACAATCCCTCATTTTCCACCATTGCAAAGGTCAAGCAATGCAGGCGCGTGCCAATGAATAAATGTGTGCACAGCGGTGGGAAATCACTTGACTCGATTGTGAATAATGAATGATATAAATATGCATGAGGCTCCACACCTGGAGGAGCGCAGGGCAGATGGCGTTTGTGTGCACCGCTCCACACTGCCTCCTCTGGTCTCAGCTGTCACTGCATAAACATGAGAGCTAACCTGTTTACTGGATACAACCATGATACAAACACATGAAGTGTGCCGCAAGTTACTCATTGACTTAAGTATTCATTATCTGCAAGTACCTTTGTAACTGAAATTTAGAATATTCAAAAATAGTTTATTCACTTCTGTTAAAATACAATGTGAAACTCATATATGACAAACTTATTACACACCGAAGAGGAGAGAAATAATTCAATTCAACTCAATGTATTTTTGTATAACCCTAAATCACAAATACGTGAGTTCTGAGTTCCACCTGTATGACTGAAACAAGTCAACCAATAGTTTTTTTTAATTATCATTATAATGATAACTGATAATAACTTTGCCTACTTACTATTGTCTGGTATAAAAGAACAAAATAACCTCAAGTTAATCAATTCATGAAATAGTTGTAGCTCATTTATTAATCAATGAATTTGAACCTTACTCAAACGTAGACATGCTGAGCAGAGGTGTTATGGCTCAGATAATTCCATAATGACTGCAGAATTAAATGAATGTAATTAAAGTAGCCCCAATGTCGTCTTTATGAGGATTTTCTCCAGGGGCATCCCTTGAGCTTTGTTTTATTTGATAATCTACTGGATTATCAAAATAATAATAATTACAGCCCTGTAGTTGTTTTACTGTCTGAATTACCATTATATTTGGTTGCGTGTTCACGCCGAAAACGCCTCGGCAAAAAGATTAGGTCTTTCAAGGCGGGTTGAATTTGTATTTCTTAAATTCATTGTGTGTGTTCCAACAGAAATAGTCGTTTGAGCAGCATCTTGTGAATGAATCAGACTACAATTTTTGTCTTTGTCTTAGTAGAAAACAGTACCGTTAGATTTTTTTTTACAAACTGAGAGCTGATTGGCTGAATGAGGGAGGTTCTCTATTTTGTGAAAAGTAGATAATCTGACTTGTATGTGTATTATTTTTATCTGTATGTTTTAAATGTGAAGCGCTTTGTGATCCTGGTCTGTGAAAGGCGCTATACAAACAAACCTTACTTACTTAATACTTACCTACTGACTTAGGTCCAGTAGCTCGCCACACCCTTTTAAATAGCTCCCCAAAGGATTCAGAAATGTTGAAGAATTTACTTTTTTTTTTAATCAATTACATTTATTTTGGTATAGCCCTCACTAACACAGATCAGAAAATCAAATGTTCAAATACCGGTTATGCAACAATGAAAACACATAGAGCCCACGCAATGCAAGTTTATTTCTATAGCACAGTTCCTACAGAAGGCATCTCAAGGTAATTAAAAAAACAAAAAACGTACAGTTAAATACTCATAAAGCATTATACTCCATTCAATTTGGTTTGAACTGGTTAAAGTAGCTCTCAGACTTTTTTTGTCCTGAAAAAGTAGCTCTTTATGGGAAAAAGGTTGGAGACACCCGCTGTATATGGATTGTATTACTTTTTTGTGGTTGATTCAAAATGAGATACTCCAGTTTTAAATCAACACATGTCGTTTATAACCGTGTGACGGAATAACGCAAGAATATTGTTAGCATCTTTCAGCTTGTGGAAGACGCTAATGGCCCCTTTTGGTACTCATAATGTTATATTATTTCACTGAACAGCTCTGATTAGGTTTTTGTTGCAATGTGAAATAATGAGTTGCTATTAAACTCCACTTCTACTCTCCAACTGCTTAACAAATTGCAATTGTGCCATAAAACAATGCGCTTCTGAAATGACTTGAATGTGTAATCATTTCTTAATTGTTCTATCCGTATGTCACTGCGGAGACTGTAAATGCAAGTGCTCTTTTATAATTGAATTCAACATTTAAGTTTTGTTCACAATTTGTATTTTTATAAACCAGTCCCAGCAGGGAGCCATGGAGAGATTTGTACACACACAGAACTGCTTTCAAGTCTGTTCTCTGAGCTACAGGAAGCAAACGCAGAGACCTGAGGACTGGACTAATGTGGACGTACTTCCTGGTCCTAGTCAGGATCCGGGCTGCTGCGCTTTTACCCTCTCAGTGACCATTTAATTTGAATGATCGGAAAATTATCATATGGGATAGTAACATACGATCCTCACTTTTTTGAGAGAGACCTTCACAGGCAATGTATTTTGGGATGTTGTGGATTTGCAACATTAGCCCACTTTGGTAAATAGATCTACTAATTGGCATGCACTGTATCTGTTTATCTTTCATTTTGGAAGTGAGAAGTTTTTGAGAAGTGAAAAACTGTGTTGCTAAAGCTCAACTAAGTCCAGCAAAGGTACTGAGTAAAAAAGGGGCAAAAATACCGATGTGTAGTAGTTAGGTAATAAGAAGTTAAGTTGTTGTAAATCTGCAACGCCTGCCTGGAGAGGGTCAATCCATAATTTCAGTGTTTGTTCTTTCCAACTGGAAGAGTCTTGTAAAAGTTAGATGTTAAAATCTAAATCCGACCACAACATGCTGGTCTGAAAATTAGATACCCCAGCTTTAAATAAACGTGATTATGTCAATAGTTACTATTCTCACAAAAAAAGGAACATTATTGGCTTCCAGAGGTGGGAACATTTTGAAGTGCTGCTCATCGATCACTGCTTCGCCACATCCTTCCTCATCTCCCTCTGTCACCTCCTCACACTGGCTGTCCTTCTCCGCTGGTTTCTATGACAACGGCAGGTGCACGGCTGTCAGAGATCCCACCGAACCCAAGATACAGCAGTTTTAATTACTGGGAGGTTGTAAGGGTTATAACTATGAGGGTTATGACACGTCTATATATATGTATATTCTAATGATCACATAAGACTCATATCAGGTTAGTGACGTTAAACTGAAAAAAACTAGAGACTATATATATATAGGCAATGCAAGTTTATTTGTATAGCACAATTTATACATAAGGCAACTCAAAAGATAGAAACAATCAAACATTCAAATAAAAACTGAACTGTTTTTTACCTGGATTTGAATATTGTCAGTGAAGAAGCCTGTCTCACATCTTCAAGAAGACTGTTCCAGATTTTAGCTGCATTAATCAGAAATTCTGCCTCCCCATGTTTAGTTCTGACTCTGGGCACCAGCAGGAGTACGGTCCCTGTGCTTCTCAGAGTCCGAGTTGGTTCATAGGGGACTAACATGTAAGGTAGTAGATGTTTGAAATGTTGTTAACAAATTTTGCCAATGAGACGGCAGAATGTTCCAGTTGTTATTGTTTTTAAGCTTGAGTACCTAACTTTGAAACAACTATAAATTACTAAATATAATCCATGTAGGTTCTCGCTCTCAAAACAGTTCAATGCATGTGGTATTTGCCTCTGTCACCTCTTGAGATCATGTGTTCATTATGTTCAAAGACAGCACTGATAGATTGTCCTTCTTGAATATTGTTTTTCGCTGGCCGCTCTTTTTGATCAGAAGGTTATGTGTTACCTGAAAATCTACACCTTTAGTCTATAGTTTTAGCCGACCAAAATGTATTAATTAATAATAGTTTTTGCAATCACTTTCATTTTAGTTTTGGTCAAACAAACATGATGGCATTGACTAAATCTATGAGAGAAGAAAAATGGTTTGCTTTTAGAAACACCCATGCACGCACTTCTTACATCTCTGACTGAACAAAGCGCTATACATTGTTCTAAAGTGCTGGTGTATGTCTGTGAGTTGAACATAAGATGGCAGTGTTCCCCTCCCTCCCGGGCCCTGGCTCCTGTGTAATAGCCGGATGCCTGCTGCTCTCCTGGGCCCCTCTCTCATTCTCTTTGTGCTGGAGGTACATTCCCAAGGTCTGTCTCCTCAACATGTGCAGCGCCTCTTTGGAGGAGACCAGAGTGAATAATGAAACACAGAAGGAGCTGTTCAAAAGCAGCCGCTCACCTGAGAGGACTTCACTTCAGATCACTTTAAAACTCTGCTATGTCTGTGTCTGAAAGAGGGGACACCATTATGCAGAAAGTTCTTTTAGGAGTTTTAAACCATGTTACAACTTTGTTCCTTCATCAAAAACTGAGGTGTTTTAGCTCCATCCCTGCTGATATTCGGAACAAATCCTTAACTCTGAAGTCATAATGTTATTTTTTCTGCCTTGAAAAAGAAGTGTGGCTTTCAAATTAGTCTTGGGAATGTCCAAAACTAATTTACTGGCACTACTTTTGCTTTAAAAGGCAGACAGCACTGAGCTTGATCTCTACTCCAGGTCTGGTTTTGAAATGGTTTTGTTTTATTGCCATTGCAAGTAACAGGAAGTCACAAACCAAGAGTTCGCTATGGCTCAAGGGGATTTGCAACATAATTTAAAACTAACACTGACGTCCTCCAGTCAAGAAAAAGTCAGGTAAAAATCACAATAGCTTGTTGTTTTTTTAGTTATTAGATCAGATTCTCTGGTTCATGTGTATTTTGCCCAATTAACTGAAATTGGAAAAAGTTCTTTCTCCTCCCATTTAACTCATGATTATTACTGTATGTCTTCTTAATAACTTTTAGCACGCTCTTTTTAGTAACACGGCTTGTTTTCAATGGAGCAATAATTTCAATACATTCCACAAGCTGTTAATGATCCTGCACTTTTATTGAAATGGCTTTTGTTGATGGTATTCACAGGGACAATTGCCTTATTTATCTACTTGTCTGGTGCACACTGGGGGACTTTGGCACATGTATTACAATGTAGCTTTACTCCAAATGGCAAATAAACTGTATATGAATCTGGACATAGTGCAGGTACTGTTATTGGCTCACTGTGTAATGAGATGGGGGCAGGGACCACACTGCTTGTTCATATACAGATGTTATAGTCTTGTTCGACTTTTACAGAGGGACGATAATCTTTCTAACTAATAAAAGCACACAAACACATTTTATAGCTGTCACATGAATATTTTTACAGCCCAGTGGAGTTGTGTGTGACAGGTTCCCCTCTTGTGTTCTCTGGTGACAGGAGAAACATTTTCTTTACAGCTATTTCCAATTTAGCTGCAGATTTAAGCGTCCATCTGTTCAGCACCACGGACAGCTCCGTCGAGGCAGGAGGAGCTCAACTGTGGCTCAATGTTTCTCCAGTCCACGTTAAATGCTCGAGTGTGTGTTTTTACTATAGCTTCTTCTGCTACTTCTACCATTAGAGATATTACTGTATATACAACAGTTACTTTATGATTCTTATTCTACTACTACTCCTATTGTTACTACTGCAACTGCTGTACTACTGATACTTTTTCTGCTCTTCCATGGATTACTCTTTAATAAGAGCATATGCCAAGTCAAACAGGTGGGCTTTTGACACCAGTTTTACATGCTCATGATAATAAGTCAAAATGAATGTAAAGTAGCTAACTTTGAAACCACAAATCATAAATAGCTATAATAAAATCCATGTAACTTGTTCCTCGCTCTCAAAATTTGTATGTATTTTTGTCTGATTTTTTAACCAAATGTTACTTTGAAAATACTATTTCTGTAAAAAAAATAAAATAAAATGTAAACATGTATGTGAAGCATCCATCCATCCATTTTCTTCCCCTTAATCCATTTCTGGGTTGGGGGGTGGCAGTCAGAGCTGCACCCAGTACACTTAGCACTGGCCCCTCACTGATCCTCCTGCAGGTGGTGAGTCCACAGATCTTTCAGCGGAGGCTTCAGGCAAAGTGGGGTTAAATGTTTTGCCCAAGGACACAACAACAGCAGTCATCAGTGTTTTTTTCCGACCTTAAAGCTGGGCTATCTAACTTTTCTTTCCTAACAAACTAACAGTGACTGTGGGTTGAGAGCTGTCCTCTCTTTTACACTTTTCTGTCTGAAAAAGCTGATCTAAAGCTGTGACAAAGGCCAAAGATTCATTCTAGAAGAAATGAAAAGGTGAAAACCCGCTGGAAGTCAGTGGGGGATGTAGGCTTTCACTTTGCGCAAGACAAACGTGTAACATAACCATCTTCCTCTTCTCCTATGTTTGTCTGAAGGTGTGGGACGGGGTGGAGAGCGGGCGCTGCCTCAGCATCTACAAAAGTCACTCAGAGGCAGTCAGAGCGGCCTGCTGGAGCACCCATGGGAGACACATCCTGACCGGGGCCTTCGACAACTCTGCCCAGGTCACAGACGTCGAGACTGGTAAGTTTCACTCACACACATCCACATCATTCAGACGTTCTTTGTCGACACAGGAGGGTCTGAGGCAGGAGTCTGGGTATCAGGTCCTCAAACTCCATCCATTTCCTCTGGTGAGTCCAGTTTGAACCTGAAGATTTGAGGAAATGGCTGGAGGCTATTGTTCTCCTGCTCCGCACCGGTCCTTTCTGGAACTGGTTTGACACTGCTGGTCTAAGGAATGATTTGAGACATTTATGGACATTTATAAACATTTATGGACCTTGGTCATCCCTCTTTCTTCTGGACCAATGGCCGACAGTTTGATCTGCTAAATAGATTAGAATAGAATAATATAGAATCTAAAATATATTTTTAGATGAATGTGAATATGTTTAAATAAGATCCCAAGTCATCTTTGTAATTAACAATGTTGACTTTTGAATTTGAACAGTTTCCTGATCTTATGTATGTATGATCAATCATGATTATGTATGTATTTATTTGTTTATTTATTATAGTATTATCATTTAATTATTTATTGTATCACAGCAGGAGCAGTAAACACACCAGATTGTAGCTATGTACCTGATTTGCATCTGTAGTTTACTTTAGTTCTTAAATAATTGTCAAAGATTCATTTTCTCGCTCTTTTTACGATAAAAAAATATATAGTTTTAAATACTGGTACTATATTTCCAAAAAAAAATACAAATCTATAAATAGCCATCAAGAAATGAAATATAAATGCATCAACAAGGATCTAAAGGCCTTTATATTTGGACTGAACCGTATCTAATGAAATATATCAAAGTGAAAGTCTGCTGTATTTAGAGACGTGGAGTGCGTTGATTCTCTTTTTGAAAATCTGAAAGAATAAACCCCGTTATAAACGCATGACTGACCCTTGAACCACAAAACATAGTAATCACACAATTTAGCCCTTTTCTGTTGGAGTGAAATAATAGCCTTGAATATTGTTTTTGGCAATCTTGTAAACGCTACAGAGATTCCCACATCGCCCACTCGTTGTAGAATGGACGGGTTAAATGCAGAGGACACCTTTAACTAACTGTGATTGTTCTAAATGCTAAATGCGTTTAAGTCCGGATAATGATACAAGTGGATAATACTCGACCCCCACACTCACCTTGTTGGAACACAGTGCATGCCGCCGCTGACAGCTGTAATATCACAGTAATGAGAACTGGTCTAATGTCTGGTCTTCTAAGGCTTATATATATTTATATTTATATGTGGAATAAGAGAGTGTATATACTTGATTTGATTCCATCCCTGATATGTTTCCATCTTCTCCAAAAGCAGATTTGCATTTAGACTAGATTTACAACTGCGGTCTTACAGTATGACACCCAAGTGACAATTCATTTGTTCCGTCAATTGCTCTTTATATTTTGCTGGCTTACTCGACTAGAAATGTCCAAAATGACACCAGCTGCTATTAGTTTATCAGCACATAATATGGCTGGGCGAGATGGTAAAAGTAGAATCTCTCTCCCTTTAGACTATTATTATTACTCTTTTGATAGATTTTAATAGTCACAGAAGACCCCTGTTTAGTAAAATAATCTGCATATTTGATTTTTATAGGAGACATGACATAAAATCTTCTTTGTTGTATTTTTTCCCCTTTTGGTCACGTTATGATATAGTTCCCTGATCAGTCACAGACCAGGAGCCTTATTTACTATATTAACCACTAGAGAAATTGCTTGTTTTCAACCACATGGATGTGACTGCTGCAGGAAAAAACAAAAGTTGTGTATTTCTAAATGTGCTTTACTGTTTGTTTTAGCTATGATGCCATTTATGAATCAAACAGTTGTTTAGAACAGATTGGAGCTAAAGCTGAAGTGAAGCAGCTCAAGGACATGGCAAACAGTTCAATATTTCCGGACAAAACGGTTTTATCTTTACAAACGAGATATTTACAGTTTCCATTTCTTATTCCTCTGTTTAGATCATTTACATATGTATGTCTGAATATACAGCAGTTCATGGTGGTTTTGCATTGTTTTGTGTCACACACACCATCTGGCTCTTGACATGGAACGCCACCTCACTGGGGGAAAAAGAGCTCGTGGGGGAGGTTGAGAGATACCAAGTAGGGATCGCCGGCCTCACATCCACACAAAACTTGGGCTTGAGAGGGGTTCGAGGCTCCCCGTTTCTGTTGCTTCTCACGGGGAGAGGCAGCGAGCGGGGGTGGCCATATTCTTTGCCCCCCATCTCAGCCGCCACATGTTGGAGTTTTCCCCGGTGAATGAGAGGATCGCGTCCCTCCGCCTCCCGCTGGGGGAAAAGTCTCTCACTGTTCTGCCTATGGGCCTAACAGCAGTGCAGAGTACCCTGCCTTCTTGGAGTCCTTGGGAGGGGTACTGGACAGTGCACCGACTGGTTATTCTCCTGGGAGACTTCAACGCCCATTTGGGAAACACCAGTGACACTTGGAGAGGGGTCATTGGGAATAACGGCCGCCCTGACCTGAACCTGAGCGCTGTTCAGTTGTTGGACTTCTGTGCTAGTCACAGTTTGTCCATCACAAACACCATGTTCGAGCACAAGGGTGTCCACCAGTGCACCTGGCACCAGGACACCCTAGGCCCGGAGGTCGATGATCGACTTTGTTGTCGTATCATCTGACCTTCGGCCGCGTGTCTTGGTCACTCGGGTGAAGAGAGGGGCGGGGCGGGCAACCGATGACCACCTGGTTGTGAGTTGAAGCCAATCAGACCTGGTAGACCCAAGCATGTAGTGAGGGTCTGCTGGGAACGTCTGGCTTAGCCCCCTGTAAGAAGGACTTTCAACTCACACCATCTGGGGGAGCTTCTCCCAGGTCCGGGAGGAGGGGACATCGAGTCTGAGTGGACCATGTTCTCCACCTCTATAGCTGATGTGGCAGCTCGAAGCTGTGTTGGTAAGGTCTCTGGTGCTGGTTAGTAAGTCAGACCTGTTCCCGGTCCATGTTGGCCTCCGCCTCCCTGGGGAGGTGTTCTGGGCACTTGTCTCTCAGCTGGCCTGGGAATGCCTCGAGGTTCCCCCGAACGAGCTGGAGGAAGTGTGTGTGAATTGGGAAGTCTGGGCGTCTCCGCTTAGACTGCTGCCCCCGCGATCCGGCAATAGATGAACTTGAAGAGCACTCTCCCCTGTTTTTGACAGTGATCAATAAAGTCAATAAGAGTGTCCAGAGAGAAGGGACGCATTAGACCCTGAACTCATACAGGACTGTAGATCTGAGCCTCAACCACAGATGCACAACCCCCAGATTGCATTTCCTGTTTTTGCACTGTTTGATTATCTGACCTGTGTTGGCAAATTGACAGCTTGTGAAGTCTTCTGAGATACTTTACAACTATTGTGTTTTGGCGCTATGCAAAAATAAATGTAAATTCATTGAATTGGTTATGTTACTAAAGACCTGCACTAGGTCTGAACATTTTTAATTGCACATTACATAAAACACCCTGCACAAAAGAGACATCTTTTCCACTTTTTAACATGTCTTTTGCACATCCTGAGTGATCCTATTTATGCCAAATGAAACATGTTTATTTCATCTTATCTTATCTTATCTTAATGGCTATTTTCTTTGTAAACGCATCACAAATACAAGGTTGTGCCACACAGAGAACATACATGCTCCTCTCCTCATGTCATTCCTTGTACATGGCGCACACTTTGCTCCGGTCACACTCCACGTCTCTCAGAAACACAAGGGGATTTCTTTTCTGTTCCCGCCCTTTTCACACGCATGGATTCAGCTCTGGCCTCTGATCTAAGCAGAACAATAGTGTGACATGTGACAAGTTAATGAGCTCCTTTACATTTATAGCATCTGTCTCAATGTTCAGTTCAGCCAAAGCTCAGCTAAAGTCTCTCTCTCGCTGGATAAGTCACATTTCAAAACCCGCTAAGCTTCTAAGGCAAGGCAAGTTTGGGCGGCACGGTGGCTGAGTGGATAGCACTCTCGCTTCTCAGCAAGAAGGTCCTGGGTTCGAATCTCAGTTGGAATGGGGCCTTTCTGAATGGAGTTTGCATGTTCTCCCCGTATCTGTGTAGGTTTCCTCTGGGTGCTCCGGTTTCCCCTACCACTAAAAACATGTAAAATAGGTCTGGCATGCGCCTCCTGGACTGGCGACCTCACTCTTATCGCTGTGTGGAGAGGGAGACAAATGCCCACAACAATTGTAAACCGCTTTGTGACTCTGGTCTGTGAAAGGCCAGAGTCACAAAGCACAAAGAAGATGGTTAAAAAAGTCTATTTTTAACCATCTTCTAAAAATAGAGGGAAGTTTATTTGTGTAGCACATTTCATACACAAGGCAACTCAAAGTGCTGAACAAAACATGTTAGAGATAATCACACAAGGTATTAAAATCATAAATATTCACCATACATTTCAAATGAGTAAAGATAAATATCCCTCAGTTGTAGTCACAGCTAAACAGAACTGTTTCGGACATTGCCAGGGAAGAAGCTTATCTCACATATTCAGGAAGACTGCTATAGAGTTTGGATAACACTGCTGTAGAAAACCTAAGCGCCTCTTTATATAGAAACTGAACTCTCTAACTCAAGGAACTGTTTAGAGCTCTCCTTTCTTAGGCTGTGATATTGCCGAACCACACAGTCACAGAACCAACAAGTAAATGGTGCAGCGAGAAAACTTCAGTAGAATCTTTGAATTTGTGGTTAAATTTTAAGTTTTTGCAGAAAGTAGACTCTGACAAGCTTTCTTTACAACCTGGTTTGTGTTTTTGTCCCATTTCAGGTCATTAGACAGAAATAAAACACTACTCCTATCATTCTCAAAATTACAAATACAATTGCTTTTTTCAGCTGAGGAGAATCTCCAAAGTCAGGAAAATGGTTTAACAGAATGATTTGGAGGTGATTATTCATGCATTTGTGTCTTCGCGTTTAGACTATTGTAATGCTCTGTTTTCATGTTTAAACAAGAAAGAACTGTCTCGCCTGCAGTTAGTGCAGAACTCTGCAGCGAG